ATGAAAAAAGACTCTTTTTCAAGTAAAGCTCCTTTAGTTTTTTAAAGGAATCACACTCTAAAATGCTAGGTTATCTCAACCCTATTCTGGTCTAATACAGACTAAACCAACTGCTGGGATAATTTGTTTATTAAATTAATAGGAACAAGGCACTAAAGGCAGTTCATTCCACTGTGGTAAACTCTGATAAATCAGGGATAAATTCAAAGGAAAAATGGATGAATAATAGGACCAAATTTAACCCAATGTTTGGTTTTGTCCATATTTTTCCAATTTGGAGTTTAAATAACCCAGCATTTATTTATTTATTTATTTATTTATTGAGTGCACGGCTAGAGATTTGTGATTTAGTTCATGGACTTACAAAGTCCCCAAAACAATTCGGCATCACTATCATCACAAATTGATGAAAAAGGTTTCATGAATAAAGACTCTCGTTCAAGTAAAGCTCCTTCAGTTTTTTTTAAAGAATCACACTCTAAAATACTAGGTTATTGCAACCCAATTCTGGTGTAACACAGACTAAATCAACAGCTGGGTTAATTTTAGTATTAAATTAATAAGACCAAGGCAGTTTATTCCACTGTGGTGACCTCTGATGAATCAGGGACTAGGTCAAAGGAAAATGGATTAACAATAGGACCAAATTTAACCAATGTTTGGGTTTGTCCATATTTTATCAATTTTGGGTTTAAATAACCCACCAATTCTTTGAGTGCAAGGCTGGAGATTTGTTATTTGGTTCCTGGGCTTACAAAGTCTCCAAAACAACAATTCGACATCACCAACATCACCACAAATAGTTTCATAAAAAAAGAGACTCTACTCTCATCTAAGTAAAGCTCCTTCAGTTTTAATGTTAATATTTTTGTTGTTATTTGACAACTTTTTCCCCCACAACATATATTTTCCATGGGTGCCAATATTAATGCAGGGTTCTGTACTTTGTTGCCAAGAAAAACCCATCATGAGCATCTGCAATCTGCATACTCTGCAAAACAAAGGCTATAGCTGGCACTGAGGCAAAGAGGATTATGTCATAATAAAGAACCCGTCATGCTCAGATGTACTATACTTTGGCTAATATGATATCCTCCGAGCTGGTGTGGGAAAGTAGAAGACATCCAGCTTTACTAGGGCTTTGCTAAGGGCTACTAAAGCAATTACATAACACACAACTCACTATGCATGTGAATGAATCAAACTCCATGTTGTGCCAGGCCACAGTATTGAAAATCAATCTTTCCGAAACACAAAACGCAAACCCAGGGCACCTTCTCCCTCTCTCCTGTGTGTTTCTAAATTCGTTTCCTCCAAATAGTTCAAGCTTCTTGAAATGACAGCTATATTTAGCACATCAGCCACTGCAGATGCCACATCCATTCAGATTGGCCAAAACAGGACACAATATCAGAGACAGTCACTCTCATGGCAGTGTTACGGGGGATTATAACAGTAATATGTATGTAAGTACAGTAGTATGCAAGTACTTCAGGATATATTTGAATACGCTGATCCACAACCAACGTTCCTTATTATTATTATCGGTATTCAGAAATTATTTAAATATGCTGATTAGTTGCACAACCAACATTACTTCTTATTATTATTATCAATATTCAAAAAATATATATTGTAATATGCTGATTATCTGCACAATCAACTTTACTTATTATTATTATCATCATCACTATTCAGAAATTATTTTAATAAGCTGATTAGCTGCATAACCAACATTACTGCTTCTTATTACTATCAATATTCAGAAACTATTTTAATATGCTGATTAGCTGCACAAACAACATTACTTATTATTATTATTATTATTATCAATATTCAGAAATTATTTTAATACACTGATTAGCTGCACAACCAACTTATTATTGTTATCATCAATATTCAGAAATTATTTTAAAATGCTGATTAGCGGCACAACCAATATTACTTATGATTATTATTTAATAATAATAATAATAATAATAATAATAATAATAATAACAATAATATGAAATTAATTATAATACAATACTTATTATTATTAATATTATTATCAATATTCAGAAATTATTTTATTAAGCTGATTAGCTGCGCAACCAGCATTACTTATTATTATTATTATCAATATTCAGAATTTTTTTGAATATGCTGATTAGCTGCACAACCAACATTATTTCTTCTTATTACTATCAATATTCAGAAATTATTTTAATATGCTGATTAACGGCACAAACATTACTTTATTATTATTGTTATTATTATTATCAATATTTAGAAATAATTTTTAAATGCTGATTAGCTGCACAACCAACATTATGTATTACTGTTGTTATTATTATTATCGATATTGAAAAAGGTTGTGGGGCTTTTATGTGGCATTTTTGGGTATTTTTAATGAAGCACGCAATATCAACAACAGTCAATGTCATATGGCCATGTCACAGGGGAAAAAACAGAAATACAAAGAGGGAACTACACGGTAGGCTGAAGAATGTAATCTATTGCTTTACTTCCTTAACTGTGTTGCTGTCATCTCTACTTCCATGAGGATCTGGTTAATCTTAAACCATTATTTGAGAACTCGGGACTCTTGATTCTATGCTGCTTTGAATAAGCTTTGGGGTGTAGTTAATGTGTTTCAGAACTGCTATTAAAACATTACATATTATTTCCCTAGAAATGACACGCAGTGAAGTCCAAACCTCATATATATATTTACAGTTGAAGTCAGAATTATTTGCCCCCGTGAATTATTAGACCCCCTGTTAATTTTTTTCCCCAATTTCTGTTTAATGGAGAGAAAAAATTTTCAACACATTTCTAAGAGTAATAGTTTTAATAACTCATAATAACTGATTTATTTTATCTTTGCCATGATGACAGTTAATAATATTTGACAAGATATTTTTCAAGACACTTCTATACAGCTTAAAGTGACATTTAAAGGCTTAGGTTAATTACGTTATCTAGGCAGATTATTGTATAATTATAATTAGGCAAGTTATTGTATAACGACGGTTTGCTCTGTACACTATTAAATTGAAATTTAGATAAAAGGGGCTAATAATTTTGTCCTTAAAATGGTTCATAAAAATTAAAAACTCATTTTATTCCAGCCGAAATGAAACAAATATAAGACTTTCTCCAGAAGAAAAAAATAGTATCAGACATACAATGAAAATTTCCTTGCTCTGTTAAACATAATTTGAGAAATATTTTAAAAAGAAAAAAAATCAAAGGGGGGCTAATAATTCTAAATTCAACTGTGTATATATATATATTCTGGGAGTTAACATCTAATTTTAAAAAAGCTGAAAAATATACAGTATAATAAATAAAATTATTAAATAAATAAGTCATACAATTAATAATAAGAAAAAATGGTTTAAAAGTATTATTTAATATTTTTTTAACTCTTTCATCTTTCATGATGGACCAAATATCAAAGAACTCTTGGAAGTACTCACAGTGATTTTAGCTTAGCACCAAAGTACCTCCCACTTCATCTAACATTGATCAAAATATTTATGTATTTATGGAAGGTTTATAAAAAATAAAATAAAGGCATACAAGAATAAGATTTACAATTATAATATGGCACTGGCTGGGACAATTTTTAATATATTTAAGCAGTATTTTAAGGTGTAAATGGAATTAACTCATATTTTAAGACACTTATCATTTATTTGATAAAAGATAAAATAACATTGTTAATGTTTTTATTTAATTTTTTAATCAAATGTAATGTATTTATGTTTTAAAAGTAGCCTTTTTTTATTTTCAACATTATTAGTCCTGTGTTATGCCACATGATACTTCAGAAATTGTATTATGCTGATTAGTTACACAACCAACATTACTTATTTACAATTATTATTATTATTATTATTATTATTTATTTTTGAAAACAGTTATAGTGCTTAATATTTTTTGTAGAAAAATAAATTTTTGGATATTATTTTTAATTAAAAGAACATTACATAAAAACTAACATTTTTGCATTAAAATATTTAAAAAATTGTAATATCTTTGATCAATTTAAAATATGGTTGCTGAATAAATGTATTAAAAGCCTTTTTTTAGGATTCAGTGCACAAAAGAATAATTAAATATATAAACAATATATATATATATATATATATATATATATATATATATATATATATATATATATATACTATAAAATATATTAAATTCTCAAATTCTGTTTACACTGACCATATAATCATCTTTGTACAAAAATCATTGTTCACAAGGCTATGTAAATTTAAATAATGTCAATGACATTTTAATTTAAACAAAATAAATACATATAAAAATAAATCTACTATTTAAAACAACAGGACAAATATACAGTACACGATTAGTCATTGTTGATCAGATCATTTTGTTTTGACAAAGTAAATATGAAATCTGCAAAGCTTCAAAATCTATCAGCATAAACAATCCTACAGTAGTCTAGACTCTATCAAAAAGCATTTTTCTCCTTCTCCTTGTGACATGGCTGTGGGTGAAATACTCAGGCTGTAAAAAAAAATAGTAATTGCTCTGGGATTGAAGTGCTTCAGCCAGTCGCACATCTCTAAAAGGCATCCACACTGAGAGAAATCAAAGTCACACAGCCTGACTGCCTGCAGCTTTATCCTAACACCTTCGACCACGCGTGCTGGTAGTCAGAAAACCTCCCATGAAATAGAAACCAAATCAATATGTGTACGATTCATAAATATCACAACACTGCAGTAGATCTCTGTGTGCGCGCGTTCTGTATAGCGCTCGTTTGAGTGTGGATGAACCTAAATCACTGACGTCTGAAATGAAAGGGAAAAACATGAAATATGAACAATAAACAGATAAGCAGATCCGCAATACTGCATGCAATCTGTTGCTTCAGCATCAATGCCATAATCTCCTATGATGCACACGAATCTTCCCTTCCCAAACACGGGCAGGGAATTACCATATCACACATAATAATCAAGCACTCAGACAATCGCCCTTACCGTACATTGATGGAAAACCTGATGAAATTCTCTGTTCTTTGCCTGAAGCCTCTCTTTTTCTGTCACATAGCCAGAGAGAAAGACAGAACGAGAGAGACACACACTCACTCACTCACTCACTCACTCACACATGCATACGGCGCATGTGACTGTTCTCCAATGACCTTGGATTTTCCAAACAGCGCGGCACAGCTTTCCCTCTATCAGGAACAATGCTGGTCTAACACACACACAGGTACACACACAGACTCGTGCCGCACGCAAAGCCCCTCCTCGGCAAAGATGAACACATTCACACCCCCCTGACCATTCAACAATGAGAGAGGCAGAGGGGGAGGAGATGGAGAGAGTGAAGACGCTGGAGGAGAGAGGGCGGAGTCTATTGGTGGAGCAGCGTGTCAGTCAGGAAGAAAACCCCGCCTCCTGCTGCTGACTCTGGTACACTGTAAAAATGCTGGGTTTTATCCAATTCCTTCATGTTGTCCCAACAAAAATCGATTCAGTTAGTTTAATCGTTTTTACAAAGATAATTGGATTGGACATAAAACAATTAAGTTGCCCCCCCAAAAAACTTTGAAATAGTGTTGTTTCAGGTAGTTTAAGAAGTTTGAACAACCAGCAAAAGTCATTTTTGAATGTAGTGTTTGATTGTTGCATGCAGATTTTGTTTTTAAATGAATGAAGCATGCATGACTTATTTTAGCTGCTATAAAAAGAGACTGATTAAATAATTACTTTGTCTGGAATTTGTAATAATATGCATGGTTTGAAGAGAAAATAAAAATACATATTGTGTAAATCAGAGAAATGAAATGCTACATAATAATAATAATAATGATTCATTCATTTTCCTTTGGCTTTTGACATATAAGTCCCTTATTCATCAGAGGTCGCCACAGCAGAATGAACCGCCAACTTATCCAGGAAATGTTTTACACAGCAGATGCTAATAATAATAATGATAATAGTAATAATAATAATAATAATAGGCAGTGAAACAAATTATAGTTCAATAAATCTGTCTTTAACAATGTCAATAAAAAAAGTTAATTATAATATTTTGCATTATATTTGCATTATTTAGATGGATGGATGGATGGATGGATGGATGGATGGATGGATGGATGGATGGATGGATGGATGGATGGATAGATAGATAGATAGATAGATAGATAGATAGATAGATAGATAGATAGATAGATAGATAGATAGATAGATAGATAGATAGATAGATAGATAGATAGATAGATAGATAGATAGATAGATAGATAGATAGATAGATAGATAGATATTGGTTTAATATATTGGGTTTAATTCATTAACATAATCCACATAAACAATGTGTAAGATCCAAAGTTTTGCATAGTTTCGATAACATTAATACAAATGAAATAGTTTGTTCATGCTTGTTCAGAGTGCTTTATACTGTTAAAAATAGATCCTTGGATTTATTATTATTATTATTTACTGTCATCATGGCAAAGATCAAATAAATCAGGTATTAGAAATGAGTTATTAAGACTATTATGTTTAGAAATGTGTTGAAGAAATCTTCTCTACGTTAAACAGAAATGGGGGAAAAATAAACAAGGGGCTAATAATTCTTACTTCAACTATATATTTAAATCAATAAATAACAAATAATCCATGAAATAAATAAATACATGAAATATGTTTAATACATCTGTCTTGAATGTTTATGTAAAAGAAAAGTGTTTTTTCTCTTTCTTTTTTTAACGCCTGATTGGAGAAGCCCTGATCCATGGCATGTGAAACAGCTCAGTTTTAATCTGAACGGGTTTCAATTTTAGCTGCTTGAATTACTGCAGCACATTGCCAAACAAAAAAAAAAGACTTTTATACCAGTTGCTAAATATTTCATAAACATTCGTATATAAAACATTCATGAGTCAAATTATGGACAAACCGAGAATGCAGCTGCTTCATGACACGTGTTCTGTAAATATAACTTTGATGTGGCGTGTTAGTCCAACAGCATAGAAAAAACAAACTGAATGGATACCAGAACAAAATAACTAAAAAAAGTGCTTACCTCCTCCGACCTGATGATCCAACAGAGCACTGCAGTCCAGGAGAAGTCTTCTTGGACCAGGAAAATCTGGGAGAGCTGAAAAATTGCGCAAACTTGGAAGCGGCATCTTCTTATTCTCATCAAAACCACTAAGAATAATATCAACTCTAGTTATAGACCTGTAAACTTTCATCTACTGTGAGCAATGTTAATGAGATGCAGTGACCACCCCCTTCCCTCCCTGCCTGTTGATTTGTTGCTCTCTCTCTCTCTCTCTCTCTCTCTCTCTCTCTCCATTGTCACTCGCTTAGATCAGAAACTCTTTATAGAATTCCCAGTGACGTTCATACCATATGCTTTCATACCATCTACGCTATTTTTGAGGTTAGGTTTTTGTCTAATTCACAGTTAAATTTTAGGTCTATACATTTCTATTATTAATTTCAGTACTATATGCATGATAATACTGATTCACATTCATCCACTGTTAACCATTCATACTTAGCCACTGATATGGAAACACCATATTTTTTTTATTGTGTTGACACTCACAACATTGCATTGTAAAATGATTTTACTAGTCTACAAAAAAAGCAGAAAAACATGGTTATCATTATATCACGGTAACCAAAAATCAACCATGGTTTTGCTACACTAACCATAACTTACCCACCATATATGCAGTAAAACTGTTGTTATAAAAATGATAACGAATGTCCCAAACAAGTGCTTTTACACATTTTATACATTAAAACTATTGTCGTAAGAGTTGTTATAAATACAAAATTTCAAATGTCAAGACAATTTCTATAACGGGTATCACGGTGACGCAGTGGGTAGCATGATCGCCTCACAGCAAGAAGGTCGCTGGTTTGAGCCTCGGCTGGGTCAGTTGACATTTCTGTGTGGAGTTTGCATGTTCTCCCCATGTTTGCGCGGGTTTCCTCTGGATGCTCTGGTTTCCCTTACAAGTCTAAAGACATGCAATATAGGTCAATTGGGTAAACTAAATTGTCCATAGTGTTGAATGAGTGTGTATGCATGTTTACCAGTGATGGGTTGCAGCTGGAAGGGCATCCGCTGCGTAATCGTTTGCTGGATAAGTTGGCGGTTCATTCTGCTGTGACGACCCTGGATGAATAAAGAGAATAAGCTGAAAAGAAAAAGAATGAATGAATGAATGAAATGTATATAACATCCATTAAAACTGCTGCCTTGGCATCATAAAACTGCACATTACACTAAAAAAGCACGATTAACAGGTTTTTTTTTTTTTTTTATACATGTAAACATGTTTATTTTTTCGAATGCACACATAGAATGTATGTCTAATTTGACTTGTTTGTGCACACAGATGGTTTGTGAATGCATTTTGCAACAACTTTTAATACCTTACCCGACCTATAGGCGTCCATCTGTCGTAATCTCTAGCCAAAATCCCATATGAACTTCTTTGTAATTTTTTTTTCATGCTAGAGTTTAATCCCTGGTCTACATTGGCATCCATGATTGCCAAATACATATTCAGTTTTTCATTAGCTTTGCCAACCCATGGCCCCAACTGACGCTTGCAAGTAAAATAAATTTCACATGTTTTGTTTAGAGTTTTGGCACTATAGGTCCTTTTTTCCTTTTGCAGTATGTTGGCTAATCAGACCTACAGTCTGCATGAACTGGGAGGTCCTACCATTTTGACTTCATTCATTCATTCTTTTTCTTTTCGGATTAGTCCCTTTAATAATCTGGGGTCACCACAGCGGAATGAACCGCCAACTTATCCAGCATATTTTTTTTTTTACGCAGCGGATGCCCTTCCAGCTGCAACCTATCTCTGGGAAACATCCATACACACTCATTCACACTTGTGCACTACAAACAATTTAGCCTACCAAATTCACCTGTACCACATGTCTTTGGACTGAGGGGGAAACCGAAGCACCCGCTACCTACTGCACCACCGTGCCACCTCCTATCTTGACTTCAGTTTTATTTTTTTCCACAGGAAATGGAATATTGACTATAATTTTGGATATTTTTTCCCAAGCTAACAATTATATGTCAAAAGAAAATGAATGGCATTTAAATTTTTGGTTTTGCATTAAACTTTATGAACCTTTTTGTTTTTATGTTGATTAAATTGTACAAGTGTTTGTTTTTTTTACCTCAAGAAGAGCATTGTGAGGTAATGAAGTACATTTTCAAAATTTGGAGTCTCCCAAAGCTGTAAAACATCCTTGAAGAACACCATCCCACAAACAAATTCTCAGAATTTGATTAAAAATAAGCAAGGTGTACTTTGCCTTCTGCAGATTAATTTATAGCTCAGTTTGTTCTCCTCAAGAATGTGTAACACACTGAATTTCAACTGCTATGTAATGTTACATTAATGCAGTAAATAAATATGAAAAAAGAATGACATTTATTTATAAAACTAAAATGTAATAAGTGACTGCTGTTTTGTTAATTTATTTAAAAGAAATCTATAGAGTATATATATATATATATATATATATATATATATATATATATATATATATATATATATATATATATATATATATATATGTATATATTTTAATTTGGACAGGTTGGTAAATACAGACATGCACACATTTAACACAACTCTTTTAAACCATAAGTACAAATGCATATGAGTATATTGCCTGACAAGCGATATAATATACTGTAGAAAAACTGTAAAAACAGTTCAATCCTTTTCTGTAAAAAGTGCAGCTTTTTTGTTTACAACATTCAAGTCATATTAACATAATTTTTCACTTCCACTTAACATTAAGCAATAAAAATAATATTTAAAAAACGTCTTCAGAAAGATAAACTGAACCTGTTTTACAATAACAGTATTTTTGTTATGTGGTTTACACACATCTTCAGAATTGACTACATTGGGATATCTATCAAATAACCAATTAACACTTTATAAAGGATACCAATTTTATTTTAAATGGTGCAAATTCTACACATAAAAAATCTTGCAAAATCTTGAAAAGTATCTTTAATTACACAATAAAGAGTAACATTTCACATGCATCTTTAAACAGTTAAAAAAACAATAACATATTGAACGTTGAATTTTTCTCATATTAACAAAAGAGAGACACACGTTGTATTCTGAGGTAGATGCTACATCCTTTCAACCTAGCTGCTGCTCCACAATAAGACATCACTGTAAAATAGCAGCAGACTAAATATTTCAACACTATAACAATTGTCAATGTGCAGTAAAAACAAAGGTGTTTTTAAAGGGAAGGTGATATCCACTTTTTGTCATCACATGTCACAGTTTCTAGGTCAGCCATGGAAAAGCCTAAATGAACAAATGCTGCTGCTCAGAGTGTGCTGTAATACTGTTAAAAATCATAATTGTAGTGTTCATAGTACATTATCTCAGTCAGACAATGACTCATATTTTATCAATCACTGAAATATTGTTCTGAATCGAACATGCTTGTCCAGTTACAATAATCTACACCATTTTGGAAAAGACTCTCTTAAATGTGTGACATAAGTTTTAATAATAATCTAATTTTGATCTACATTTACATTAAATGGGCTATTAAAATGTGGCTGAACAATGTTAACAGTTAACCTTCAGTTGCATACAGGAGCTGACAAACTACAAACGCAAAACGTTTCATTTAATTACTGTCTGCTATTTAAGAGACTGTTTTCAATTGACTGTATGCAGGGGTGGATTTAACCAATAAGCAAGGTAAATGGCCACTTACGGCCCCAGGGATAAATACCTATAAATTATATAACATCGTTTTCTATCATATTTTGCACGGGGAGGGTCTAAAATTTTTCATTTGAACATAATTATTACATCTGCGCAAATGTGTCCCCCACCTTTAATCATGGACCAGTCTAGCAGACAAATCAGTAAAGATTTAGTTTTAAAAACCAAAGAGTTCATAAATTATGTTTAGTTGTGAATTCATTTCAAGAAAACAAATTATCTTAAAAGTTTTACAATGGGTTTTACATGTTATTAATATCATTTTGCATTAGGATAAAATGTAGAAAAGGAGATTGAATTATATAAGAAAAAGCAGCAAAAATAAACAAACAAACAAACAAACAAACAAATAAATAAATAAATAAATAAATAAATAAATAAATAAATAAATAAATAAATAAATAAATAAATAAATAAATAAATAAACAAAATTAAAGTTGCAATTTAGAACTTTTGGGCCTCATGGCTGGAATTGCTTAGTGGCCCAAAATCAGTAAATCCGTTGCTGACTCTATGTTATGCTGCCTCATTCAACAGTTTTCACATATCATGAATCTCACACGAGTCAACTCACCTATTCTTTTTTTTTATTATTAAAGTAAAGAGGTAGATCAAATAATACAAATAAATGAAAAAATGCACAGAAATATACACAAATGCAAACAAACACCAGCATTACAAAAATAAAAATAATGAAACAAACCTTTTTTTTCATTCAAGACAGACACCTTTAAATAGGTACAAAGAAAGCATATACGGATACAGTTTTTGTTATTGTTCTAGGTCAATTTTAAATAGATCAAATTTCTACTAAACTTCTATTTGTGAATATGAATTAAATACAAAAATTAATTACAAACACTTTTTCCACGTTTTCTTTAGAATCGTCAAACAACCCAAAGAAAATATCTTTAAAGAAATGAAAAAAATCACTTATAATTTAAGACAAAAATAACAAAAGATCTGAGAATCTTTCTGTATGAGCACTTACAGACAGAATAAGCAGTTCACATCAATGTCAGACTTATATTTCTGAAGACAGGCCTTAGTAGCCCAACATTTGTGAATTAATTAAATGTTACTTCTTTTACTTTATAATCAGATACTAGAGGCAAAGTCCATACTTTCTCCCATGGGATATTTTTAACAGTGTTGATCCAATAAGGTATTACATAAGGGATTGTTATTATCTCTCTCTCTGGAAAAGGCCTCTAATTTTACAGTTATTTTTCTGTTGGTCTGCTGAAAAACACATTTCAGTTCCAACCACTATCGGTTAAATTCAGAGAGTGAGTGTATGGAGTGTGACACCTCTCATAAGAACAGGCACACCAGAAGGGATGGAGTTTACAACAATAGCATATTCACTATGAGTAACATAGTTACTTCTGTACTAAGAAAACTGAATTTCTGCCTTCTGAGTTAAAGAGCTGGCCAGCTAAAAGAAAGTTGTTTTAAACCAATTTTCAAATTAAAGTGATTAATTCTTGTAAATAATGTTTTTATTATTCCATAAATAATATCTGTGTGGAGAAAAGACTGACTCGACCATCCATTCTCCTGAGTTCGGGACGGAGAACCGTTCGAACCAATTCAATCGATTCATTCAGAAGATCCGAACTAAAGCGAGTTGATTCCCTTTTGACGAATCTGTGTTATAGGTAGCAGTCGCTACAGAAACTCTCATTTGTTTGCTACGATTTGCCAGTTTTTTGTCTCTCCTAAGTATACATACTCATTAAATTAGCATTCATTTCTTTAGTGTATATTTGAAAATAATTTGTTTGAAAACAATCTTTAAGCACCTCAAGGTTCTGTTGAATCAGCTGACTTCAATCGGTTGGTCATATACTCGTTGCTAGGGCAGTTAGCCCGTTAGCATAAAGAGGTTAAAATAATTTAAATAAAATGTTTGCGTTTTTCCCCGCGACGAATGGCGTGTTAAATATACTAGGGGTTTATGGAAAAATGTTACCCTGGCATCCTGACATACTGGGCTCTCTATTAGCCATATAAGTTAGCGATCAGCTGCTCACTGTTTACAGAGCCACTCAAACAAACAGACAGCCATACGTGAAGTCGGTGGATATTTCATCTTTTTTGGACGAGGTTTGGGAATAAGTGCAATATGGACACCAATGTCCAGAAAAGGCGAGAGAACAAGAAGTCGTTACGGGTTAAGGTCATTAGTCTGGGAAATGCTGAGGTGGGAAAGGTAAGGATGGACTGTTGTTTTGAATCATACAGACATCAAACTTCAAAGATCAGGTGGCTATTTACATTAATTTATTAACATGACTGTTAACAAGACATGTTTTACGGATACGTATGTGTGTGTACATGTCAGAAGTTCAATGCTTGCTTAATTTTCTATTCAAACATTATTCCACATTGTAATCAGATTTCCCCTTATGTAAAATTGTCATGAATGTAATATCCACATACTGTAATTTAGACAATGTTTAGAAATGTTTGTAGGTTGTCCTGCACAGCATGTATGGTAGCGTGCTAGATTATCTTAAAATAAGTAATGTTAAAAAAAAAAATTTGATAATATTTCTGTTTATTTGTTCTAGAGCTGCATCATTAAACGTTACTGTGAGAAGAGATTTGTGCCCAAGTATCTAGCCACTATTGGGATAGATTATGGTGTAACAAAGTAAGTGTGATGCGGTTTGTTGAAGGACCACTTTCTGTAACTTTAACACACACAAATAGTTCTTAAGACAACAAGAATAATTTAATCTAAGATTAAACACTTGTCATATTCATTGCACATAAACAACCCCTTTGTGTGTTGTCTAGTTTTTAATTGCTGTAATTTTATTGTCAAGTGTTAATTTTTTTTCTTTTCTAGGGCTGCACGTTATTAAAAATATTGGCATTGCAACATTTTTTTTCTTTGATATATATTACCAAATGAATAACTTTTCACCAAATGGTTTAATAGCATTATTTTAAAAATTAATCTTAAATTTAGACTAGTTGTGGTGATTTTGTAAGGGTGTGAATCATTCATTTGTTTTCTTTTTGGCTTAGTCCCTTTATTGATCCGGGGTCGCCACAGCGGAATGAACCGACAATTTATTCAGCACATTTTTACACAGCGGATGCCTTTCCAGTCACAACCCATTTCTGGAAAACATCCACACTCACTCATTCATACTATAGACAATTTAGCCTACCCAATTCACCTGTACAGCATGTACTTGAACTGGGGGAAACCGGAGCACCCTGAGGAGACCCACGCGAGGGATAACATGCAAACTCCACACAGAAATGCCAACTGACACAGCACTACCTACTGCGCTTATTGCCCGTGTGAATCATGGATGAAAAATACTAAATAAATTGCAAGCAAAAATAAATGCAATAGGGCAATGAAAAAGAGCAAAACAATGAACTTTGTGGTTTTCTGGCGAGTCAAACATTATTCATGTACAGCAATCTAAAAATCAAACATAATGTAAAATAACACTGCTTTTACTGTATTAATAATTCATTTGAAAGTTACAAATGTTGCACTCATTATGCCCAAATGGTTTATTTCCCTTAAACTCTTTCAAAATGCCTTGAATGACCGTCAACTAGCTCTCTGCGTCTCTCACATGGTTACTCACTGAAGCTAAGCAGGGCTGTGCCTGGTCAGTACCTGGATGGGAGACCACATGGGAAAGCTTGGTTGCTCCTGGAAGTGCTTTTCATGACAACAGTAGGGGGCGCTCAACTTGGGATCTGTGTGAGTCCTAGCACCCCAGTATATTGATGGGGACTCTAAACTGAAAACTCTTGCAAAGGATAACGTTTTTACTGTGTTTTGGTAAATCTTTACAGTGACTCCACAAATTTAATGTATTCTGAATTGTGGTGCTGATCAACTATAATAATCCAAACAGCATTGCACATTCTGCGATGTGACTATTGTGGATGCACACATTGCCATATTGATGCTGATATGATATATTGTGCAGCCCTGTTATTGTCCTAAATTTATTCAATTATTTTTACATTTCTTTAGTGAATTATACAAATGGAATGCTATTAGTTATTAATTGTCTATGATGATTTTTTAATTAAATAAATATTAAAACTATAATCATTTTCAAACATTTTGAAGTGGTTGTTTTCTTAGTTATTGCTTTCATATTGTGCGTTCAATAAAAAAGTAATTGCCTTTCTTTTCTTCTTAAGGGTTCAGGTACGGGACCGGGAGATAAAAGTAAATATTTTTGACATGGCTGGACATCCTTTCTTTTATGAGGTATTGCTTGAATTATTTTAAATTGATATGGATAAAAAAAAGATTACTATTATTATTTAAATAACATTTTCTTAAAAACAATAAAAGTGAAAAACAACTTAGCATTTCTCCCCTGTACATTAAAAAAATAATTTTTGATCATACAAATTTTTTACGATGATTTACAAGAGATGTCATTCAGCGATCAGTGTACAACATTATATGCCAAAAAAAGTTGCCAAGCTTATTTAAAACAACAATAATTTCTTAAAACTAAAAGACGTGGGTATTACAATTCAGCCTGAAAAGTTTTAATGTTTTAAAAACCATTTTAAGGTCAAAATTGTTAGCCCCTGTAAGCTATATTTGTGTTCGATAGTGTACAGAACAAACCATCGTTATACAATAACTTGCCTAATTACCCTATCCTGCCTAGTTAACTCAACCTAGTTAAGCTTTTAAATGTCACTTTAAGCTGTATAGAAGTGTCTTGAAAAATATCTTGTCAAATATTATTTACTGTCATCTTGGCAAAGATAAAATAAATCAGTTATTAGAAATGAGTTTTTAAAACTATCATGTTTAGAAATGTGTTGAAAAAAAATCTTCTCTTCGTTAAATAGATTTTTTAAACTATTTAAACTCTTACCTCTATCATTCTAACCACTAGGTGTTACCCTTTTTATATAAAATAATATAAAATTAATATTTGTTTGTGCTAAATGTTGATGAAACATTTTCACCTATATCTTTACAATTTATTTTCACAAAAGCTATATGAAACATCATATACTTTACTTTTTATTTGATATGCATTTTATGTAAATAAAATAATTTTTGTAAATTATATTTTGATGCAGACATATCATCTTTGACCCAAGAATGTACTATACAGTCAATTTATTAGTATTGTTAAAAACCATGAAGAATGCAGTCGAGATTTGTTTTGTTTCTGACCACAGTGTGGTAGTATTGAGCTGCTGTCAATAAAATGTCCTCCCTGAAGACCCAGATGGCATCAGCATTTAACATATTCTCCATTGCCATGCTTGTAATGGCTGTATTAAGATTTTATTGTTAGTTGTGAATTGATAATATGTGTTTTACAGGTCCGCAATGAGTTTTATAAGGACTCTCAGGGAGTGATTCTAGTCTATGATGTTGGCTTGAGAGAGAGTTTTGATGCTCTGGACAGCTGGCTCACAGAGATGAAGCAGGAGATGGGCTCGCAGGCTAACATGGAGAACATCATCTTTGTTGTGTGTGCAAACAAGGTGCCACAAGTGTTTAAACATCTGTTTAGGTTATCTGTGATTTATTTGATAGAGACTTGTTTTAAAGTGCAGATTTTCACCCTAAAAGGTTGACTTGACAAAAAGGAGAGTGGTGGATGAGAGTGAAGGGAGACTTTGGGCTGAGAGCAGAGGATTTCATTACTTTGAAACTTCTGCCCAGAGCGGGGAAGGCATCAATGAAATGTTTCAGGTGTGTAATCCTTATAAAGCTTTTTTATTTGTACAAAACTGCCATTCTGTAAAGGTGATGAAATGAATGTCGTTTAATGCATGTCTCTTTGCTGAATTTATTTAATTAACTCAAAATACCTAATTTATTAAAGGAACACTCCACTTTCATTTTACAACTCCCCTAGAGTTAAACAGTTGAGTTTAATCATTTTTAATCCATTCAGCCGTGCCAGATCTGGTAGGAGGGCACATTTAGATTAGCTTAGCATAAATCATTGAATTGGATTAGACCATTAGCATCTTGCTTTAAAATGACTAAATCTTTCAATAAATTTTCTATTTAAACCTCGACTCTCTTGTATTTATGTCATATACTACATCTGTTGTAAAATGTGGAAAAAATTGCTATTTTCTAGGCATGGAAATCAGCTTCTTGTACAGGGAATGCACCTTAAATTAGAATTAATACTATTGCTATATTAATATTACTATCACTATTGTTTGTTGACTGTGAAACTGCTCTGAACAAGCAGATTTTTGGTCATGTTGTTTTATTAAAGTACTAAAAGTGGCTCAGAGTTGATTAGGGCTTGTAGCAGTCCAGCATTAGATCTGAGTCAATTAACAGTAAACTTAGAAGAGTTATAAGAACTGATTTAAATTGTAAAAATCATAAATTCACATTTAAATGGTGTGGTATTTCTGCTGTGTTTATACATCCTCAGTCGTTTTTCTCCTCAATAACTGATATGTGTGAAAACGGAGGGAAGAGACCTACTCCAGAGGTGAGCGTAGGTTTTACCAAAGAGCAGGCAGACACCATCCGACGCATCCGCAACAGCAAAGACAGCTGGGATATGCTGGGAGTCAAACCTGGGGCCACAAGGTAAATTTCATGCTAAATGTGGGGATTAGATAATGTTTAACCTGCCCAAAACAGATTTGTTGCTTGTAATAAACTTTCAACTCTAGACCAAAAAAATCTGGCTTGCAGCACTAACCAGCCATATGCAATAAATATTTTGGGCAATCTTTTAAAATAGCGTCTATCAATAATAGAATGCTTATTGTTATTGCATTTGCATTAAGATTTTTGTTTTTATTCCCATAACCCATTTAACCTCACCTGATTCAGTGTGAGCGATAATTACTTTTGATAGTGTTTCAGTATGATTTACTCACACTCCTGGTTGTGTTAGCTTGGCTGGTTTAATCATGTGGGTCAGATCATTAGAAAATGCCTGCAATCCAATTAGCATCCCTAAAGTCTCTCCTGCCCGTCTAATCAGCCTCTTTGAGATTTCCTCAACACCCCGAGAAACCAGTCATGAGCTTGTGTCGTTCCTCATGGCCAACCAATCGGAGATCTTCTCTGGGGACAAAGCCTATCTTCTTTAGCTGATTCTTCACTGTGATCTCTCACTGTGATCTCATTTTAGCGGGACCACACAATGTTTTGCTCTATCAGCATTTTAAAGGCCTGCATAATACTGGGAAAATAATTTAATTAAAAAATTTGCTAAAAGTTTTTATTTACGTATTGATTATACTAAAATAAAGTGGTAATATGTTTTTTTTTATTAAATCTAATTCAAAGTCATAAAACTATTTCAAGGTGCAAATATTCACACTCTAAAGCCAAAATGTTTGTAGATATTCAAATTCTTATTAGCTGTTGTCGTTTTCCTCTCGTCTCTTCTGCCATTAGTATTTATTTTCACCTCTATGCTGTGAATTACTAGTTCACCCTTGAATCATGAACTGAAGACCAGGGGCACTTTAGTTCATTTTTAAGGGTACTTTTTATCCAAAAGAAAAAAGGACATGTGCACTATATACAGGTTGAGCTCTATCTGTGCACGTGCCTGTTCACAGCCTTTGCGCAATACTTTGTTTATGCACTTTATGCAGCAGTTACAGCCTCAAGTCTTTTTGAATATAATGCCAAATGTTTGGAACACCTGTCTTTGGGAATTTTTGCCCATTCCTCTTTGCAGTACCTCTCAAGCTCTATCAGGTTGGATGGGAAGCAACGATGTACAGCCATTTTCAGATCTCTCCAGAGATGTTCAATAGGATTTAGGTCTGGGCTCTGGCTGGGCCACTCAAGGACATTCACTGAGTAGTTGTGAAGCCACTTTATTGATATTTTGGCGGTGTGCTGTGGGTCATTGTCCTGCTGGAAGATGAACCGTCGCCCCAGTCTGAGGTCAAGAGCACTCTGAAGCAGGTTTTCATTCAGGATGTTTCTGTATATTGCTGCATTCATCTTTCCCTCTATCCTGACTAGTCTTCCAGTTCCTGGTCTGAGAGTCCTTTCTTATGGTCTGAGAGTCCTTCAGATGCCCTTTGGCAAATTTCAGGTAGGGAGTGGCGTCCGTCTGGCCACTCTACCATTCAGGCCTGATTGGTGGATTGCTGCACAGATGGTTGTTCTTCTGTAAGGTTCTCCTCTCTCCACGCTTGAGCTCAGACAGAGTGATCCTCGGGTTATTGATCATTTCCCTGACTAAGGCCCTTCTCCCCCGATTACTCAGCTTAGATGGCCAGCCAGCTCTAGGAAAAGTCCTGGTGGTTCCAAAAATCTTCCACTTACGGATGATGCAGGCCACTGTGCTTATGTGAACCTACAGAGCAGCAGAAATTGTTCTATAACCTTCTCCAGCCTTGTGCCTCGAGACAGTCCTGTCTCGGAGGTCTACAGACAATTCTTTTGTCTTCATGCTTGGTTTGTGCTTTGACATGCACTGTCAACCTTATATAGACAGGTGTATGCCTTTTCAAATCATGTCCAATCAACTGAATTTACCACAGGTGAACTCCAATTAAGCTGCTTAAACATCTCAAGTATGATCAGAGGAAACAGAATGTACCCGAGCTCAATTTAGAGCTTCACAGCAAAGTTTTTTTTATTTATAATAAATTTTTAACCATTTAAAATAATAATTTTTTACATTGTCATTATGGGGTATTGTGGGTAGAATTTTGAGGAAACAATTTTATCCATTTTGGAATAAGGCTGTAACATAAAAAAAATGTGGAAAAAGTGAAGCGCTATGAATACCTTCCGGATGCACTGTAAATTGTAAAACCTTAATTTAATGTCTCTAGTACATATTTTCCTGTCATGAAAACGACCATAGAATCTGGCATGTCTTCAAACTCAAACATTCATTCATTTTCTTTTTGGCTTAGTCCCTTTATTCATTCGCCACAGCAGAATGAACCGCCAACTTATCAAGCATATGTTTTGCGCAGCAGATGACCTTCCAACCACAACCCAACAAAACTCAAACAAACATATGCTATTATTTTGAAATCATAATTCTTCTGTGTTATTGTGCAGCCCTTCTGTGCAGTCTGACATCTATTAAGGGTTTTTCTTATTTTGTGCTTATAGGGAAGAAGTCAACAAGGCATACAGGAAGTTGGCGGTACTGTTGCACCCAGACAAGTGTGTGGCCCCAGGCAGCGAGGATGCCTTTAAAGCAGTGGTTAATGCTCGCACGTCCCTCCTCAAGAATATCAAGTAGGATCAAGTGTCCACACACAACTGCATCTCTCATGGTTCCATTACCAACATACTCCTCCTCATTGTGAGATATGCCATGACACAGATTTTTTTTTCTTCATTGTGCCATCTAAATATGAATCTTTTTTTTTTAACTGCTTGCTTTGTTGATTTGTTTGAATTTGATAGATTATATATTTATTTAACATACTATTAAAGGTTTCATTCACCCCAAAATTAAAATTCTGTAATTGTTTACTGTCATTTCATAACGTTAGGACAAGATAAATAAAGATATTTGTAGTGAATTATGAGAAATTTCTCCATTTAAAAGTTTATTAATTTCATATTTGGACGTTTTGAAATATTTATAAAGAGATCAATAAATAAATCAATTAGGAACCACTTCATTGAATCCAAATGTTATAAAAAAGCATAATCGCAGTATAATAATGAATAGGTTTAATTTAGGCTTTTTTTTAAATAAATAAACATTAATCATAAAGTAAACTTAAACAAAGCTTAACATAGCTGCAATAACAAGAACAAACAAGTGTACAGGAACAAACTTAATTGTTTAAGCTCCGACATGCTGTTGTGGTACACATGAACCTCATTAAGCTTCTGTGACCAGATTTGTATGCTGTAAACATTGTAAGCGTTCATACCAGAACATTTTAGCAAAATAAAGACACAAATGTATCTAATTTTAGTATAAATTTTCTCATCCATGCTCTGAAGATGGACAGATGTTTCATGGCTTCAGAACAATAAGAGTAAATGCTAACAAAACTTTAATTTTGGGGTCAACAAAACCCTTTAAATGTATTTTTTAAGAAAACAATTGTAAGCTAGTGCAGTTCAAATATGCTATCAAAATATTTAAAGTACAAAAAAGACGTAACACCACAAAAGTGTTTTTCTTTCACCTCAAGTTGTCATCAAAAATCAACAAATGAGCACTTGGACTCTTTAAGGATGCTGCAACTTAACTGTGTTCCCTTGTTTTAAGTTGATCGGCTTCACATTGCCATTAGCTGGAGTTGAAGAGTTCCCTTCTCAGTGAAGATCACTCTTAAAGCACACGGAGAAGCCACTGGACTCGAACAAAGACGTATGTCAGATGTGCAGCTGTGACCGCACTTGTTTATAATGTAATATATGTTCATGTGCTGTTATTGTTGGGAAACCTCGATGCTCTGAGGGGCATATCTGTCAGGATCACTTTAGAACATGAGAATATCATTGGTGGGCCTTTCCTTTTCTCAGTCTGTCCTGTGACAGTTGACTGTTGTACTGCACTACTCCTATAGATGACAAGTTAATACCACTTATTTACCAGCTGATTTGCGACCCAGACTTACCATTTTAATGTTTTAGTTTAATCCTGACACACCTCATAAGTTAGCCGTGACCTACATGGCTCATTCACTTATTTGTTGTTTTTATCCACTCCACTTTAACTTACTTTAAATAGGAGGAAAAGCATGGAAAGGTTTTCTAAGTGCAAGTGCAATATAAAAATAGCGTGTATTTCTCAGATTTACCACTAGCTTTATTCTACTACTTGCTAAGTTATCGTTGAAGATGAATCAATAATATATTAAAATATCTACATATAAAAATGATTAAGAAATGTTTGTGTAACATGCCAATTCAACTTCAAGTTTACTTAAGTTAGGTCATTTTTAAGTACAAAATAGGTGGTCAATAGACTATTATTCAAGTATTTGGAGCCAGGTGATATTGAATGCATTACATTATTCAAAGATAACAGTAAAGATATTAAAATTGTGACTGTGTTTTTCATCGTTTGAGCTCGAGAAATGCTTCTTTAGCATTAATCCTTGTGCACTGTTTAAATTTACAACCCTTTCGTTATGTTCAGGATAAAACATTCACTGAATTAAACTGTATAAAAGATAAATATGTTTTTCAAATTCTTTTGGCGTAAATCTGTTAATCAATCTCAGTCCTGATCAAAACTACTAAATTGTTTAGAGAATTACTAGATTTTAACTCCTTAAGTTCACAAATTATGTCACTGATTTGGTGGAAAAAAAAACATAAAATGACATTTTCAATATAAAAAGTAATTGTTGACAGGATTTTTCATTTACCTTTTATCACAGTCTTGGATATGTGAAATATTAGTAACAACATCGGCTTTGGTGCATTGTTACATTTTCATTTTTTTTCTCTTTAATTTACTGTTGGTGGCTGTTTTTGCCACATTGCCCCACTTCCATTATAACCACATTTAATGGTGCATAAATACAGTCTTTGTTTTTATTTACTTGATGTAGTTCTGAGAGCTGAGATGCATATTTTGATATTCTCAGGCACGTTAAGGTAAGTGTACGTATAAAGGTCACTCTCACACACACACACACACAAACACACACACACACACTTTTTTTTGCTGTTATACTCCATATAAAATTAGAAGCTAAGCTTTGTTTTTGCACAGGCTTATCTAAAGGGTTAATGGTGCCAACTCATGATCAACAGTAAAAATGACAAATTTTATCTCTTCCCAACAGGGAAAACCACATACAATCAAATATGCATGAATAAATGCTATCATGGTTATATAATCAAAAATAGTGGTTACAATGGAAGTCAATGGGGCAAAAAATAAAAATTAATCAAAAACAATGCATCAATGCAATCTACATGTCCAAGACTGTAATAAAAGGTAAAAAATACATTCCACAGTTACGTTTTACACTGAAAATACATCATTTTGTGTTTTACATCATCTATGAACTTGGCAATTAAAGAGTTAAAATCCTGTATTTTTTCTAAAGAATTTAGTAGTTTTGATCAGGACTGAGGATGATTAACAGATTTATGCAAAAATTATATTTATCTGATGTATTTTTACACCAGTTTAATTTAGCGGTTATTTTCATCCTGAACATAACAAAAGGGTAGTCAAGCTGAACAGTATATTGTTGAATTTAAATTTTTTTGAAAAAAATGTGTCAAAATAAGATTTTAAAATCACTCTGCTAGCTGAAACAGAAAAAGTTCTGGCCAAATTAAGACACAAAATCATCCTAGAATGGATGAAAACACCCCCAACAGCACACAAGGGTTCAGTCAGCATATAATTTGTGCAGACTTTGAAAGTTAGCTTCTGAATTTACTTTTAGACTTAGGAATAAATTACCCTATAAAATATATATATATAATACCCTATATTATTAATATAGAAGGTGTGATGAGGTATAGTTCATGATTAACTTCAGTTTGTCAAATGAATACGCTTCTAAATCATAAAAATACATAAATTATTATGTAAAACGTAATTACCAACTCCAAACATTTGAATGATAGTCTAGTAGAGGCTGTGATCACTAGTGCCAAGACTATTTCCAAGTATATAGCGTTTACCAATCTTTACACAACCTGTGAAGGTTTTGCAAAGTTCAGAGCTAAAAAAAAAGATAAATGAATAAATGTTATCACAGTAGCTTAGTCACTGATTTGATATAAATATGGTTGATTTCTCTATTGTGAAATGTATTACGCATGAAAGGAACTCGGTGAATTTGTCACAATCATAATATCTGGTCCGAGGGTAAAGTAAAAAGTGGCTTTGTTTACATCAACACTAGAATAAATAACGACAACTTCGCTGAAACTGTTCAATTAGCAGAGCTGTGTAGATGTGCCAACATGCATTAGCTCAACAATGTTTTGTTTGGCCCTCAAGTACAGTATATAAATACTTCTATGTAGGTTTAAAAAAAAAAGAACACTGTAATGCAAGTATATCAAATACTGTATTTTTTTATGGAACTGTGGTGTTTACAACATGATGTGGATGTACATGTGCAGTGTTATTTATTCATATTTTAATATATTTATCTGAAAAAGTACACATTTGTGATTTCTCTTTTTCATTTCTTTTATTTTGAAGTGCATTTTTAGTCAGTTGATAACATGCTGCTTTGTTTGCTATGTTGTACTATGTAAGATGTACCCAAACTATTTTAGAACGTTGCATCATCCGAAATGTGAAAATATGAGTTGTACTCCTAAATTTTTAATTGGTTATAGCCTACTTTACCAGATTTATTTTTAACCTGAGTCACTTTTATTTCCATGTTTGGTTTCATTGTGTGACATTGATTTGTCTGAAAATATGGTGCAGCATGAGAAAGAAGCATGTTTGTGATTATGCAGAAAACAATATGTTTTTGAGGCCTGTTTACATGAATGCCAAGGCCACCGCTCAATGGGAAAAGTGGCTCTGTTTTGTGCACAGAAGCATTTACTTTCTCCATTTGGCTTATATAGAACATCAATAAAGGAATACATGTAAATCATTTTGCCTTTTTGCGTTATTAGCTTGCCACGTTACAAACTAAACCAGTACCAAAAAGCTAAATTATGGGCCACTCACACAGAACTTTTTATAAAATTAAACGCAGGGAACACTGAGAGCAACTTTTAATGTCTAAGACAACTTAGACTCAAGCTCAATCTGCAAATGTGTCTAACTTGCGCAAATTATTGTAGAAAAAAAACCCCAACAAAATAATATGCAAAACAAAAACAAATATAATTTTGTGTTAATAAGCTCTCATGTTTCTGCATTTACACATATACAGCATTTTAGGGGTATACTGAAACAGTATGAGTTTTTTGTAAACTGCACTTGAATTAAATTATGGATGAATCCAAAGTTGGGTTAAATTATTTTACATTAAATATCCTTTTTTTTGCCAACATTTGACAGAATTGAGTTAATACAACCCAGCATTTTTAGAGTGTATTATTCCAGGGTATCTGCAGGGTCTTAAAAGGTATTAAAATCAATTTAGAGAAATTTAAGGTCCTTAAAAAGTATTAAAGTCTAAAATGCTATTTTGCAAGATATTCAATTTGATATTATTTTTGATTATGCAATGTATGGTTGTATGCTAAAGTTTGCCTGAATTAAATCAGCGAATATCAGGATGCTGTGTAGTTTATCAAACCAATGACATCCTACTATTTGACATCATGCTGCTTTGTTTACTGCAGTAGCCACGTCAACACCATTATTTCTGCAGTTCTATAGGCGCCAACCTGCTGAATTACCTGCATTTAACAGAATTGTATTCATTATATTAATAATGTTTTAGTTTTAGATTAGTTTCTTTCATTATTATTTACTAAATTTTGTGTGAAAATCTTGCCAGTGTTTCCTGTTAAAACCAGCATTATGTTACAAATGGAGGCGACAAATTTAGGCATTCTGGTCTAAAAAGGAAGGCGTTCTGAGGCGGACTGCTGGCGCGTTGCTATTTTGAGAAACTATAATAGAGTTTTCATTAGACCAAATCTAACCCGGTCTAAACTCCGCCGCAGAGTTGCGCCTCACTTACACACTGCTTAATACGTACAAGAGAGCAATAGGCAAATATCTTTACATATGAAAAAATGTAAATATTAAGGATATATATATAGGATATAATAAGAATAGATATAGGATATAAATATAAAGGATTAAAATATTAAAAACAAATATATATGAAATAAATATGAAAAACCACTGCTTTTATGTCTTCTTCATCTCAGGAGGCTTTTTCAGTTCATTCATAACAATTTGCTTTTGTATAATGTTATTATTATTAGCAGTATTATTTAATATATCCATATTTATATTTGTTTATTAAAAACAAGCTTAGATTTGCCCACCTGTCAGGTTTTAGACCATATAGGGCATGGCAGGTGTATTTGGAAATAACTCAGTATTTTGACCACACTTGGTTATTATTGTTCATTTATTCGATTACTAGAAATTAGAACTGAATTTGGAAATAGTTTTGAAACAAATCTTTGCGCTTAACAAACGAAATTAATTATTTATAGACTAATTGATGTCTGTGCGTAAAGGTTTCCCTATCCAAGAGCGAAAGTGAAAGTAGATCATTTATCTCTCATTCTCACGCAGTAGATGCTCTGTTTAACAGTTTTCTGTTAAAAAACTGTCAACTGTTAACTGTTTGCTTGTGAAATGCTCATTTTTTCCACTTAGACTTACTTTGCGTCCAGTAAATAGCAAATGCGCTCTTGGTGCGACGCAGCTGGGTCTTAAAGGGAATGGGAGATGAGACTCTGATTGGTTTATTCTCAAAACACACCTATAACTCATTAAGAAAATAAACTCAACCCTTTTAGACCATGCACCTTGGCGCAAGGCAGATTTCCCGTCCTTAAATTAGCAAAAACGCGTCCTGACATGCCCTGAAAGCGTTTGCGCCCTGCGTTTTGCGCTCTGCGCATGGACCGTCAAAATAGAGCCCATTGTCTTAATTATGTAAATGAACAATGTGCTAAATCTAAAAAAAGTTACAGTTTAAAGTTTATTCACTTTTTTTTATATAATCCAACTGGTTACTTTTAAGGCAATAGGTCTACTCACTTTTTAAAATAACTAATTGTTATTTTGTGCATGCATAAAGCATATTTGTGTATGAACCGTGATCATGTTGATGACATTTTCACTTGTTCTCAGACCTTTTCAAAAACTATTGTCTAAAAATAGTTGTACAAGCCTAAATCAGAAAATGTTGGGACAGTAAAAAAATACAAACAAAAAAAGAAAGTAGTGGTTACTTTTTTGAACAAGACAATGCAAAGAATGCTGTCGAGGAAGAAAATACAAGTACTTGACCGGCCTGTCTGCAGTCCCGACCTGTCTCCAATAGAGAATGTGTGGCGCATTTTGAAGCCCAAAATGTGACAACGAAGACCCATACTGTACTTAAGGCCCACCTTAATGCTTTATCCACTTTGTAGCTGCGTGTCGCTCTGCGTGGCGACCTGCTGCAAATGCAGGTCTAAGTAGATATATACAGCACGAATACAACTGGCCTCTGAGTGAGCAGAGCGAGAATCACTCGCCACGCCAACCTGGTCGCCAATGGTCGCTGTCGCTTATGTAAACGGAGGTCGCCGGAAGTCGCTGACTCTCCTTTAAAATGAATGGTCGGTTGTCGCTTTGTTGTTGCGAGTCGTTTGTAGTATGAATAAGGATAAAGACTTGTTTGCAGGACAAATGGGACACAATTACACCTGAAACACTTCATCACTTGGTGCCTTCAGTCCTTAAATGTCTTTTAAGTGTTGTGAAATGGAATGGCAACATTACAAACTGGTAATGCTTTACTGGTCCAACTTTTTTAAAAAATGTGTTGCAAAATTGGAGTATTTATTTTGAAAAAAAATCATGTGCAACACTGAAATACAAGACAAAGTAATTTTAGAAATCACTACTTTCATTTTTATTTGCGCTTTCCATTCTGTCCCATCTTTTTCTGATTTGGGTTTTAATATAAACAACTTTTGTACTATTTAATACCAAGAAAAAATAAGCTTGCAGTCAGTGCAATTTAATCTTGGCTGGCCTAAGTCATCCACTAAAGTAAGAAGTATTATTGTTTATGTGTGTTGAGGGAAAGCAGATGGTTCAGTCCCTTTTTGACCCGGCACATATTCTTGGTAACCAGATCAGTGAGAAGCACTTTATCCAGCTTACTTCCCACATTCCCTGAATCAGCGGCCTAACCTGCTATCTAAAACCCTGCGCCGTGTCTTCTCAAGAGCAGAGGTCAACCAGTCGCAAAAGATCAACTTTTCTTTTCAGGATGTCTTGGTTAGAATTATAAAGTCCAATGACGCCTACGGCCTGTAAATATTGTGGAAAAATACCTTTTATACTACGATTAATTAACCGGATAGAATAAAGAAACCAAAGATACATTTCAGGAGGAGGATTAATTTTTGTTAACCAATTACCTTCACACATAAACTCACCTGTCATGGACATTATCCTGTTAGCGGTGACCATGAGGCCCTAATAGATCACGTGTGCTATTGCTGAGTAGATAATCCCTTATGTTTCAACCTATTACGGAGCGTATGTGTGTGTTAATGTGCATGTGCATTAGATCCCAAACTCCTCTGTCGCTGCCACAGTGTCGAGTTCAAGTCCACTTATTTTTGCCTCTAAACATTTCCATCAAGAGTCAAGATTCTTCTGTAGGATAAGCTCCAGCAGATTGGGCTCTACCTTTGGGAAGGGGTCACGGCAGCTTTCAGACCATCTGGCCGAGCAATCACTTCATTACCTGAAGACAGCCTGAGTCAATCAACTGCAGACGGGACATCTTTTAAAACTGGGCTTGACTTCTTCCAAAACCAAGGAATGTTTTGAGACAGGATTTTATGGATTATAATTGTGGAGAGTATTATTATAGAAGACAAGTCTTATTTATATATATGTAGCTATGCTTTGCATAGTCATGCTGCTTGGAATGGCAGAAGGAAAATCTGTCAAAGACGACTCATTCTGCACTCAGCTGCCAAATATTACACCGCTGAGGGACAAGAATGTACCATATTAGATATTTGCTTGTGTCTGGATCAGTTCACCTTGGCTACTGTTCCTGGATGAGCCGATGCATGCATCGTTACCGGTTTTTTTCAAGCCCCATCCTTGGCAAGTATACTTTCACTTACATCTATGTACAGCTTAAATCAGTTATGTCATGTAATAACTGTCCTGGAGAGATCATTTGAGCAGTGTTCCTCATTTTAATATGCATTAAATGTAGTATATATTAAGTGCACTCATGCCATTTATTTGGTTTCATGAGTATTTTGGGTGTTTTACTTTTTATATGAGATTGTTTTGTGAGTAATTAAACGGTCCTTGTTGAGAGGCACTGGATTTGTTTTAGGAGTGTCATTTTGGGGGTATCATGGGGGCATTGAACTTGATTTTTTTTTTTTTTTTTGGAGGGCATTTAATTAATTTTGAGTGTATTATCAAGAAACTCTTGGGTAAGAGACTAGCTAGCTCTTTGCTACTCCCACATGGTTGCCCACTGAAGATAAGCAGGGCTGCACCTGGTCAGTACCGGGATGGGAGACCACATGGGAACGCTAAGTTGCTGCTGGAAGTGGTGTTAGTGAGACCAGCAGGGGTCCTAATGCCCCACTATAGTGATAGGGATTCTGTACTGCTCAGTGAGCGTAGTCTTTCGGGTGAGATTAAACCGATGTCCTGGCTCTCTGTGGTTGTGAAAAATCCCTGGATGTTTTTTGAAAAAGTGTAGGGGTTTAACTGGTGGTGGATGAGGAGATTTCCACTAATGTGTAAAGCACTTTGAGTGTCCAAAAAAGTGCTATATAAATGTAAGGAATTATTTTATTATTATTAAGAGTTATTGAACTTGTTTTGTGAGTCTTTGTGTATTTTGGGACATTTATTTTGTCTAGTGTCAAACATATTTTATGGACACTGAATTCATTTTGGGGGTGTTTTTAGAGGAATGTAACTATGTTTTGTTAGTTTCTGGAAAAGTTTAAGTTTAAAATGTTTTTAAAGGGTTATTAAACTTGTTTTGTCATGTTCTTTTGGGTGTAATATGTGGTTCAAAGAAGTATTATGATTTAACATGCATTGTTAGTTCATTTCAAAGTCAGTTTTTTGCTTTCAAACTGACACAATTTTAATGTCCCATCTAAATGATAAAATCTTTTACTTTTCATGGTTTTAGGTTCGTGCAGTTGATAGAAGTCTCAAGCTGAGTTCTGGGATCTAAAGCCTGTTTAGATCATGGCTTTGAATTCTTCAGAAATCACTGTTCCACCTCAAGTTTGCACAATTGTGCCTCCATCACCCAACTTGAAACGCAAGCAACTAATGTGGCAGAATGCTGTACGTCACATTATTGACCAACGAGGAATGCACCACGAGGGGCGAGCGGTCAACTCTCGCAAAATCATTGTTACTGACGCCTACATCGATGACATCAACAGACAGATTCGGAACAAAGCTGCACGGGGCAATGCTGGCATGCATAAGCGGCGCTCCTCTGCAGCTCGCATCCATCCATTTCGAGAACGCAACTCCACCTGCACACGGAAGTCAACAGAATCAGTTACTGATGCAGACTTCTTTGTAAGCTGGGGCTCCACAGTGCGTGGCATCTTCCTCCCTGCTCTCCACCACAAGTTCAAATCTCACGATCTGGAGCATTTGTACCAGCAGCACTCATCTGGCCAACGGCGAACTTCCCTCGTAGTCACTAATGTAATTGATATTCTTACCAAACTCCACATTATCTTCATCTACCTGGCTTTGGCCCCTGAGATGGTGGACTCTCAACATGGATGGTTGGCCGGGCTCTTAATGGCGCTCGGAGCGATCATATGTGTCTTAGTTCTGACTTGTAAAGGACTGATGTCTCCAGATTACCTTCGCTATGCCGGGCTGGCAAGCTGGCTGTCACAGACTGTTCAAGCGCTGGGGGGACTGGTGTACGGATTGGAGACAGACCAGTCGTGGTATGTGCTCTTCACCCTTTTTGCCATCTACACACTATTGCCCCTACCTCTGCTGTGGTCCATCTGCATGGGATTCCTCACTGCTGCCTTGCACCTGTTTGTGGATACCTTTAAGAACTACAATGACACAGCCATTGTAAGAAAGGTAAAGAAGAGTCTATTCACAAATCTCAAAGCTGACATTTGGTTCTCACCCAAGTGTAAGAAAAAGAAATTCTTGATAATGGAAGATCACAGCCCGAAAAAAAATCTCTAAGGCCCTGATTTAATTTTTCTTTCTTCATCTGAGAGCAAAAAAGATGTTTGAAAAGGCTCAATCCCAATTCTACCTCGTTTTGCGCGTTCAAGTTAAGGGGTAGGGGTGTCCTAATTCTCTTTAGCTTGAAGGCGTAGGGTTAAGGAAAAGGGCTAGATACCCCTTGAAACAAGGTTTTTCAGGACCACACTTGAAACCAATGAGTATGAAGTTTCCCAGAACACACCATCTACATCGGCAGCATGGCTACACACGGAACAAAAATGGAATTTGGATTGGGCCTAAGTGACAGTATAATGTTTTTGACCTCTCAAACACCCTTGTGCTGCAATAGGCAGGCTTGTAAGTGCCATGTGTCATGTTGACATGAACAATTTCATACTTGATTTCGAGAACGGGATGGTTAAAACTAAAATTTTGGTGGGGTTTTGTTTAAAATTACTTCTTTTTTTGTCTTTGATTGTTTTTGGAGTATATTAGGGCCTTTAGGATCTAGGGTTAATTTGATGGAGGTTTGATCTTTCTAATGCTTCTCTCAGGCTGTGCCAGGTCTTCCTTTTAATAAATGCTCCATTGTTATGGTACAAAAGCACACCAGTTTCAGACTGTCTTTAACCATCGTCAACTTCAGGGATCAATACATCAACTAATGAAGCTTGTCTTGTTCATTCCAGTTACTAGCGAAAGGTCTATTGTACATGGGCATGAATACTGCAGGGCTTTTCATCCACTATTTATCCGATCGTGCCCAAAGGCAGGCCTTCCTTGAGACACGGCGCTGCATTGAGGGTCGAGTCAAGATGGAGAGAGAGAACCAGAGACAGGTTTGGGAATCTCGACTTTAATACGTTGTTATTATTTCATTAATGCAAAAGTTTCAATGAAACAAGACTTTATATTACATTAGGAGCGCTTGGTGATGTCTATTCTTCCTCGGTTTATTGCTATGGAGATGATTGGTGATATGACTGCCCTGGATGATGAATTGCTTCCTCAACAGTTCCATAAAACTTACTTTCATCAATACAAAGATGTCAGGTAAACGCAGATCCCCATGTAGTAGTATTTACAGCAAGGATGTTGCGTCAAATCAGCATGAATATGCTATTGTTTCAGCATCCTGTTTGCTGACATAAAAGGCTTCACCTCTCTCTCCATGACCATGCCGGCTCAAGAATTGGTGCGGACTCTCAATGAGCTGTTTGGTCGCTTTGATCGCCTTGCAGAGGTGAGAGATATTAACCATAATGGGATAGTTCACCCAAAAATGTTCAATTTAGTCCAAAGGAGGCTTTGCAGTACCAAATTTTCAACAGTATTGGGGGGCCTGTAATATTTACACTTCAACAGTTTCAGAATATCCTATCTGGGTACAATTAGAACTGTTATCCTCAAAGTCCTCCCTTCATTCAATGATTTGCTCTCAGCTTCCAATAAATGGTAGAAATGTCTCAGACAGTTTAGTGGGGTCCAATACTCTTAAAATATGGGTTGCTTTTAGGAAACACTTAATAAGACCGTCCAAACTAGAACCTATAGTAAATAATATATCTTTTCTACCATCATGTTCTTCTTCAGTTTTTCGTGAACTTCAGTTTTTCAGAGCCTTTATACCATTAAGGACTTGTTTGATAAAGGCGTATTTTCTATAATTTTTACAATCGTCTCAAAAGCCCATCTTCTTTTGTTGTTGTTGTTGTTGTTGTTGTTGTTGTTGTTGTTGTTGTTGTTGTTGTTGTTGTTGTTGTTGTTGTTGTTGTTGTTGTTGTAGTTGTAGTTGTTGTAGTAGTTGTTGTTGTCGCCGCGCGTACTGAAGAGCGGTGTTGTTGCGCACGCGTACTGTAAAGCGAGGGGAGGGGGGGCAGCGCGCATATTCAAGAGCGGTGTTGTCGCGTGCGCGCCTACTGAAGGGCGGTAGGGGGGAGGGGCACGAGGGCTGCAGCACGAGGGCTTTATGATTGTTTATGAGCGCCAAAAGTGGCGGATCTGTTCGCCAAAATATCTGACTGCGTGTCACTGCATCCCTAAGGATTGTTTGGCAAAATATTTGACTGCATGTCACTGCATATCAAACAACTGAAACGATATAACTAGAGAAATCTCCTCTTTGCTGAGCGAGAGCGCTTAATGAATGACGTAAGCGTGCCCAGGCCCGATTGTAGTGTGAGTGCGGGACGTCGGGGGAGACGGGAGGGGAGACAAGTGTGCTTTGGCTCAGTTCGAGGCAACTGTACATAGTGTGAGTACGGCCTCAATTCTTTTTCTTAACCCAGACATAAGAGGTGTTTTATCTGCACAAAATGTTAATAAATATAATTGGCCAAAACATTTCTTGCATGGAGCCCGATCACTTCACTTCACAAGGTCTTCACAAGACCTCAATGTGTCATGGTGAGCCCCAGGAATTGGTTTGGACTAGTTTGCATTTGTTTATTTTTAATCTAAAAACCTATCACCATTCACTGCTATTTTATAAATCACCAAGGACCACCGATTTAACTTCAAATCTTCTTTAAAGTTCTACTGAAGAACAAAGTCACCTATATCTTGGATGACCTGAGGGAGAGTAAATTAATAGGATATTGTAATATGTGGGTGAACTATGCCTTTAAATGTCTTAATGTAATGTAAAGGCTAGTGTAGGGATGTCCAAACTCAGTCCTGGAGGACCGGTGTCCTGGAGATTTTAGCTTCAACCCTAATCAATCACACCTGAACCAGCTAATCAAGCTTTTACTAGATATACTAGAAACTTCCTGGCAGGTGTGTTAAAGCAAGTTGGAGATAAACTCTTAAGGACACTGGCCCTCCAGGACCGAGTTTGGACACCCTTGACCTAGTGCAAAGCATAAATGTGTTTTTTTTTATTGTAAAGTGGTCTGTCAAAAGTCTGTCTGTCCGTCCATCTGTCCATCCATCCATCCAACCACCCACCCACCTACCAAAATGATCTGCATAAAATTAGGAAACATTTTGCTGTAGCTGTTGAAAATATGGCAATTAGATTTGCAGTCGATGTGTTGGAACCATAATGAAAGTCTTGTTTATTACTTTAGGAGAATCACTGCATGAGGATAAAGATTCTTGGAGATTGTTACTACTGTGTGTCTGGGGTTCCAGAGCCCCAGACTGCACATGCCCGCTGCTGTGTAGAAATGGGTCTGGCCATGATCAACACTATACGGTGTGTATTTTACATTTTTTCAATCACTTATGGTGATGATTGTAAACTCATTGGTTAGTTTACACCAGTTAATTGTGCAGAGGATTTTCAGAAAGCTTTTTATGCATCAGTGTCCCCTAAAGGATCTGTTTACACTGGTTGTTGAGATGCATTTTGATCTAACAGATTAAAAGTGCATAAAGGAGATGTGCCTAATGGGCCCACTTTGGAGACCTGAATGCTTTGAGGGAAGGGTTTGTGGCAGGCTTTTATGTACACTGAACTAAACAAAACAATTAGATCAACTTTAATTCATTAAGTTTATTTCACCTAAATGAACTGTGTATTATTGTTGTCACTGTTTTTTTTTTCCTTTTTTCATTTTGGTCTTACTTTATTACAAAAAAACTGTCATTTAAGTATTCACTTTTTCAGTGAATGAGCTTTTTCTGATCTTTTAATCTAATTTGCAAAATAAGCTAAACATTGAAGGAGAACATAGCCATTGCTACCAAATGTACATTTTCAGACAGACCTGGTGGAAAAAAAAAAGTTTTTGTTATGGGGTTTTAAATGCAATCGGCCACATGTGTAAAATGAATCTTATAAGCATTTTTTATACAACCTAGTGTAAAAATTATGTTCTTGATCGTTTTTTTCCACTTGTTTTTTGCATTTTACTTTTGGGATTTATTGTCAAAAATGTCTTAAAGAGCCCCTATTATGAATTAAAAATAGTCATATTTTGGTTTTGGGGGTCTCCAACAATAGGCTGATATGCATGCAAGGTCAAAAACACTTTAATTGTCTTATAATATGTTGTGATTGGTTGACTACATTCAGTGTGAGACAGAGAGAAACGCTCAGCATGGCATATCAACAGTTTTGGGGTAGTCAAAGTGCAGAGAGTATGTGTAAACCCAATGCAGGAGTGCATTGAAGCAATGCAGTTTAACACCAGCGTATTGCTCTATTCTTAACCATAGTTAACCAAAGTAAAAACAGTGACACACACATTCAGTATTAATCCACACAGTGACAAAAGCTGAATTATTTTAAAACTTGACTGCCACAAATTTGTAGGAACAGGTGATGGTGGCCATATCAACAACAAACGGCAGAAGATCGCGAGCTCACAAATGCATTTAAATCCGTAAACATAGCGGGAGCCATCACGTTTTTAAAGTGGTTTTAGATGTGATATGAGGATATAGTTAACCAGATACAGTAAAAGTGGTTACAAGTGACAAAACAATTAAATACATAATTTGCATGCTAGAGAAAGCAAGGAGACATCCATTTTAATTGCACTTTCTTACATTTGTGAAATGGAGGAACAAACTGATTAGTGAACTTTGCACTGTATACATCAATATTGTTTTCTGATCCTTCCTTTTAATAAACGGTCGACAAATCCCCCGTTGTAAGCGTGTAGATTGCTGAAGCACTCGTCAGAAAAATGACAGGAACACAGCACAAGGCTGGGGCTATAATGCTGAGGTATTTTTGCAAAAATAAACTTAAACCACTTCACAGCCTCATCTTTGGGTAGGGAAAATAACACTAACTATCCCTCACACTTCAGAGCACAGCGTCTTTGCGACATGTTTTAAGCGGTATCTGCTACAGTGTTTGTGGATGAGTCTGGGGGTTTCAATTTTCCCGGTTCTGCATGCGCAGGAAATGGGTGGGGTTTGAGTTCCCCTGTCAACGTCATGTCAGCACGTCTAAAGACTCATTACGGCGGGGATTCATTCAAATTACTATGAGACTATTCTTTTATAGATGAATCAATAGTTTTAAACACTGTTCGCATTCAAAATTAAGCCTTAGCTGGATATTTCATTTCACTCAGAGCTGTTACACACTGCATGGAAGGTCTTTTTCAAAAACCCATTATAGGGGCTCTTTAATCATATGGTGCATCTCAATGGGCTTCCTGGTTAGGTAGTCAAAGCACCAATCATGGAGTCATATAATATATTTTGTTGTTCCTGTGTTGACCATTGATGTTTGACAGCAATTCTAAAAACGAAGAGATGACGAGATATCAGATAAATGTTATTCATCGTTCTATTTTAATCAGTTATGTGCGCAAAGAGCTGAAGAGAGATATGGACATGCGTATTGGAATCCACTCTGGCTCTGTCCTGTGTGGGGTTTTGGGTCTTCAGAAATGGCAGTTTGACGTGTGGTCTTGGGACGTAGATGTTGCCAACATGCTAGAGGCTGGAGGAATCCCAGGGCAAGTACACCACATCGTTAGTTTCATCATAATACACATCAGATAATAGTGTAATAAAACAAAATGTGTAACAATAGGAGGATTCATATATCGCGAGCAACCCTGGACTGTCTCGAGGGTGTTTATGAGACGGAAGAGGGCCGAGGACATGAGCGCAATGAGTTTTTACGCAAGCACAAGATCGACACTTTTCTGATCCGCCACACACCCCAAGATGACAAAGAGCCCCCTAAAGTCAGGAGAACTAGCAAAGATGAGACAACATGGAGTGCAGAGCTGCCTTTTGACAACATCATCGGAATGAACTGTGTAAGTACTCATAAACCTCACCTACATTTAGTATGTAGTCTTTACTTAGTTATAAGATTAAAGATTGAGTTTATCACGGTCATATTTATTGATGGTCAAACTTTAGCCCATCATCAAAAATAAATCCAATGTTTTTAACCAATGGTTTGACACACAACGGCATCTCACCCAAGTCTAAATTTGGGGAGATTGTGAGTTCAGATTTCCTCCTCAAAAATGTAATGACAGCCAGGCCTTCACCTCTGTCAAACAGGCCTTATGAGATTAAAGACCCCCAGAGTTTCATTTGACTGGCAAGTAAACCCGAGTGTCGAAATAAACATTGCATTTACTTACTTAACTTTTCTCATCTTTTAGATATTAGCCACGTTTACCAATGGCTCCTTGGTGCACCTGCCCAATCAGATTACTCCGCATTGTGCCGGGTCTCGAGAAATCAACAAGAGAATCAAGCAAGCCATCGAGGTGCGCAGCAGTGAACGAATGCGCAAAGAACACATCACACCCTTCACTCTAGTCTTCAAAGACACACACATTGAGGGAAAGGTATAGACCTCACAGAAACCTTCATATTTACAGTAGCATAATAGCATTTGTGCATATGAGTAGACCCACACAAAATTTGCACTTTCAGTTTTCTCAAATGAGAGATGAGATGTTCAAGTCCAATTTGGCCTGTTCCTTCCTTCTGCTCCTCTTCATCATGGCTGCCCAAGCCCTCATCCCTTCTCCACAGTAAGTGATTACTTGCATTATCAAAAGTATCAAAGTTTTATAGGGGTCGATACTGAAATATTTAAAATATCACTTTTCCGCAGAATTGACTGCGGTCTGTGAGTTTAGAAGCACCACAGTCTCATGTCACACCTCCTGTTACTTTCATTCAGGACACTTGAAGCATTTTTAGGGCATTACGGCCTGCCACAGTTTTACTTTCTGTAAATGAGCTACATGATTAGTTTCAATAGATAGGCTAAATCTGTGTCAAATAACTCCAATATAATACAACATTGTCTTTAAAACTATGCTTAAAGTCCATGTGAAATCAAATTGTACAATCTTTATTTTGCTAGTGCAGATTGTTATTCTTTAGGTGAACAAATAAGCCCTGCAAGTTAATCCACTGAAAATATGTTTGTTTCGGTAATCTTCAGTCATAGTCAATCATTTTCTGATTTCAGCCGCAATATACCACACCCCTCTTACCGTTAGTTTGCTATGAGAGAATGATGTGCAAAAAGAAAGCCCTGCCCTCTAATCAATATTTTTGTTTAAGTTGGAAGTACATCAACTTATTGAAAAAAAAGTCTCAGCAACTTCTGGTTCATGTGCACTTTAAATTCATAGTCATTAGTCACACTAATTATCATTTATCATCAACAAAAGACCATTACAATTACAGTTGGAGCCACCTGAGAAGCAATGTTTTTAGCTACATATTTGCTCTGTTAAATTTATTTGTGTTATTGATGGTAATTTGGTTATTTGTTCATTAAAAATAGTTCACTTGTCAAAAATGTTTATAAGTTGGCAAGTAGTTTCTTCTTTAATACTAAAATTGGAATTAAGAATTGTGAAATTTATCAGAATGCCACATGTAATCATTTATTAATTATTAATGTTATTCACTAATATATAAGGGTTGGGACCCACCAGGGGGTCCTGGGACAATGAAGGACTAAAATCTAATTCATTTTATTAATCTATTAAAATTACTATATTTTATCCATAAGCTACTAAAGATAAAAATAGTAGTTCTTAGTTGCAGCCCTTCGAATATTTATTTATTTTTTTTCTATTGGATTGCGGTCATGCTGCGTTCACACCTGACTTGGCACGCGCAGATAAATCGCTTCAAATTCACTTCACAATAGATGCAGATTCACAATATGGGCAGGGCTTCTTTCTGCCCAATGACTCTAGCTTTGTTGCTAAATGGCTTACATAGCTTTTATTGAGATAGTAGCTGTGATTATGTGCTTTAGGAATGCTGAAAAACATTGTAGATTCATTTGGCACCGTGTCTAAGTTCACTAGATCCTTTCAGAGGTGCACCAAGCTCTGTGAATTCATTAACTCATGGGTGTCCAAACTCCTGGAGGCCTGGTGTCCTGCAAAGTTTAGTTCCAACCCCAATCAGACACACCTGGGCTAGCTAATCAAGCTCTTACTAGGCTTTCTAGAAACATCCTTTCAGGTGTGTTGAGGCAAGTTGGAGCTAAAATCTGCAGGACACCGGCCCTCCAGGACCGAGTTTGGACACCCCTGCATTAACTCCTCCAGAAATTATACCTAAATGATGGGGCTTTCAGCATCTTCAGGAGGTATGTGTCTTATGCCTTTAAAGCCACCACGTGCTCATTGCGCATCAGCATCGTCTTCTGAGGTGCAAGTCATCTTTTAAATATGGAAAAGATTGACACAGGAACCCCTGCCATATACAGCTTAAATAGTTTATATAAAAATATACAGTTTGACAGCTATTTTTCAGTGAAAATGTCACAGGTCTGACTGGACCAGTAGTCAAAATCCTTAGTGACATGCCTAAATATTGTATATTTATTGCAAAATTTATATTTATGTTGGGATGAGGTATCATATCAAAGTTAGAAATTCCAGTATCGTCAACATCAGCTGTTACTATTCTCTCAAAAGCCCCATGTGTGTTTAATTTATAAACATGGCATGTCTGCATGTGTTTCCCATAGATTCTTTCCCATGATAATCCAGTTTTTAGTGTTCCTGTTTGTCTACATGCTGGTGCTTCTGGTCACTCTGGCTGAGGAATTTAAGCGCTCCCCGCCATATTTACAGCATCTGTGCTGCTGGATCCACGAGACCAAGAGCATCCGGAACCTACTCACCCTCACTGCTATTGCTATTAACTTTGGTGTAGCCTCCTGCAACATTGTGAGTGCCAACATTTTGCAAGTGGTGCTCGCTGCAGAGCCATTTGGGCGAGCTGAGCTCCAGCAAAGGGGAGCTTGAGCTTGAGCTCCACCTTTTTTGCACTTCTTCTACGAGTGATGTCACTGGGGGTAGGGTTAGGGGTGGGGTTGGTGTACGCATTAAAACAGCTTACAGGAGGCTGAACGAGAGCTCATGCTCCCTCTCGCTGGAGCTCAGCTCTGCTCAAATGGCTCTGCAGCGAGCACCCTCTCACATTTTGGGCTGTTTGTGTCAAATCAAAATCATGCTTGTCTTAAAACTTCCATCTATTTCTTCACAGTTTTGGTGTAACGGCACATTTGAAGAGACTGAGAAAAGCAACAAGAACTCAGAACATGGTAAACAGTGGCCAGTAAACATCTGCACACATCCTGAGGTACAGTACAAATGGACTTAAATAGACTGTTTACCCCACAAAATGTAATTCTTACATTATTTACTGACACTTATTTTGTTCCAAACCCCAAGGCCTTTGTTCAAATTAAGATATTTGGAATAAAATTCTAAAGCTGGTTCTCCATAGACAACAATGGTCCAGACTTGTTCAAAGTACAGAAAGGTACCAAAAAACCTCCTCAAAACAGTCCATGTGTCTTCAGTGGTTCAATCGGACTGTTATGAAGCTACGAGATCACTTTCGTGTGCAAATAAAACAAAAATAATGACTTTCAATTTCATCTCCTCAGTGTAAGTGTAGGGTGCATGTTCACAAACGCTGTGCACTGATGTATAGCCTGGATCCCCGCATGCCACTTCCTCTGTTTGAAATAAAACCCAAGTAATACATCCTAAATTATTATGACTTGCACGAGACATATGAAAGCACTCGTAGAATCATTATTTTTTGTTAGATGTGCACACTAATGTATTCTCATAGTTTGATGATATTACAATTGAACCACTGAAAGCATATGTAAGGTTTTGAGGATTTGTTTTGTATTTTTTTTAACAAGTCAGGACCAATGCTATAAGAGAGCTCTCAGAAACTTCTGTTTCAAAGACGAATGAAGGTCTCGGGAGTAACTTACTCTTTAACAACAAATGTTATTAACCCTCCTGTTGACTTACAGGTCAAACATGACCTAGGCACCATTTTAACCCTGTACAATGTTATTTTTATCTTGAAGTATGGTGACTTTTTCTAAAATGACCCATTCGAAAAATTGTCTGTTTTCTTGAATGCTGTACACATTTAGGGTACAACGGTTGTCCTTCAGGTCAATTTTGACCCATCAGTAGGCCCACCCGGAATCCGGAATAATTTTCTTTACTCAAAAATGAGTGGTGCCCTCTGAGTAACATTAAAGAAACACTCCACACTAATGAGGGAAATGGTAGACATTCACAGTTTTTGATGAAGATGAGGTTGTGTCTTCATGCAAAATAAATTTGAAGATTGAGTTGAATTTATCATAGATTTCTGTACACACTGTCATTTTTGACAGTGTGTACAGAAATCTAAGACAACAGGAGCATTAAATAGCACTCATGACCACCTCCAAACAATATTTCTTGTTTTTTTTTCTTCTTTTTTTTTGTTGCTGTTTTATAATTGCTGTGTCTGTGACGTCATTAAAGCCATACAGTAAAAGCATCTCTCTCTCTCTCTGCAGTTCTTCGTTTTGAGTGGTGTGGTGGCAATGGTGACGTGTGCTGTCTTCCTGAGGCTCAGCTGTCTGTTGAAGCTAGCAGTGCTGACGTTAGTCATTGCAGTTTACACATACCTCATTGAGGTTGCCTTCCATGTGCTCTTTATCCGCCAACACCAAAACAGCCAAATTCAGAGGTACAGTATATATATCAGTTGTTTTTTTAACACTGGCACCACCAATATTTTATAAATACTAGAATAGCCAGTGTTCATATAAGACTCTACCAAATTGAACTTTTGTCACATCAAATCTACATTTGAACCTTCTATTGGGTTTGTAAAGTTAACTCAGCAGGCACAGGATTTCAACATGATGCCAGATTGACATTGTACCCCAATGTCGTGGGGATGTTGCATTTTGTTTGAAAATGAAAATGTGCAACCTAAAATCAACCAAATATCAACGTCTAATGATATTACAGCTTAACGTTGTGTGAACGTTACCATTATAACGTCTATCAGAGGTTGGATTTTAGTTGCCATACCTGATGAATAAATGTCAGTATTTGACACAACTTAAAATCAACCAAATATCAACATCATTTGACATTGACTACCTGGCTAGGCATTGAATTTTAGTCACCTGACGTCACAACCTAAATCTAACTTAATATTAACGTCTTATGATGTTGTGTGCCTGCTTGAATATCTGTCATCAGTCATTATATGTGCCTATATTTGTGTACTTGTAGACAAAGTAATGTATTCAGCCAATTTGAATGTTATAGCTATTCAATGTAGAAATACTCAGAACTCTTTTGTGTTTTGTAATTTCAATAATATAACGATGCCATAATGAAATATGCACACATTTCGGAAAAGTCAGAATGCTATATTTACATGGGTTTTATTTTAACAAAGTTATCAAGTTACAAAATAAAAAAAAGTCAAAATGACTGCTGAAGTGAAACGACAAGGAAAACCGTTTTCTAATTGTAGTGGCAATTTTCTTTAAGGAGGCTCTCTCGGTGGTCAAGAAGACAAATTCTTACTCAAAGTGTCTTTTAAAGTTTTATTCTTTGCAAAGAAGGTCACACGATCATACATCAACAACAGTTTCTGCAGAGTGTGAGATGCAGAAACAGAGTGCGTTCTCTTTTTATCTAGTTTGTAATACCCACAAGGTCATCAGTGACATACAGGATGAATCACAGTTACATCAGTGCTCAAACTTTATTTTTGACCATCTATATTTCAGCCTTACATCCTATCCGAACATGTGGTTTGTTAAATCACCATGTACTTATCCAGATCTTGTCTTGTGATAAACAGATGTTAAAGTGGTCACACTTGGTCAACTTAAATGGTAAATCCATAGAAGAATAAAATAACAGACCTTTATAACTAGAACACGTGAGTATATAAACTGAATATAAGATAAATAAAATCAATTTCCACCACACTTACAAACCAGTGCTACTTACAAACCAGTTACCCTAGTTCAGATACTTTTCTTGTCTTTTCAAAACACCAACTCAACTAGGCCAACTGCTTTGTAAGTAGCATGAAAACACTGCTAGTCTACTCTAGAAGTAAGAATAGCGTATGCTGGTAGCTGGATGAATAGGTTACCTTCACCAACAAGACAAACTGAAACATTTGACTGCTTTTTTAAAATGGTGGCTAAGCACAATGTTAAACATCTTGTTCTTAGTTGTAATCTGTATTTGTATGAAAAACTACATGATGTAATTGGATTTGCCATGTATGGATGCAGAAGTAGGTTCACAAACCTTAAACATATATAAGAATGCAATATAAGTCTTTCATTGTTTGTAGAATGTTTTTTGGCACTTCCTTATTAGAATTATTTGGAAAGATGAGATCTGTTCACTGATGTAAGACTCTAAAAACTCTGCTCTTGGAAAAAAAAGTTTTTTTGTTTGTTTTTTTAACCAGTCGAAACAACTACAAACTGATATGGATATATAGATATCAACTTAAAAATCAATCTTTGTTAGCTTTTTTTGGACTTTTTTTTAAAGCACAGATAAAAACAAGTCTTAACATATAAAAATTATTCAACTGACAGTAATTTAAAGTGTTATGGTGATTGATGATGATAATAATTAATTAATATGAATTAATAATAATATTAGTATTAATATACATGGAATTTCTAAGATTTAGATTCCCCTTTTTCATCCCATTGTCTATTATTATTTGTCACTAAAATATATGTCTAGATTTATAAATATAGATTCTATAAATCCAAAAGCAATCATGTAAAAAAGTTTATTATTTGTAAAAATACAGTTTATTTAAAATGTCTTTTTTATTTTATGCATTTATAAAAATACATATTTTCCTTTTTTTTTCATTATTATTTCTCACTGAAAATGTGTACTTCAATGATGTGACACCATCACATTACTTCCTAGACTATTGAATTGTTATGTCCCCTCTGATGTGTATGTGTGTTTTGCCTAGATCTCAATACCTCAGACGGAAAGGCATTTCTGTGCTGCTAATGGCCATGTTTGTTGTGGTCGTCCTTTACAACAGTAGACAGGTATTTTACAAATAGAATTTATATTTAAATAATATGCAATAAATATATAATAAATGTGTTCATTATTATATAAGTGATACCACTTTTAGATATTTATAATAATAATTTATATAAGCATTTAAGTATTTTTTTTTAATCAGTAAACAATAATGAAATCACCACTTAGCTTGCTTTACTTATTACATTCTTTATAAATTCTTAAAAGTCCTGTCAATCAAACTGACACAATATAATTTGTGCTGTGTCCTTCTAACCCACAGCTAGAAACTACATCCAGGCTTGACTTCCTGTGGCGTCTGCAGGCCAGGCAAGAAGTGGAGGACATGAAGGAACTAAGGGAGCATAACGAGTGTCTGCTGTACAACATCCTCCCTGCCCACGTCGCTCGCCACTTTCTCGAGAGAGACAGAAACAATGAGGTACAGTAGTAACCGCATTTATAGTCCTACTTAATATTAAGGGCCTTTAACTAGTAAATGTAATGTAAAGTACAGTATATTTGCTGTGTTCTTATCATGCTTAATAAGAAGGCGAGTTCAATTTTAAAATTAAAGATGATTTTAAAGTGAGGATTTGTCCAAAAATTAAAAATGTACTCATTATTCACTCACTCTCAAGTATTTTTTTCTGTTGAACACGATTTTGAAAAGTGATGGAAACCTATAGCCAATAATATCAATAGTCCTGAGTCAATGTCTATTGGTAACTAGCATTGTTCAAAGTATCTTCTTCTTTTTTAGACACAGTTTTCTATTGCAGATGAACTATTCCTTTAAGTCAAGCGTCACCAAACTTGTTCCTGGAGGGCCAGTGTCTTGCAGAGTTTGGCTCCAATTCTAGTTAACCACATCTGAACAAGCTAATCAAGGTCTTACTAGGTATACTTGAAACATCCAGGCAGATGTGTTGAGGCAAGTTGGAGCCAAACCCTGTAGAGACACCGGCCCTCCATGACCAAGATTGGTGCCCCCTGCTTTAAGTGATGCCTTTTAATCACTTTTTTTTTTTTACTTTTTCAAATTCAATTCACCTTTTATTAAAGCGCTTTTACAATATAGATGTGTCAACGCAGCTTCACATAGAAGATCATAATAAATTAAAACAGTGTCAGTCCAGTTTTCAGTGTTGAAGTTCAGTTTAGCTCAGTTCAGTGTGGTTAATAATCACTACTGAGAGTCCAAACACTGAAGAGCAAATCCATTAATGCACAGCTCTACAGATCCTGAACCATGCAAGCAAGTGGCGACAGTAGTGAGGAAAAAACTTCACCAATTGGCGAAAGTAAAGAATTAAAAATAATAGAGAGAAACTAGGCTTAGTTAGGCACGACCATTTCTCCTATGGCCAAGTGTCTTGTGCAGAGCTGCAGTCTAGGCGCCGGAGGCTGGAGAATGCTCAACCTAAGCGAAGACTCGTCTGTCCATGGAGCGTCACAGGAGTCAGTCACAAGCTATCCACTCCTTCATGAACACCACAGCAGCTGCTCAGGATACAGCCTGGTCCAGGATTATGGAAACCTTGGGATCATCTTGTCGCTGGTCTTGGAGTGAATCAGTGTTGCTGCATAGTCTGAGGGCCTCGGGATGAGTATCCCCTGGTGGAAACAGAGAATAAAGAGAATAATTAGCGTAGCTGCTGTTCATAGTGTATATAAACGAGATGCAGAAACCTGTGTGGAGCACATTCATGTATCACACCGCTAAGTGATGCACTGAGTATATGCTTTACTAAAAAGATAGGTCTTTAATCTAGCTTTGAACTTTGAGAGTGTGTCTGAGCCTCGGACGTTATCAGGAAGGCTATTACAGAGTTTAGGAGCCATAAATGAGAAGGCTCGACCTCCTTTACTCGACTTTACTATTCTAGGTACTACCAGAAGCCCTGCGTTTTCAGATCTTAAAGAGCGAGTTGGATTGTAGCAAGACAGAAAGTTGGTTAGATAAACAGAAGCTAGATTATTTCAAACTTTCTATGTAAAAAGCAATATTTTAAAATCAATACGAAACTTAACAGGCAGCCAGTGTAAGGAGGATAAAATTGGGGTAATATGATCATATTTTCTAGACCTGGTAACAACAAATGAAAAATCATTTGTGTACAGTGAACTGTATTAATTAAATGATTAAAAATCAGGGAAATGTATCAAATGATTTCATTAAATATTAATACTTTAATATAATAATGCATAGTAGTTATAAGCACTTAATGTAATTGTAGCGTAACTTAAAATTGATGGCAGAGCTTAGTAGTTTAACTTTGATCAGAAAATAAAACAGTAGAAATAAAATTGTTTAAAAAATGTAAACATCAAAGTATTTATATGGTTTGAGCATTTAATATTTTAACCTTTGTTAATTAAGATGTCAGAATAAGTTTATAGTAACACCCCTGTGTTTTCTCTGTTTTAATCATTTGGCTCCAAGGATCTGTTCTCTGAATCGTACGAGCGAGTTGGAGTGATGTTTGCTTCCATTCCAGGCTTTTCCGATTATTACGAGAAGAAAGAATTGATTCATCAAGACGTGGAGTGTCTGCGTCTTCTTAATGAGATCATTGCTGACTTTGATGAGGTACGTAGATTTATGTTGCATCCTCTTAGAACCAAATGTCATCTAACTAAGTCCAATTGACAATATAACAGCTAATACTGTAGCAGCTTAGATGATATTGATGGAATGGATTTCAAATGTACGAATGCCCAACACTGTGATATCAAAAGATTATAAAGACAGACCTACTGAACTTACTGATCCTTTTTCTCGATTTCACCTCAGCTACTGGATGAGCCTTACTTTCAGGACATTGAGAAAATCAAAACCATTGGCAGCTGCTACATGGCTGCATCGGGCCTTTCTCCTGAGAAACAGGTATGTGATACCTTGAAGTGTGAATTCAAAATGTATATGTAGATGCAATAAATATACAGCTATGGGTGAAAACAAAAATAAGAGACCACTTGAAAATGAAATTTCTCTGGATTTATAGGCAGTTATATGTTTGAGTTAAACATTTTTTAGTTGTGTTCTTTAAACTACCGATGAATGGAATGACTGTGGAGAGCACATTTATTTTACATATTTAACAAAATAATATATAAATTACCTTTTCAAAGCCAACTAACGATTATTTGGAAAACTCTTCAACCAGTCAGAACCAGTCCTGGGTTCCCATAGAAAAAACAAGATTAGACAGATTTATGGCTTTGAAGGAATTCTGGAACAGGAAATTGTACCCTCTCCTAAACAGCCTAAGGCCCTGATCACACTTAATGTCCCCTGCACTGTTTATGCGCCTCAGGCACTTTGCATTAACAGTCTGCTGCAGCTCACGTTTTTGACAAATTGCCTAGTAGTTAAACGTCATTTTTTTCTGGAGAAAGCATCCTACGTCATGTCCTCCAGTGCCAAGACAATTGGTAAAGTGGTTGCCTAGCAACAAAAAAAGTGCAGTGCACTACTTATAATTGTATATCGGCAATGAGTAGTCACTATAACTCATTGCAATTGCCTTGCATAACGCTTTCGAAAAGCTAGCTGACCGTGGGTTTTCTATGTTCATCTGTGTTGAGTTTCTTTACGGGTGTTTTGAGTTTACACCTGAAATGCGTACAGTAGAAGTAGCTCAAACCCACACTCATTCAAGGTAAAAAGAGGCAGGAATCAGTGAAAGTGCAACAATGTCAATCATTAAGTAAACACAAAACAAAAGTATCCATCTGGTGCTCCCTCAGTGGTCTTGAAACTTGATAAACACTTGTGCCACCGGGCTTGCTCCTCTCCTATGGCTCTTGGTCACACCAGCCACACTCGTCACCGCTACCGAGCCGACCAATCAGAGCTCTTGCACTATGCTTCCGCACAACATGTTGTAAATTGTTTTTAGAGATGTGCGTTAGGGTTTGTTTCAGGCAATGGTAAAGGGTATGTGATGGCTGGGCCAGCATTCAAATGCATTCTATGCAGAAGTTTAAATCAGGTGCCTACTCGCCTTTTTATTTAATCAGTGTGATTCATACAGTGATGTATTCCATCTCTGTTTAAGCAATTGTTTAATAATATTCTGTTGCTTGTGTATTAATCTTCTATATATTTGTGTAGAAGTTCTTAGAACTCATATTTTAATGTTAATTCATTAATCTTTCTTTAGCTTAGTCTCTGATTTAATACAGATCGCCACAGTAGAATGTACCACCAACTAATCCGGCATATGTTTTACACAACTTATGCTCTTCTAGCTGGCAACCCAGTAGTGGAAAACACCCATGGACTATCCCATTTACACATCCACTCATACACTACTGCCGTTTTAGTTTATTCAATTCACTTATAGCACATGTTTATAAACTGTGGGGGAAACCGGAGCACTGAAGGAACCCCTGCGAACATGAAGTGAACATGCAAACTTCACACAGAAGTGAAGTTTATTCATAAACTAATTTCGAGAGGATGCTTATGATTGACACAGCTGGCCCTGAGTCAAGCTAATGTACGAACCACCAATCAGACTATTCCTAACCAAGTATAAATAACCAAACGCCTTACATTTAGTCATCTTTGTCTTGAAGAATCCCCCTTTCACCCCTTCGCCTCCTCTTTTGTCTACAGGGCAGCACGGCGGCCCAGTGGCTAGCACTGCGGCCTCACAGCAAAATGCCTCCGGTTCGGGCATCTACCCAAACGGTCAGCATTTTCGTGTGGAGTTCATGTTCTCCCAGTGCTTGTGTGGGTTTTCCCATACAAAAGTGTCCTCTGGTGTGTCCTCCGGTTTCCTCCCACACTCCCAAAAACATGACACTTAAGTAAATTGACTAAACCAAATTAGCACCAAATTCGATTCCATTCTGTCAGCAATGCATCACCTTAGCAACCCTCACACAGCAGGAGGGGGGGGGTTCTCGAGATCTACCCGAGCTCAAACTCCCCTCTCGCCCTGCAACGGGAGGGAGCCCCGGGCTCGAGGCTCTCATGAGCTCGGGGCTCTCTCCCGGGACAGCTTGCCAAACTAGCTTATTGCCAATCATCAGCTAAGTGTTAACTCTTGAAATGCCAACTAGCACAGCCAAGATTCAAACCAGCAACCTTCTTGCTGTAAGGCGACAGTGCTAACCACTGAGCCACTGTGCTATCCTTATTTTAACATTGCTATGCTATACTATTCTTATATCTAGGAGTTTCTCTTTTAGTCTGCTGGATGATCTTTTACTATGTATTTTAAAACTTGTGAATAATATAAGAATCTTAACTATGAGCACCCAATCAGATTGCATGTGTAAATCACCAGGATAGAGACGTAAACTTTCCATATAGCAAACGTTTTAAAAGTACTGACTGACCTTCCACACACCAAACAACACTTCTAAGTACCTGTCTGTGGACATGGCGTTCTACTTATTTAATATGTGACGTGCTGTGCTGAATGGTAAATGCTGCATGTGTATGTTATAGGAATGTGAAGATGAGTGGGCTCACCTCAGTACACTGGTTCTGTTCGCTTTGGCCATGCAAGAAACTCTGAAAGAAATAAACAAACGCACCTCTAATGACTTCTGGTTGCGTGTTGGTAAGATGTTCTGTTATTAAACCTCTCTACTTTTAAAACATGACTGGTGATGAAAATGGGTCAACGATGAAGGGGTGTTCAAACATTTTTCTCCAAAAACAGATTGTCCTGTTGGTGAAAGAAAAAATATTATTATCATACACTTTTTACAAGGATTTACAGAAGACAAAAACTAAAATGTCATTCAGTGTGAAAACTATTTGATTACATAAAAAACGTTTAAGGATCATGTCTGGATCAGATCCAGAATGCTGATATTGGCCATTTTAAATCTTTATACTTTTTTACAAACAACTTTTAGCCATTTGTTTTATTTATTATTTAAATGTATTTTTGTTAATTTATTAATATTATTTTTTAATTAGTGTAATTTTCCACATGATAACAATAGGACATTATTTCACTGATATCATACATTTCATTAAAACGTCAAGTCAAACACTTCTTCCTATTTAGTTTGACTTTGTTTCAGACTTAAAACATACAGTAGTATGTCTGATCATCTTTGACCCATATATCAGTTCAGAAGGAATTATTTGCTTTATTTGATTATTTGATTCAGTCTCAAGAGCATGCTTAATGACTGCTTGCTGTGAAGGAGAGTGTACACCTGCTGGGCACCGGTTCAGACACGCTAATAAGATTAAATGGGACCATCAGTATGATTTTAATGTGATTGGATTGGACAATTAAGATTAATATGAAGCTGCCAGCTTTCTTACTGTAATCCATATTGATTAATTATATCATTATTTTATTACAAAACCGTGCATTTTTAATCTAAAATTAATGCTTTGACCAAAATGAAGCTCGGACTCTCTTAACTTTAATGGAAAAGAAATAGTTCATGCAAATAAACTCTGTGTAAGTTTCCTTTTTTTATAATGAACACAAGAAGATATGTGAAGAATGTTGGAAACAAATGCGACATAATCGTATTTGTAGTGAAAGCTCCTTGATTAGACGTTCATGGGAAATCCAGTACTTATCATACAGTTTGTTTACCACAGAAGATGACAACGAACAAGAAAACTAGTTCTGGATAACTTTTATTTACTGTATAATATTATAAAGTATATTACTCTTATAGTATCATGTGTGATGACATACATCGAGTAAGAGGTCAGCCAAGACGCACATTCTAAAGTCAGTGAATTAAGTTTACAATTTATATAATTACAAAAACGCATCAATCTTCTTCATTAGGCACACATCAACCCTCTGGTGGCATGTGGGTTTGTTTTACTGTGAATTTGTGTACTTTTGGAAGATTCAAAAAGGGTCACTACCTAACACCATTGTACAGCATGGAAGAGCAAGATATTTTGAGCTGCGTCCCAAATGGCACACTATACACTATGCACTCATGCACTATGCACTTACACACTCAACAGGATAGTATATGTATGTAGTGGTGTCCCAAATGGCACACTAATGTTTTTTTTACAAAGCGGAAATTCAAACCGTTTGACGTTTGACCGAACGTTTGACAGTTGCCAAATCAGTGAAATAAACAACAGAATTATCAAATATTACCTGCCGTGAGTATTGCCGCATTCACCATCGGGAGGCGCTATAATCACTTTCGTAGGAGAATTTTGCTTCTTTTTTTTGTGCTTCTTTATATTAGCTTTGCACGTTGTGTAATTTTCATATTGTTTTTAGGGAGACAATTTTACCATCTGTCCTGTGACAGTGGAAGGGAAGAGCCTTTTGACTAATTTTGGTGCATTTGTAGAAATGTTAAGTAATGTACACTGGCCATGCCAAAATAAACGAATAAACATTTCAAACTATACTGACTGTGTGAGTCTGACAGAAGAAAATCATAAGGGACGGATTATGCAGAGTTCACTTTTATAAGGGGTTTAAATGCAGTTGTGTGGCAAAAATGTGTAAAAATAGCCGGCCCTTAATGGTAATTTTTTTTTTATAATCAGACTTGAAAGATAAAAGAAACAGAAACGCTTTAATTGACTTTCTCCCTTTGTACATGTCATGTCAGCCCTGAGTGACTAGCAGACGTCCACCATTAGCCTTTTCACATCATGCATGCCAAAGATAAAGATAGGATAAAGATGAGATTGCCTGAACAAATTTACAGGTATTTTCAAAAAGGGCCTGTTCACACATGATCCCTTTCTGAGAAAATTGCCGGTAATTTTCTGAAAAGGTCTGTATGTGTGAAAGGGGGTTGTGTCAACAACTAAGTGCTTTCACACCAGTGAATCGATTCATTTGTTCCAAAACAGGGATTAAAATTGTTACATTGTTGCTCTTTGCTCTTGGTGCGGTTCGCTTTCACACGGCAAAGTTTCTAAACGGACCAAAAGATCTAAAACAAGTGAGTAAACTCTCCTCACATTGGTCAGAGTTTCATGGTTTATTTTCCCACTCAGTCCCGCTCAGCTGTCATGCGTCCTTATTTTAATTGATGGCGATGAGCAATAAGACATTATAAGTGAAAAGCTGTGCTCTCATTTTGAATGGTGACACCCACAGACATCGTCACCAGATATAAATCAGAGGGAAGACTCTCTCATACAGAGCCCTTGGCTAGACTGTAGTTCAGTCAATGTTCCTAACAGATAAACGGCTCTCAATAATTGTTCAGCATGCTTTCACTTTCGTATTTAACATGAAACGCAAGTAGGGATGATATATTGCCCTACTCATAGTTTTCTCTTCATAAAGCCATATATGCCTATTACATATCCATAATACACTGTGATATAGCCGGGCTCATATCGTTTTGCTTTCTCACTACAATCGATCTGCTCCAGAGTTTGTTTCAGTCGAGCCGAGACCACCTTCAGGCGATCTCGGACCGATTGATTTGGCACAAATCCGAGCGCGATTGCTGGATTCACATATGCCAAACAGACCGCGTTAACTGGGCAAACAAGACAGGTTCCGAATCAAAAGTCAAGGTGTGAAAGCACCCTTAAGAAGCGTTATAAATGTTGAGTTTTAGCATGCACAAATAAAAAACATAGACTACCTTCTTCTGAGCCACTTCTTTTGACATTTTTTAGTTTTTCGCAGAGACAACATCTTTGCACACTGAAGTCAATTCACCACAAACAAAAACCTTGCACACTGAGTCCAATGCATATAATGAATCCATTCCAAAAAGCACAAAACATTTCAGAGTCATTTCACACAGTGATGCTTTGTTCTCCTCTCTGTTTTCTAAAGAAAAAAAAAAAGAAAGGAATATGCTACATATAGTGTTCATCCCATAATAGAGGGAGCAAAGTTCAATTCATTATCAAAGATCTGCGCTGGATTATCCCCAAATGCAAAAGTTTATTTTCAGGAAATGAGTGGTATTTTGATACATTGCTTGTGATACTTCACACATTTACATGCGTAAATAAATCTGGAACAGAGACTGGCAAAACCTATAGACATTATAATAGATGGCAGCCACACGTATCAGAACAACAGACCGAAGCAGACTATTAGAGGTGCCGCTAAGGCAGGGGTGTCAAACTCAATTCCTGGAGGGCCAAAGCCCTGCACAGTTTAGTTCCAACCCTGCTCCAACACACTTACCTGTAGGTTTCAAACAAGCCTGAAGGACTCAATTAGTTTGATCAGGTGTGTTTATTTAGGGTTGGAGCTAAACTGTGCAGAGCTGCGGCCCTTTTGGAACTGAGTTTGACACCTGTGCTCTAAGAGAAAAAGTTATGACGATTCTGCAGGCCCACGCAGAAACAACAACCTTTGTCTTATATTGTGCACTGTGTTTTTCATGATGTTATCTGTGGCTCAAGTGATGACATTTTGTATTTTGCCTTTCACTTGTACGGTGGCTCTGAACTGTCACCTCTCAAAGTGCTCTTTTGGATGCGAAAAAACTGAAGAAAAAAAAGATCCCGGTTCAAATTTTTTTTTATGATGGACGAAAGTTTCAGAGGCAGTGTATTAATACCATTGACACACCTTAAAGTCAAATTTATATTTAAATGTGTGAAAAAAATGGACGACAGTTTCGGTTTCAGTGTGCAGTAGCCTTTAGTCTTGCTTTGAATCTGCTGATATGCTAACACATAACACATTTGTAGCTTCGCTCCTTTTTGAAAAGACAGCACAATCTCATTTGAATTTAAAGCTACCATCTCCAAACCTGCACAGTTTGGATCAACGCCTAAATTGGGCCAATTTCTAAGAGTTATCAAACATTATTTGTGGGGTATTTTGAGCTAGAACTTCGCATACTCTAGAGACATCAGAAACTCATTTTCTTGTAAAAAGTGGCATAAGAGGTCCCCTTTAAGTCCACTGGCATCAACAATTGGTCACACTTTACAATAAGGTTCATTAGTTAATGTTAAGTAATGCATTTACTAACATGAACAAACATTGAACAATACATTTACTACAGTATTCATTCATGTTAATAAACGTTAGCTAATGAAAATACAGTTGTTCATTGTTAGTTCATGTTAACTCAGTGCATTAACTAATGTTAACAAGCATGGACTTGGATGTTCATAATGCATTAGTAAATATTTGATTATGATTAATAAATGCTGTACAAGTGTTGTTCATGATTAGTTCATGTTAGTAAATGCATTAACTAATGAACGCTATTGTAAAATGTTACCCTACAATTTCCTGATTTTATAATTGTCATATTTCTTTCTCTACTTTAAAATGACTAAACTATTCAGAAAAAAAAGGGCTAACATTTTAGGTCACAATTAGCAGTATTAACAAATCAATAACTAACACCCCTCGCTTAATAAACGACTAATTATCTGTTTATTAATAGTTAGTAAGGGGGAAATTGGGTTTAGGTTTTGGTTAGGATTAGAGATGCAGAATAAGATCATACTTTATAACTACTAATGAACAGTTAATATCTTAATAATAGGCAGGTAATAAGCCAGTAGTTAATAGCATGAACTGTGACCTAAACTAAAGTGTTACCAAAAATGCTTACATGTGGTTAACCATGTGCAACTCTGTCCTCCAGGTATTTCTCACGGGCCTGTAGTCGCTGGTGTGATTGGTGCCACAAAGCCTCAGTATGATATTTGGGGCATGACTGTAAATCTTGCTAGCCGAATGGACAGCACAGGGCTCAGTGGGCGTATTCAGGTCCCAGAAGCCACCAGCCGTGTCCTGGCCGAACACGGCTTTATGCTGCAGCTTAGAGGGGAAATCTATGTCAAAGGAGTTAGCGAGCGGCGGGGAGCGGTCCGCACATATTTCGTAAGCAGCAGGGAACACAATTCAAGCTACGCTGAGAGAAACACTAGCAGAGGGATCTCTCTCGGGAGAAACACTCTCGCCGCTGTGGTCTTTTCCCTGGTGCAGGCCCGCAAGAAAGAAGAATTACGAGAAGCCAATGGAGGATTTCATCTGAAGGACATGGCATGAATTCGGATTGAAAAGTGGACAGAAGCCATATTTAATACCTCTTCAGTTTTTTTAGACTGGTGTCTGAGTCAATGCCTTCAAGTGATTTTCTGCATTCTCTGTCGTTCTTTCTGAACGGTACCAACTTCACATCTCATATATAACCAGATTTCTACAGGATTTCTTATTGTAACGGAAAGAACAAATTGCTTCTAAAAGTCATGTTTCTTATGTTCTGGAAGTTTTTGAATCATGAAGTTGTGAGTTTATTATAGCAGAGCTGCAAATAAACACTTTATATTTTGGACAAGACCGTAACTGCAAAAACAAAGGAACTCTGGATTAGATCAAACATGATGACTCATAGTTGGGATTTCTGTATCTTTATCTGGATATTTTTCCCCATAGTTTTCTGTAATCAACTGCCAATGAATTGTGAGAAATGAAGGGTCTGACATCACCATTGCAAAAAGCTAATTGGCCTATTATCTGATGCATGTGTATTAGTCAATGACACTCTGGAAAAGCTATAAATCTCAGGATTATTCATCCAGCTTAGACGACTTTCTATGAAAAGTAATATTTAGATTTTTTGTGCGTAATTGACCATTTATAAACTCTTTTTATATGATGTTTACATGATCACATGAGGTAGTGTGACAGGAAAAGCTTCTGTCTCTGTTTATTGTTTTTAATGTTGTTGACTCAATATTGAGGCAGAATTACAATAACGTCACGGTGAATGCATAAAGCAGGAATTAACAATGCCAAAGTTCTGTTTTAGACAATAAAGGTATATTTTTAGTGCACGGTCCACCAAATTTTACTGAGTGCATTTTTTTTTTTTTTGGTATTTTATTTTTAAATATATTTGGGTTCAGTGTTTGTCTGATTAAGCAGTTTTTGGAAGCAGATACAAACAGGCTAACAATAAACCTTTTTGCTATGCCGCATGATGCTTTTGGAGTAACTTCATTTAAACTGTAAATAATCTGTGAAAAAGATACAACAACTTGGTATACAATGAAGTGCATTTATTCTTCTTACAGTTTATCTGTCAAATATCAAAAACAAAAAACAAAAAACTGATTAGAATTAACAAAGTAGTTTCACCGGATCATGACAACAGCCTGAAAACCTGAAACAACTTATTTTCTCACAGCAGTATTACTGACATATTGAATATTACTGTACTGAAGAGAATGCTAAATAATAATAATAATTATAATAATAGTAATAAAAATCATAATAATCTAGAAGAACAAAACAGTAAACGCAAAAGAGCGGCCACAGATATGTTTGCGATGCTAATGTTGCATTAAAATATAGCCAAGCATAATGTTATTTTCAAGACCGATAAAAATAAAGAAAAAAAGTATTTTCACTTAGATTTTACCGTGTACATAGATTTTTGAAGCATAACTTTATAAACGGAAGTCATTTATTGAAGTTCATTAAAGCGGAAGTTCAACCCATAATTTATAATGCAGTCATCATGTGCAGAGAAATGTTTTTCATGGCATATTTAACAAGGTACTGGAAATATTCCTCAGATTTTGGTCCATATTAACATGATAGCATCACACTGCTGCAGATTTGTCACCTGCACATTCATGATGTGAATCTCCCGTTCCACCACATCCCAAAGGTGCTCTATTAGATTGAAATCTGGTGACTTTTGAGGCCATTTGAGTACAGTGAACTCATTGTCATGTTCAAGAAACCAGTCTGAGATGATTCGTGCCTTTTGACATGGCGCGTTATCCTGCTGCATGTGGCCATCAGAAGATGGGTACACTGGAAATTTTCTTTTTTCGGACCATTCTCTGTAAACCCTGGAGAGGGTAGTGTGTGAAAATCCCAGTAGATCACTAGTTTCTGAAATACTCCAGCCCACTAAAGTCACTTAAATCACTTTTCTTCACCATTCTGATGCTCGGTTTTAACTGCAGATCGTCTTGACCATGTCTACATGCCTAAATGGATTGGTCAGTAAAACAAATAGGGATTTTTTTTTTTTTTTTTTTGTGACAATACATGACCATTGTATTCTGGTATTTTTAAATGGAATGTTTAAATAAGACCAAAATATTTTTTGCCCAAAGCCAAAGCTGTTCACACAAGAAAAACTGCTTTATTGACAGAAAAAACAGCATGTAGGCTACAATACTTTCTTTAAATGACATAATATTGTACAGCGCTTATAAAACATTTTGTTAAAAACGTATTTTTTTCTGTAACTCCAGTTCTAAAGTCCAGTGCTCAAGTGTCTATTCTTCAAAACAATTTCAACGCAATCAATTTTCCTGTCTACTCGTAAGCATGAATCAAAGGTTTTGTGTACTAACCATCGCTAAAGTCATTCTCCACACAGCAGCTCTTCCAGCGTGAGTTGATAAGAATCGGGTCACGTGACGCAGTGGCTCTCATAGTTCGTCCGTTCACTGTCGTCGGCGCTTTATCTCATCTCACCGATCAACCGGCGAACAGCGGGAATTAAACATGTCCATCAGCGAGGATAAGATTAAAAACAAACTTCAGTCTCCAGGGGATGACCTTGTCTTCTTCGTTAATGGAAAAAAGGTAAGGGGGGATTGAATAAGCATATTACATATCTCCAAGTGTTTCATAAATTCTTCCATTTTTTTATTAAAGTTTTTATAGTTCAGAGTCTTTTCGTAATTCATTTTGTGCAGATCACTGAGAAGAATGCAGACCCTGAAATAACACTCTTGACTTATCTTAGAAGAAGCTGTATCCTTTTGATATTTTGTTCAGTGTCTGAATGCCTTTTTATTCATTCTGCAATGTTGTAGGCTAATGTGAAACCATAACACTAGCTTTTATGAGACACTGGTATTCCTGTTTCTGCAATATTGTGGTTGATAGTTTGCTGTTTTCTGGGTCTCCTGGGTTTCTTGATGTTTGCTAGAGTGTCACTGTACATATTAATATTATATTTGAATGATTATTATCTAATAGTTTAGTCAGCACTTTTATTTTGCTGTTACGTCTGCTGTTTTTCTGTGTGACTGGCCTTTATTTAATATTTTCTCTTCAATTAAAAATTTGTCTAAGCATGTAAAAGATTTACCTTTGAAATAAATGTGAGATAAATTAATGTTTGTGATCAACTGATTATTGATTGGTTTAATAATCTGTATGGAAAGTCAGGGAATCATTTTACTATTTTTTTAAAGTCAGATATTTATAATAATTTAGATTATTTCTGGAATCTGACATTGAGTATTTCCTTTTATTGTCTTCAATTCAATATGGGGAAAAAAGTCAAATATATTGTTATTATTTTTACATACAGCAACAACAACAACATTTATTTAAGTACAAGATGAATTTGTCCAGGTAGGTTGAGCTGGTACACGAGTAAACGGTCATGTAAAATATACACCTGTCCTTAATCATTATTGGTAATATATTTTGTTTGCCTCTTTAGCCCAAACAAATCCTTTTTTTTTTAGTCATGTCTGGTATAAAAAAAAATCTTTGCTTATCAGTTTGCACTTTTTACAGCATGTTTAGTGATGACTAATCTGTGTTGACTTCATCAATCATTTACACAACTTTCTAATGTCAAACAACAGAGATTTGTTGTTTCAAATGTGGTGTTTTCAATCACAGAGACTGCCGCCTGCTATGTTTCTTATTGGTGCTGGTTTGGTATAATCATTACGTTCTTTTTCCCCATGACTTTATTCCAAGCTTTTTTCCTTAATGTTGTCACCTGCAGTGGGTCTGACAGGAACCAAACTGGGATGTGCTGAAGGAGGTTGTGGAGCCTGCACTGTAATGGTCTCCAAATATCATCCAAATCAAAACCGGATTATGTATCTTTTTACATTTTCAGCTTTTCAAAACTGTTTTTGGTTGCCCAAAGAAACTTTTAGTGTAAAGGTTTTCAGTGAACCATTTTTCAAAAAGTATAAAGAACTTTGAGTATAAACAACCTTTTAATATTAAAGAACCATTAGTGTTATGAAAAGTTTCCATGGATGTTAAAGGCTCTTCATGCAACCATGTAAAGGATCTTTATTTTTAAGTATGTAAAGTGCACTGCTGTCCTTAAAGCATAGAACAGGTTTATGATAACTTCCCCCGATCTTCCCCGATCACTCAGCTTAGATGGCCGGTCAAGCTCTAGAAAGAGTCCTGTTGGTTCCAGACATCTCCCACTTACGGATGATGGAGGCCACTGTGCTCATTGGAGCTTTTAGAGCAGCAGAAATTTTTCTTTAACCTACCCCAGCCTTGTGCCTTGAGACAATTCTGTCTTGGAGGTCTACATAAAATTCCTTTGTCTTCATGCTTAGTTTGTGCTTTGACATGCAGTGTCAACCCTTACATAGACAGGTGTATGCCTTTTCAAATCATGTCCAATCAGCTGAATTTACCACAGGTGAACTCCAATTAAGCTGCTGAAATATTTCAAAAATGATCAGTGGAAACAGAATGTACCTGAGTTCAATTTAGAGCTTCACGCCAAAGGCTGTCAATACTCACTTATTCTTCAGGTTTTCTATTTTTAATAAATCTGCAACAATTTCAAAAAATATGTTTTCACATTGTCATTATGGGGCATTGAGTGTAGAATTTTAAGGAAATAAAGGAATTAAATCTATTTTGGAATAAGGCTTTAACATAAAAAATGAGGAAAAAGTGAAGCGCTGTGAATACTTTCCGAATACATTATTAAGTCCTGCACTGTCTTGATTTCTTCATTGTAAATCTTTATGCTGCATCTTCCATTCTCGGAGGTCGTCGTCACCTTCGTTTTATTGATGTTCAGGTGCAACCCTCTCACCTTCTTCTTGCACTTTCAGGAGGAGTCGCTCCAGATTTTCTCTGCTTTTGGCCAGTAGGGTGGTGTCGTCGGCATATCTAAGATTATTGATGTTCCTGCTGCCAAATTATACTCTGCTTTGAATGTCTTCTGGTAGTGCTTTTCATAAGACTGCACACAGGGTTAAGAGTGGTGGCGATAGAATTGCTTTAAATACTCAACATAAATGTAACAGTTTTGTATAAATGGATTCAGATATCCAATCATATTTTTGTATACAAATATATTTAGCAGAATAATATTTTTTAACCAAACAAGTTTACATTTTTCATGACAGATGCACACATGCTTGAGAAACGATGAATTGAGTAAGAAATGTATGGCAATATATGGTATGCATGAAAAATGGTGTCATTACATTAAAACTTTTCATGGTTTAATACTTATACAGATAAACATTTCATAAGTGTTTTATTTTCATGAAGCTAAAAGGCATGTTTGACTCTAATTTAAAGTGTTAAAGAGTTTAGTTGAGATGTTTAAAGGGGTGGTCCACTACAATTTCATATTTTAAACTTTAGTTGATGTGTAATGTAGCTGTGTAAACATAAACAATCCCTGAATGTAATACGCTCAAAGTTCAATGTAAAGGGAGACATTGGCTTTTACAAAGTTAGCATAGCAAAGCCTACAGCGAACAAAGTTTGGGACTACAAAAAATACATTCGGGCTAATAAACGCTTCAGGTTACGCACATTCACCATGCGCATACACCCTGCGCAACAAAGGGGCATGGCTAGAGGCGCTGTAATGTAGCAGAGAAAGCTAAAATGCCGTCCAATCGCTGTTGTTTCCACAAAGCTTCTTCTGTTTATGTATTTGGGCTTCCAAATGACACGACACGAAGAGAGAAGTGCTTACAGTTTCATTTTCATTATGTTCCAGAGAATTATAAAAGTATATAGCTCTAGCATTTGACAAAGGACAGCTTCTAGAATCTCTCCCAGTTCACTGCTGGATTTGGCTAAAAACTCCTCAAAGAAGGAGCAGCTCCAGCCATAATAGAAGAAGCTGCAGATTGTGAGGCACAACCTGTAAGTGTTTTTATTTGTAAAAATGTATCTATTACATGCACAGTTTCTAGCAGTAATGGTATGTTGTAGTAAGGATGTAAGATTTAAACAATGGGAAATGCTGTTCGGCACTGTTAACAATTTAGCTACAAATTCATATTTATCCGTCAAACCGCTGTAAACACCCACAATCTTTAACACTACAGTGTCTCTCTATGTGGATGCTTTCCCTGTGTTCTTCATCTCAAATATCAAACTCGCAAAAGATATGTGAATGTTTCGTATTACTTACACATGCTTAGTCCGAAAATATGTGAAAGACAACAAGTCAGGTTTTGTTTCAGAGAACAGGGATGAGGTTCAGCTGTGTCCTCTATCCTTTTCTGTCTGATTCAGGCACAAACTGATACCACTAACAGCTACTCTGACTGACAGTGTTTACACAGCACAAAAGCGTGTGCTTGTAGGGGCTTGGCACTTTTCATGGTTATATGGAGCCAATCTGCAAATAACAGAACATCATGTTAGCTGACCAATCAGAGCCTCTTGAGGGCTGGCCTTTGGAGGAACTAGGAAACATGATAGTCGTTTTCATCTTAGCAGTGTAGCAGTATATAATCAAAGTAAGATATGAAAAAAGAATGTGATTTTCTACATGTCAAACTTGAGCACACATTGCTTTACATCCTATAAACACAACCTAGCCTTAAAAATACACTCTGGACCACCCCTTTAAGCAATATTAAGCTAAGTAATAACTTTTTTTATTTTAATAATTTTAATTTTAATTATGTAATTAGTAATTAATAACCTTTTTGTTGTAATTTACTAAACATTGGCTGTTAGCAGCTCAAATATAATTAATACAGGATTCTAAAATGTTGACAAGAATTGCATTTATTTATATCCTTGATTCTCTCTTGAAGTCACTATGCCATTAATGCCTGTCTGGCTCCTCTGTGCTCTTTGCATCACTGTGCGGTAACAACCGTGGAGGGCATCGGCAGCGTGGCAAGCAAACTCCATCCCGTACAGGTCACAGTTTAATCTTGTTCTCCCAGAATTGCAGATAATGATGAAAAAAAAAAAAACGTGTTACGCTACATATGATTAAAGCATATGCACTTGCTTGCTCCATTCATAGTTTTCATCTGCATGCATCACACGATATGTCGGTGTCCTGCTTATTTGTGGTGTAGTAATTCTAACAACAATAATCGTTTTATCCAGGAGCGAATTGCAAAGGCTCACGGCTCACAGTGTGGGTTCTGTACTCCAGGAATTGTGATGTCTATGTACGCTCTTTTAAGAAACAACCCACAACCCACCATGCATGACATTCAGGAGGCTTTTCAAGGTGATTTTCAACTACTGTAGTCAAATTATACCTTTTATTTCTTTCTTAAATAATTATTTATTATAATTTTAGTACATTTTATTAATTATTTGTTATCCAATTGGTTACACACAGGAAACTTATGCCGCTGTACTGGTTACAGACCTATTCTAGAAGGCTACAGGACATTCACAAAGGTGAGATAAACCGTGAGAAGGCTTTTTTCCAGTTAATAACTGAATTGAATTTCACAAAAGTGATTTAAAAAATAAAAAGTACATTAAATGAAAGTCTGCTTTAATGTTTCAATAATGTTCTGCCCCTATTCAGCAGCATAACAGAGATATTTAAGTAAAAATGGAACAAAATACAACTTCTGGACAGTATTTTTCCAAAAATATGGTACTTTTCATGACTAAAGCTTACTGACAAATTGGTGACATGTATGGGTAACATGAAAAATGTTGAGGTTTGAATGAAAGTATTAAGAAAAAGTGTAAAGATCAGATTAAAATATTTCACAATTACTTATTTACTTTATATACTTTATCAGTATGTGTGTGTGTGTGTGTGTGTGTGTGTGTGTGTGTGTGTGTGTGTGTGTTTGTATGTATATATATTTATATATATATATGATTTATGTATTAGTATATATGATTTATGTTCTAAATATGCCAGACAATGATTTTTGGCATATAAACTATTTCCACACTGAAGAAAGTTTTTTTTAAAAAGTATCTTCTGTAAATCAAGGTAAAATGTTTGATAATTTTTAAATTGCCTCATTAAAATCATTAATCATTAAAAATGATTAAATGTTCAGGAAAAATACACTTAATAAATCTTTTTGATAGATTATTATTGATTATATTTAAGAAAATCATTCCTGCTAAACAACAATGAGCATTTTATAACATTACCTGTATTATTTTTTTAATTCAATACTTTTAGTTTTACTTTTAGCTTCTTTTATTAAATATCTGCCTCTTTTTATTTCAGGATGGGGGATGTTGTGGTGGGAAAAGTCAGACTAATGGCTGCTGTATGACTAATGGAAACACACAAGAGCATGTTAGTATGAGGAGAACATACATGCAAATACTAGGCTTGATTTTCTCAAACCAAGTACAAACACATTTTTGTCCTGAACTCGTCCATTCACAATAAACCTGCACCATCCTCGGGTAGGAAATCAATGACATGGCAGCCATTGCATATTTGTAGGAAACCAGTCACATGCTTAAAGCAACACTCATGAGCGTGTGAGGTCAAATCTACAGTAAAACCATGAAACGAACAGTAGAAACTTCTGGATCACTGTTTTGCAATCACATTACTTAATGTCATCTAAGGATATTTCATCTTCAATAAATAAATATTTTATTGAGACATCTAGATTTTAGTTCTTCAAAAATAACTTTTTCTTTCTATTTTTAGGAAAATTCAGCACATCCAGTTCAGCACTTGTATGACCAATCAGAGTTTATGCCACTGGACCCGACACAAGAGATTATTTTTCCACCTGAGCTTGTGGTGCGTATAAGAAGTTTAATTTTCATATTGGACTATCATAGTAAACACATCTATATTTGTATCTTTTACATCTATATTTGTTCTCTGCAGAGTCTGAGTAAACAGACCCAAAGAGAGATGAGGTTCGTTGGGGAGCGAGTGCTTTGGATTCAACCCTGCTCCCTCAAGGAGCTTCTGGAGCTGAAGGCCACATATCCAAATGCCAAACTAGTCGTTGGGAACACAGAAGTTGGTGAGGCCCACTTACATTGGAATTACATTTGAACTTAGCCTCATTTTCCATGTCTCCTAGAGTTGAACAGTTGATTTTTACCATTTGTTAATCTATTCAGCCAAGCTCTGGATCTGGCAGGAGCACTTTTAGCTTAGCTTAGCATAAACTATTGAATCTGATTAGACCATTAGCATCTCACTTAAAACATTTTTTAAATAATTTTCCTATTTAAAGCTTGACTCTTCTGTTTTGATACATTGTGTACTAAGACAGACAGAAAATGAAAGTTGCTATTTTCTAGGTCAATATTTCTTAGAACTTTACTCTCATTCTGGTGTAATAAACAAGATACTTTGCTGTTGTATAATGGTTGAGCACTAGGGACTATTTTTAAGTGCATGTTAGGGCAGCAAAAATGCTGGATTTGGTAAACTTTGGGGATATTGGCAGAATTAGTGGGCCACCTGGGTACTTTTTGCCTACAGTTATATACTGTTATAACAAGTTATATAGTATTAGGGAAAAGGTTATTTAGATGCAGCTAAGGTATTAACTCATGATGATTTGTCAGCAAATCTTTCATAACAATGTGTTCCAGGGCCTAATGTCAATTTCAAGACTCCTATCTTTGATCTAACCACAACATTCAACTGCAACGCAATACAATACACAATTTATAAAGAAAGTTCACAAACAATTCACTCAAAACATGTACTTCTTTAGTTTTTGCAGCGCTCAGTGGTTTCAAAGCAGATTGTAATTGTTTTGAGTCTGTTTTCTAGGCATTGAGATGAAATTCAAAAACCTTCTTTATCCTGTGATTCTGGCACCAGCTTACATTCCAGAACTGAATATCATCCAACACACTCAGGATGGTAAGTGAGCCACCAACCTTGAGGGATGTTATTTGATCATTTAAAGCACATATTTTTTAACAATACAGTAACATAAAGTATATCATGAAGGGCATCCAGACTGGTTCCTGGAGGAGCACAATGGTTTAAGCTTGTACCCAGTGCTTAATTTGTAAATTGTGAGGTCCCGGAACAGATTAGGGTAAAGGATCCGGCAAGTAACCAGTGGTGGGAGAGGTGTCGCGGACAGGGGGAGAGGGGGGCGGGGTGTGTCGCGGAAGAAATTACAGATCAGGGTGGGTAGGGGTGAGGCGGGCGTGGGGTGTTGTGTTTGAGGTATAATAAGGTGCCATATCTGATTTCAGAGGTTGTTGTTCTGGCACAAATTAACCGACCCTGCTTCCACCTAAATTAGACATGTAAACCAGGGATGTCAAACTCAGTTCCTGGAGGGCCGTAGCTCTGCACAGTTTTGTTCCAACCCTGCTTCAACACACCTACCTGCAAGTTTCAAACAAACCTGAAGGACTCAATTAGTTTGATCAGGTGTGTTTAATTAGGGTTGGAACTAAACTGTGCAGAGCTGCGACTCTTCAGCAACTGAGTTTGACGCATGTCACCTAAACCATCTAGTCCATGGGTGGGCAAACTCGGTCCTGGAGTGCCGGTGTCCTGCACAGTTTAGCTACATCTCTAATCAAACACAACTGAACATGCTAATCAGCGTCTTCGAGATCACTAGAAATCTATAAACAGGCGTGTTTGATTAGAGTTGGAGCTAAAGTGTGTAGGACACCGGCCCTCCAGGACCGAGTTTGCCCACCCCTGATCTAGTCAGAATCTTACTAGACCTAACTTCCAGGCAAGGTTGTTGAAATTAAACAGCATAGGATATTGGACCTCCAGGAGAAGGATCTGACACCTATGGTCTAGTCTTTCGATGGCATTCACTATTTAGTGCGATTAATATTTACTATTTAATCTTCTCTATCTCAGGTATTGAGGTTGGCGCATCAGTGACGTTGACTGTGCTGGGGGATGTCCTGCAGTCAGCTGTGAAGAAGTTGCCCGCTTATCAAACTGAGGTTTTTAAGGCTGTTCTAGAGCAGCTGCGCTGGTTTGCAGGACAGCAGATCCGAAATGTTGCAGTATGTTGTTCCTGTAAACAAAAAGTGACACAAAGAGCTTTATATAATTGAATAGACTTGAAAATTACTGCCAGTTAATAACATAACAGTTAATAACATCCACAGAAAATATAAGTTATTATAAATATATTTACACATTATACATTTCAGCTATTTAATGTATTCTTGCTTTCAGGCTGTTGGTGGAAATATTATGACGGCAAGTCCCATTTCAGACCTCAACCCTGTGTTTATGGCAGCTGGCTGCAAGCTAACAGTGATGTCCAAAGGTACAGAACCCTGTTTTTATTTAGCTCAAGGATCAAAGGTTGTAGCAATGCACAGTGTAATACAGAATACAGAGCCAGTTTATGTGGAAAATCTCTAGAATTATCTGATTCCGTACTGTGCACTGATTTTACGAATAGTGCTGTTGTAGTCTGAATGTTATGATGGTTATTGCTAATAGGTTTAAAACAAATTAGCAACGCTAACTATACAGTTAGAAGTTCCCCGGTGTTTTTTAGCCAAATGGATGATTATGTTACATAGGGTAAGGGTTAAGGATACTGAAAGCTGTGGTAAACAGGACTTTCACAGCACATATTAGCCTAGTAGCATATACTGTAGGGTGTTGACCCAAAGTGTTTTGTTGATACTCCAGGTTTCCATGGGATTTTTTTTTTTTTTTTTTGTTTTCTTGTTCTGTAGATGTTACGATAGCAGAGAGCCATTTTATATCAATTAAACCTCTATTGTATATTCTATACAAATATATGTTTGATGTTTAAAGGGGAGAAACGAGTTCTTGAAATGGATGACAAGTTCTTCACTGGTTATCGTAAGACTGCTTTGAAGCCAGAGGAGATTCTTTTGTCCATTGAGATTCCATACACAAAAAAGGTCTGTATATCCATTTAAAACACATTTTGTAGTTGAACTTATCCCAGATAATAACTTTGTCATCCAAAGCCATATGATGTTCTGTCATGTGTTGAATAAAAGGATCTATAAAAATCGATTGATTACACACATCCATATAATGAAACTTAATATCAGTCTGGGTTGTCAATGCCATAGTCATAGCTAATTGTGTGAGAGAGCAAAATATTAATTAGTACTTCATCTCATGAGTGTCTCTGTGTACCACTGAACAACATCATTCTGGATGGAAACAGCATGGTTATTAAATATTACTTTTCATTCAGTCTGATCAATTGGTTTTTTAGGGCCAGTACTTCTCAGCCTTCAAGCAATCCCCTCGCAAAGAGGATGATATCTCTATTGTCACGTGTGGGATGAATGTATATTTCAAGGAGCAATCCAATACAGTACAGAGTATCCGAATAAGCTATGGAGGAATGGCCCCTGTCACTGTTCTTGCTACGGCCACATGCAACAAGTTGCTTAACAGGTAAATGATGATGTCCAGCTTTCTCATTTTCATGTTTGACTGATGAGCTGAAGGAATGGATCAGCTTCACAAAAATCTTTATTTGAGTGCAGGCAATGGAATGAAGATCTTCTTGAGGAAGCCTGCAGCTCATTGGCTGAGGAGATGAGTCTATCTCCCTCAGCTCCGGGTGGGATGGTGACATACAGGCGCACATTGACTATCAGCCTCTTCTACAAATTCTTCCTCACTGTCCAGCACAAACTGGCTGTGAGCCTGCAGATGGAGGTTTTTAATTCTGATTACACGTTCAAGATTTTTTAAAAAGTGTACACTCTTCCAAGATAGAAAACATCGGTTCTACTCCTAATTACTTAACTGTCAATGACTATTTGTCATTTTTATATATATATATTTAAAGGGTGTTACCGTTGAAGACATCCAACCTGAGTTTTCCACTGCTACTGAACTCTTCCAAGTGGACACACCATCCAGTGTACAGCTTTATCAGGTTAACATAATTGCACATGCAGCAGTTATTATTTAATTAGCAATTATCAATTAATGGTATGTGTTGACAAATTGCTTAACTTTGTTTGTTTGTAGGAAGTTCCTCCAGGTCAAAATGAGGATGATGTTGTGGGGCACCCTATCATACACCTCTCTGCTCTTAAACAGGCCACAGGAGAAGCGGTATACTGTGACGACATGCCTTGCTATGAAAATGAGCTTCATTTGGCTTTAGTCACCAGCACTAAAGCTCATGCCCTCATAAAGTTAGTTGAAAAGGATTCATGTCATATTTTTGAATAATTAGTATTGAGTAGTTTACAGGAAATAAAATTCTGTCATTATAAATGCACCTTTAATTTGGTCTAATCCAGTATGAAATATTGTGTACTTTTGGACATAAACTTTGGGAAACCAAATGTGTGTTTTAGTTTCCCATTAATTGCCAAATTATAGAGATGTGGTCAAGACCAGTTCTTCCTAGACCCAGAAAAAGACTAGAGTCCCTATGACCTAGACCAAGACTACAGCCCATAAAATATAGACAAAAAGTAGAACCCCTAAAATCACACCAAGACTGCACTCTTCTAAGATTGAGTCCAAGACCAGAGACACTAAGGTCCACACAAATCCCACAAGAGACCCTAAGACCCAGAATACCCCTTAATACAGAAACCAAAACAAGAGACCCTAAGACCTAGATCATACTTTCAAAACCTAGACTAAAGCCAGACTCCCTAAGACCCAGACTACACACCTCAAGAAGACCCAGTTCAGAATAAGAAACCCTAAGACCCAGACCAAAGCTAGAGCCTTTAAGACCAAGTCTAAGACAAGACCTTAAGGCTAATACTAAGGTTAGTTCACTCTAAGAACCACACCAAGACTAGAATCTCCTAGGGAAACCCAAACTCAGACCACACCCCTAAAAATCCTTACCAAAACAAGAGACTCAAAGACCCAGACCACACCTCTCAAGACCCAGACCAAAAGAAGAAACCCAGACCACACTTCTTAATACCCAGAACAAATAGAAGAGAACCTAAGACCCAGAATACCCATAAAGATCCACACCAAGACCAGAAACCCTAAGACCCAGAACAACACTAGAAACTCTAAGACCATGTCTGGATCCTCTAAGACTCAGGCTAAATCTAGAATCAAAAAGACCAAGAATTGAGCTCCTAAGACCCAGACCAAGACTACTACACTTAAGACTCAGAATACCCCTCAAAGCCCAGACCAAAATAATAGACCCTAAGACCCAAACAACACCATTCAAGAACAAGACCAAGACAAAAGTCCTTAAGACTCAGATAAAGATAATAGACCCTACAACTCAGACCAAGACAAGGTTCCCTCAAGCCCAAACCAAGATTAGAGCCTAAAGTCTCAGACCAAGAATTTGCTTTAACTTGGTTAATTGGTTACCTGCATTCTTCAAAATATCTTCATTTGTGTTTAACTGAAGAAAAAAGCTAATTCAGTCTTGAAAAGGGTAACTAAACTAAACGGAATTTACTTTTCTAGGTTAACTATGATATACTAGGATTTAACACATCCACATTGATTATGTTAAGTTATTTTTATTACTTGTGTCATAAAAAGGTTCAGTGAAACTAGATGTTGTGATCTAAGACAATGATTATCCATGATTAAGGCTTAACTATGTGTGCATGTTTTATCTTTCTAGATCCATTGACACCTCCAGTGCGATGTCAGTTCCTGGAGTGGTTGCATTTATTTCTGCCAAAGACATCCCTGGAAGTAATATGACTGGACCTGTTGTCTATGATGAGACAGTTTTTGCAGATGATAAGGTGATTTAGTTTAGTGATTGTTCTAATAATAATAAAAATAAAAAAATCATTATATTTATATAGAGCTTTTCTAGACAAAAGTTTATAAAAGCGGTTCACACTTTGGGGGGAATCTCCTCATCCACCACTAGTGTGCAGCATCCACCTGGATGATGCCTTGGCAGCCTTATTGTGCCAGACCACACACCAGCTGATTGGTGAAGAGGATACAGAGTGATGAAGCCAATTATGATATGGGAATGGTTAGGAGGCCATGATAGACAGAGGCCAGTGGGCAAATTTGGCCAACCTCTACTCTCTTTTAAACGACATCCTTTTTATTATTTTTAACAACCACAGAGAGTCAGGACGATTTAACATTTCATCTGAAAGAGCGCTCACTGAGCAGTATAGAGTCCACTTCACTATACTGGGGCGTTAGGACCCACACAGAACGCAGGTTGAGCACCCCCTGCTGGCCTCACTAACAGCACTTACGGCAGCAACCCAGCTTTCCAATGTGGTCTCGCATCCAGGTACTGACCGGGTTTAGTGCTTAGCTTTAGTGGACGACCATGTGAGAGTTGCAGAGAGCTGGCTGCCGGTGTGTATATACAGGAATATACATATGGCAATAGGCATAGAGTATTGTGCTACAAGGAACAAAATGGCATAATCAGTACAAAGTTAGGGGAAAGAAAAAATAGAAATAAATATCCAGTAGGACATTATATAATTCCACACCTCAAAATATCACAAACAGATGTTTATACTGTGTAGATATGGTGTCCATCTGCAGATTGTGGAGTGACTTAGGACATGTTAGAAGGTCCAGAGGAATATTAATAACCTTTAATAATCGAACACTGTTTTATTTATAGAATAGGTTCTTTTGGCAGTAAAAGTTAACAAAACAAAGCAAGTGTTGTTTATGCTTGTTACTAATAAGTTTGCAAAGAAAACCCAGGTGAAGGGACAGAGAGTCCATATCAAAGGACAGATCCAAGAGGTAGTTTATTTGAGTCACAATTCTGCATCAGTTGGTCTGGATCACATGACAATCCCACACACAATGAATGTAATTTTCTATATTTGACTTTAAGGCAGAGAGGTGAGTAAGGTGAGTAATTATATTTGTGTCTTAAATGAGGTGTAATGTGTATATTACAGCAGTGATCCTCAACCTTTTTTTCACCGGGGACCGGTCAAGGCTCGACAATTTTTCAACATCAACCATTTTCTCAGAGGAAGATAAACTGACAAAACATTGCTGTTACTCTGATACAAGTTTTATTTATGGAAAAAAAATAGGTTTGGGTGTTCATTGTGTATGAGATAATTAGTTTTACCAAAATACAAGCCAAAGCAGATCGGTCTATTCTTGTCACGTGACACGCTCGAGTCGCGGGATCCATTCAACTAGGTGCGTCTGGTCTAAAAGGCATCCATTGGAAACAAAAATTTTGTGCGGACTCTAGAAAAGACATAATATGCGTTATTTGGGATCTCCATCAGTTTATCTTCTTGCACAGCTATGGTGGATTCACCTGAATGGATGACAACTGGGTTACAGAGTCCTTCATTGGGCCTTTCCCCTTAGCAAAGAAATTTTCCTAAGACGTCTGTTTCTTGCTCATTTTGCTGCTTGTGGGTTACATTTGGGCACTTTTTTTTTCAAAAAAAAGATTTAAAATAAAAAAGATCATTCAGACTCAGATAATAAATAAAACAGAAATAATTAATGATTTCTTGTGCGGCCCGGTACCAATTGATCCACAGATTAGTACCGGTCCATGGCCCAGTGGTTGAAGACCACTGTTCTACAGTATGTAGGATCCTGAACAATACTAGCCCTCTAACAGACTGAAAGGTTGTTGGCTAGAGACCAAACCATCTCCCATTCTTCTTCTAAAATATCCACTTCAAGCTCTCTTTTCCAAATTGATCTGAGGTGTGAAGTACAGAACGTGTTATAATAGCACAGGGCCTTCTAGAAAGAAGAAATCAACTTTTGTTTAGCAGGATTTAAAATAGTTTTCTCAATTTACAAAATGTTGCCTTGGTTTTGAGGCTATAGTTTTAAAGACAGTCTGATCCAAATTGTTTACAGATATTAAGCTGTTGTTGACACTTAGCTACAGAATAACTATAGTCAACAGAATGTCAAAAGAGGACAGTATAAGGATTTCCCATAAGAGACATCTTGCATAGGCAGCTATTTAACTGATTATGACAGCATGTGCCTTTTTGCATAGACGTCTGTTGTTAGTTATGATGCAGTGGATCAGGCGTGAGGCCACCGTAGCGCAATGGCTTTTACATTTTGTTCACAAAACAGAGTGTATCATTTGGAAGTTTTACCAAATGACGCAATGCAGTTGAGACAGACGTTTATTAGTTCCTGTGCAAAATTTCTCACATGTGTCTCACCTGACTGCATTCTGGGCTATTCTATGATCAGGCATTTTTTGAATGGCATAATCATTTATTGATCCTTTGACGTGTACCTTAATGGTGGAACATCTCTGATGTGGCAAAGTTAAATGTAATCTTAATCTACATTATACAATATTACTCATTTGCGGCAGAGACCTATATTGCATATTGTTTCCTGAGGAAGCCTCTTTAAAATTATTATTATTTTTTTTATTTTAAAAAATAAAGTTATTGTCATAGTTAAACAGACACTGGAAAAAAATGGCATCTAATATTTTGGAAGCAACAAATATTGTGTATTGTATTATGTTGTATAACTTTACTTTTGAAAAACACATGCCTTGATAAATATGAGAATATATGTAAACAATATTAACAAAATTTCCCAATCTTTAGATTAGTAGTGTATGTTTGATATGGCTCACATGCATATAATGTGTCCTCAATCTGATCTTTCATACTAGGTCACATGCGTTGGACATATAGTGGGGGCCATTGTGGCAGACACTCAGGCTCATGCGCAGAGAGCAGCCAAAGTGGTGAAGATCAGCTATGAGGAACTGAAGCCTGTCATTGTGACCATTCAGGTCTGTACAGTATTTACTTCCAGGGCTTGACATTACCACTCGCCAAATGCGGGTAGATTTCAGTTGTGGCTGTTAGACAGCTGCTCCCGCTAGCCACTTTGGCAGGTTGAATATTTTTAAATTCTAGTTTTCTTAAAAGTCATGTGCATTAAAAACTAATTGCAATGCTACACCACGAAAGCTCAATGTCACCTTTGCTTGAGTTCAGTTATTTAATCTTGCGTGGGAGACACTGCTGAATTGGTAAATACCATCGTGCATTCCTCATTACTCACGCTGTGTGCCAATTATTTGGTTTTTATTTATGCATTAGCATTGGCTTTGTGTGTAATCTACTCATGCAAATACTTAATTTATGCTTTTGGTGTGAACCCAGCATAAGACCAGTAGAGAAGGAAGGAATCTGATTATGAAAGATGGTTATGATATTTATAATATATCTGTCTTTCATTCACTCATAAAATGTTAATTAGATTTTTATGAATTGTAATGAATTATCCAAACATGTTTTTTTTTTTTGTATTTTACTGCAGAGATTATTCTACTCCACAGCACTATATTTACTGCTTTTGTAATAACTATTTTAATAAATTTTTATTTTTAACAAATAGTTTATAGTTAAATAAATAAACAAATATATATATATATATATATATATATATATATATATATATATATAAAATATAGCATCTTTCCCGTTTACACTTTTAATTGTGTATTGATTACAAATTCCTTTATTTATATATGGTATGACCGGTAGTGTATGTATTTGCCAAGACTATAGAATACACAAAACATGTAACCCATTAAGTTCTGAATGGAAAAAACAGTCTATGCCATAGACTCTATGGGGAAAAAGTGTAACGGCCAATATGGTGAACGAAGCCCCGCCTTCTAATACAGGAGCCAATAATTGATTGCTATACATTGACAATTCTCTAGGGAGGGGCTCAGACTGAACATGAGTTTAACTAGATTCTGTGTGATTCGATTATTTAGAAATGAAACTACAGAGATAGTTATTGTTAAATATTCCTAATATGAAATTTAATCATAAGCTTGGCAAGCAATTTTAGAGAGTTTGACGATTCCTGATTGAAACTGAATGCTCGAGCCTACTGCCTAAAAGGCATTTTATAGATGGCTGCCAAGTGAAATGACTTACCTGAAAGGGACTTTAGTATTTGTCAACATTTAAACTGGATCAAAAAAGATCTGTATCAAAGATGTCCTAAGAAAAGAACGAGTGTTTAGGTTATAAGTCAAATTTTATGAAATGTTTTGATCCACTTCAAATGCTGCCTGCTGTATACCAGCTGTGTATACCATATTATGCATATTATAATGTGGGTGGTCACAGGAGTTTTAAATGACCTAGATCAAGTTAAATTACTTAAAATTAAGTCATTTTGCATGCCAACATCAATTTTAAGCATATTAAATGTATTTTCCTAACAACATAATTGTGGCTAGTGAAAATGCAGAGTGGCTAGTAACTTTGAAATCTACTAGCTAAAGTGGCTGGTAAGCAAAAAAGTTAATGTCAAGCCCTGTTTACTTCACACGCTCAAAAATGACATTTTTGCTGTTTGTTCAAACTGCTTTTTTAAAATGAGCTGAAATAACACAATTTTTGAGGGCTTTTTGTGACAACTTCATTATTTTATGTTCAATCCACTTAAATGTACACTTTAATTAAGCTAACTTAAATCCTTCATTCTTTCCCAACACAAATCGATTGTACGGAACCCAGGATTCTGCTTTTGGCAGACACTTTTATCCAGGGCCGGAGTGGGACTCCTTTTCAGCCCTGGAGTCTCAAGCCTCAGACTGGCCCACCTCAGTTCACGACTGACTATATTAAAATAAGGTCATTTCCAAATCAGTTTCTAATTACATTATCACGTCTTTTTTTTTTTTTGAGAAAACAGCTGCTTTAGAACTTCAAATGTTCAACAACCCTAACAGTATCATATGTCTTAACAATAAATATAAAAAAAATAAATTACTCAGACGAGGAACGAACCCGGGTCAGCGACGTCGCAATCTAACGTGCTAACCACTGGACCACAACAGAAATACATTGAGTAATGACTCATCTGAATCATATCATCATTAACCTGCAGGCTGCATCTTGCTCACAAAGCTGCGAGAAAATAGATAAAAAGAGCAGAGCTGCGGTAAAATAATGAATAAAAAGGCTGTGGTCAAGTAAATAAATAAATAAATTTAAAAAGTGTGACTGCTGAGAGCAACAGATTCTGGATCTAGGGACACCGGCCCTCGCGGCCAAAAAACAGACCGGCCCACCGGGAATTCTCCCGGTCCTCCCGATTAGCCAATCCGGGCCTGCTTTTATCCGAAGCATGTATCCAATAAATTAACATGGATATTCTTAAGACTAAAATAGGACTCAAAACCACTGATCTACGTTATTTGAATGAGAAAAATAATGGTCACATGCTCTGACCTTTCACCCTTGCTTAGTGGTTTTTCTGCTTTCATTATTGCATAACCAGATTTTTCAAGGTTTTCAGGGAAATGGCTTATAGTTCACAAATACATAACACATGGAGAGATAAGCTTGTCTGCTTTGCTAACTGTTTGCGTTCACTCTTTCAAACAGGATGCTATTAACAACAAGTCATTCTTCGAGCCAGTTAGAACTATAGAAAAAGGAGATGTTGCACAAGGATTTAAAGACTCTGATCACATCCTGCACGGTATTTATACATCTATATTTTATTCCAAATCATAACGATACACTGCATTCTTCTGAAAAACATATACCTAATAAATAGATTACACATTATGTTTATTGATGAAACAGTATGTCAATCAATGGTAGATCTGCAGTTTTCTCTGCCACCATTTGTATCACGGTCAGACCTGCTTCTCTTTAATTTGATGAGTTGATCTTAAATATGTAATTCTATAGGTGAGATGCACATTGGAGGGCAGGAACAGTTTTATCTGGAGACTAACTGCACGCTGGCTGTCCCTCGTGGAGAGGATGGAGAAATGGAGCTGTTTGTGTCCACACAGTCGGCCTCCAAGACACAAGTAAATACACAAAACATTCAGTCTTTTAGGATTTAGTGTAGGATAGTAATTCCGATCCACATCAATACAATCATAGAATCAAAACAGAGAGATCCCAGCAGGCAGACAACATCATAAGACGTGTAATATTAGGTTAGATTTTGGTCATGATGTTAGGTGACTAAGCCGGATGATATTGGTTATCTAATTTTAAAATAGTATTAATGCAAAATATAACGTTGATTGCACTGTCCTGATGCACATGTTCTGCTGTGTTTGGCCCAGGCTCTGGTGGCTAAAGCTTTAGGTGTTCCTGCTAATCGGGTGGTGTGTCGTGTGAAGAGAATGGGTGGAGGATTTGGAGGGAAAGAGAGTCGGAGCACCATTCTATCCACTGTGGTTGCTGTTGCCGCACAAAAGTAAAATTTCACAAATAAATATTCATTTAATGTTGAGGATGAACTTTAAGTGTAGGTTAAACATACTGTTTTATGTTTTTCCTTTAGGGTTAAGTGCCCGGTTCGCTGCATGTTAGATCGTGATGAGGACATGCTGGTCACAGGTGGCCGCCATCCTTTCTTTGGACAGTACAAGGTAAAAGTATATACAAGTTAACCAGATATTGTCCTTGTCCTGATTGGACTTTAATGAAGCTCTTTTGCTTTGTAACATCATGTTTAGGTGGGTTTTATGAAGAATGGAAGAGTGATGGCACTTGAGGTGACGCTCTACAGCAATGCAGGCAATTCACTGGACCTGTCATTGTCAGTGAGTGCTTTTGAATGTCCTAAAAGTTTTAAACGTCTGACACCCCCCCTAGTGGTCAATAAGACTCATTACATATTCCCACTAACCCTGCTGACCCACAGTGGTGTAAAAGAGTTTAAGCATATTTCAAAAATTATGTATTCCAAAGCAAATACATATATATATACATATATATATATAAATGTTTATATATATATATATATATATATATATATATATATATATATATATATATATTAATACTTAAAGCATAGGTCTCCAACTGGATTCCTGAAGGGCCGCAGCTCTGCACAGTTTTGCTCCAATCCTAATCAAACATAGCTGATCCAAATAATCAGGGTTTCTAAAGACTATTAAGCATGTGTAAGCTGGAGGTGGTTGGAGCTAAACTATGTAGAGCTGCGACCCTCCTGGAATTGAGTTTGAGACCATTGGTTTAAGGGACAGTTCACCCAAAACCAAAAATTCAAGTCAATAAATTTTACTTATCCGCACTTTTCAAAAACCTGTTTGAGTGTTTTTTTCTGTTGAATAAAAAAGTTATTTTGAAAAATGTGACCATTGACTTTGTAGTATTTGTTTTTATTCTTTGGAAGTCAATGGTTACAGGTTTTTAACAATTTTCAAAATGTCTTCTTTTGTGTTAAAGAGAAATAGAAAAGGTTTGAAAACACTTGAGGGTAATATTGGTATTTTTTAAGGTGAACTAGCCCTTAAAATGAGATATTTGGAAAAGAATACTGATCAAAATTGCAGAACACTTTCAGATTCACTCAGTTATAAGTGTAAATCTGGCACATGATGGTAGATTCCTTAGTTATCTGACAAATCCCATTTACCTTTACAATTTTCATTACTGTCAAGATGGCAAGTCTTTCTAAAGTGACCCAAACCCTCTGCACTTTCAGAAATAATGGTACAGAAGCTGTCACTGAAGCAGTACCTTTTCAAAATGTATATATTTGTACCTGAAGGGTTCATAATGTAATGTAATGTGTATTCATATAGCACATTTATCATGTATGGCCATACACCCAAAGTGCTTCACAATCATGAGGGGGTCTCACCACACCACCACCGGTGTGCAGCATCCACTTGGATGATGCGACAGCAGCCACAGGACAATGGCGCTATGGCACAGACAGTATAGTGTCCCCTTTATTTTTACTGGGCCTCCAGAGACCACAGGTTGAGTGCCCCCTGCTGGCTTCACTAACACAACTTCCTACAGCAACCTAGTTTTCTCTTGTGGTCTCCCATCCAGGTACTGACCAGGCTCAGCCCTGCTTAGCTTCAGTCAGTAACCAGTCTTGGGCTGAAGGGTGATATGGCTGTGGCTTATAATGGTACCTCAAAGGCACTTCTAGGCACTAATCTGCACCTTTGAGGTACCACTGTGGACTCTTTGGGTACAAAATATGTATCTTTTAAAAAGGCAGCTCATGTACCTTTATTTCTCAGAGTGTGGCAGCAGGTTTTTCATGCAAATGGACTAGACTTGATCATTACAAAGAAGTTGATTATTACAAATCTGTGATTATGTGACTCATTATATATCATCCTATGGCTGAAGATGTGCTGAAGTAATTTAAATCAAGGCCTGTTCACTTCTCACTCATTTTTGACCACTGTAACCTTCAGGAGTTATAATATGTCTTCATACTACAATCATTGCTGTTCTCTAATTTTGATCACTGTGTTTTTCATGAAATAATGGGTCTTCCTTGAAGTCTCTTGGCTATTTTGTAAAATACAGTTCTACTAGCATGATATAGTCACAACTTAATTTCCTTTTAAAAAAGCAACAAAAAACAGAAAAAAAACAAAACACAAAAAACAAAAAAACAAAGAAGAATACATTATTTCTGGGGGAAAAAATAAAAGTTTATAAATAGTCCTCTAATTAAGTTCTCAGCTACTGTGGCCCTTGCTGTTAGAATCAGCTTCCAGAAATGATCAGATGTGCTCCAACAATATGCACATTCAAATCAAGACTTAAAACACATCTGTTTAACTGTGACTTTACTGAATGAGCATTGGCAGATCACACTATAGTCTTTCTTTACTTCTTTATTTCCTGTATTTACACATTTTATTCTGTTGTTAATATTTTTTGTTGTTTTTGTTTGTTATAAATATATTTTATGTTTCTTTTATTCTTGTTTATGTAAAGCTCTTTGAATACGATTGTGTATGAATCGTGTTATATAAATAAATTTGCATTTGTCTTGCCTGTGGTCTCCACTGTAAACATCAGTTGTGTTTCTCAATACACAGATCCTGGAGAGGGCGCTGTTCCACATGGATAACTCCTACAACATTCCTAACATTTGTGGCACAGGCTACATGTGTAAAACCAACCTGCCGTCTAATTCTGCATTCAGAGGCTTTGGTGGGCCGCAGGGCATGATGATCGCAGAGAGCTGGATGAGTGATGTGGCCTTGAGCTGCGGTCTGCCTGCCGAAGAGGTTCAAACCGAATAATTATTTCTCCCGCAGTCTAGACACATGCACACAAATGTTTCACAATCCTCTGCTGCTTCCAGGTGAGGAGGATGAACATGTATAATGAGGGAGATCTCACACACTTTAATCAACGTCTGGACCAGTTCACCATCGCTCGCTGCTGGGAGGAGTGCATGCAGCTCTCAGACTTCAACAAGCGCAAGGATGCTGTGGAGAAATACAACAGGTCAGAAAAAAAACATAATTTTAGATAAGTGTAGTAGAAATAATATTATATGAAGAATTATCATAACAATATAGTTAAGTATGTGTTATTTTACAGTTCTGTGCAAATATCTAAAGGCCATCATTAGCTTTAGCAATGGGAAAAACTGTCATGAACAGGCCGGGTTCAGAGACCTAAATTTTATAGAGCATGGAACTACCTGAACAGAGGGGAAAATCTAAATCCGGGTGAATTCTAAGTAAACTAATCTCCATTAATTTAATCCTAATGAAAAGGCCAAAAGATAAATATATCTTGTCATTACAACTTTGCTAAAGAAGGCTAAATCAAGGCTTTTGCATAAAATTATATTATTCATTCATTCATTTATTTTCTTTTCGGCTTAGTTCCTTCATAAGTCAGGGGTCGCCACTGTGAAATAAACCGGCAAATTATCCAGCAAATGTTTTACGCAGCCCTGACTCGAATCAGTGACCTTCTTGCTGTGAGGCGATAGTGCTACCCATGGTACCACCGCCCTGCCCATATTATATTATATTATATTATATTATATTATATTATATTATATTATATTATATTATATTATATTATATTATATGTTCAATAATTTTCTTTTCAGCTTAGTCCCTTTATTAATTTGGGGTCGCCACAGCGGATTGAACTGTCAACTTATCCAGCATATTTTACACAGCGGATGCCTTTCCAGCTGCAACCCATTGCTGGGAAACATCCACACACACTCATTCACACACATACTGTACACTACGGACAATTTAGCTTACCCCAATTCACCTATAGCGCATGTCTTTGGACTTGTGGGGGAAACCGGAGCACCCGGAGGAAACCAACGTGAACGCGGGGAGAACATGCAAACTGCACACAGAAACGCCAACTGACCCAGCCGAGGCTCAAACCAGTGACCCTCTTGCTGTGAGGCGAACGTGCTACCCACTACGCCACCGTGCAGCCAATATTTTATTTTATTGTATTGTATTGTATTATATTACATTACATTACATTACATTACATTACATTACATTATATTATATTATATTATATTACATTACATTATATATTACTGCTGTTGCTTATAAAAACATTTCTGAGCTTGTAAAATAATAGTAACAAAAAGATAATAGATAATAGGTAATAGATTTTTAAAAGAAATTATTAATTATTAACAAAAAAAAGTGTAAAAAGTGTATAAACAAAAACTATTTAATGTTTACTTTGCTATAAAATCATGTACTGTACAACTGTACATCATAAACTTTTCTTTGTCAATAGAGCAGTATTACTGCTGCCATAGTTATCTAAAACTCTTAAAAATTTTGTTTGATTGAAATCAAGTTAAAATCAATAATGGATGAGGATGACACACTAATCTAGCTCGAAAAGTTGTAGTTCACCTAAAAATAAAAATAAAAATCAATGGCTAACAGCCATCTTAGTCTAAAAAATTATATGTACATACACAACAAAATTTATACAAATAGCTTCTGACGATACAAAAACCCTCTGTAGTCATTACTAAATATATTAAGTAAATATAACTTGACATTACTTAAAATACCAAGTTTTGCCATCAAAACTTAAACAGGTATGTTCAACTTACTCATTTGGCAGCAAAAATTAACATTTGAGTTTTTTTAAAGAAGTCTCCATGTCTCTCTTTAAATGACTGATTGCACTTGAAATTCTGCCTTGGCAACCACGCTGATTGGTCAGTATATGTTATGTGACACAAGGTGGTCATTTTGCTTGTGATGCTGAATTTCGCTGAAGCGCAACAGGACAGAGGCACTACCTGACCACATCTGACCCACCCTATACATGCAGGAGCGACACAGTGGCACAGTGGGTAGTTCTGTTGTCTCACAGCAAGAAGGTCATTGGATTGAGTCTCAGCTGGGTCAGGGACTGTGTGGAGTTTGCATGTTCTCCCCATGTTGGTTTGTGCACTGGTTTCCCCCACAAGTCCAAAGACATGTGCTGTAGGTGAATTGGGTAAGCTAAATTTTCAGTAGTGTATGTGTGTATATCCTGGTCCTCCAGGTTGGGGGTTGAGCGATGGCCTAACAATCCATCTTAACTCAATTAATATAGTTGTCAATTTCCCATTACCCAAACGAACTGAGGGAATCACTTTGCTCAAATTATTTGAGTAGTCTCAACTTATTAAGGTTTACAGTGTACATTGAGGCCATTTGAAGCAAAACGAATGATTTGTGAGAAAAACGTAACAGTATGTTTTATACATTTACAATATAATGACCTTGCACATACTGCAGAGTGTTGTGAATTACTTCAGGACTGTTTGCCAAGGCTAAAGACAATAATGCTGTAAATAATGTCCAGATCCTTGTTCAGACCAATTGTTTCACTTCATGAAACCTCAGCGTCAGCGTTTCCACCGCAAATACTGCAAAGCTTGGTGGGTAAGAATTGCTGTAACTTTTTATAATGCAGGCAGCACCGCTGGACCAAGAGAGGGCTGTCCATCATTCCCACCAAATTTGGCATCAGCTTTACTGCTGTTTTCCTCAACCAGGTCAGCTTCCATCCTCTCAGACTCAAACTTATGATTAGAAAGAGGTGATTGTGTTCATGTATGTGACAGAGATTTCTGATTCAGGCAGGGGCATTGGTACATGTGTACTCAGATGGGTCTGTACTGCTAACTCATGGTGGAACAGAAATGGGGCAAGGTCTGCACACAAAAATGGTCCAGGTAATGCAAAGTAAACACTTAAAAAAAAAAAAAAAAAAAAAAAAAAATATATATATATATATATATATATATATATATATATATATATATATATATATATATATATATATATATATAGATATCGTTTTGATCACAATTCATGTTGATTTGAATGTTTTGTGTTGATTAGGTGGCTAGTAAAACACTTGAAATCCCCTGCACAAAGATTCACATTACAGAGACCAGCACTAGCACAGTTCCCAACACCAGCCCTACGGCCGCATCCGCCTCCTCTGACCTCAACGGGATGGCCGTCTATGTAAGCCTCATTCAACAGATATTCACTCTTTTTTTAATGCACACTCTGCAGTTCATGAGTTTAGGGTCAGTAAAATATAGTAATTTATAGTAAAAATACCATAGTGCTTTTGTAATATACTTCAGTAAAGTGTATCATACCGCATTTATTATGTTATTTACCATTAATTTTTAATGAAGGGAATAATATACTGTAGTATTTCTTATCGCGAACTGAAAAACTGTAATAAACACTGTAGAATACGTAATACACAGTTGTATTACATTAAACTGTGGTGTTCTAGTATAATATACTGTATACATTGTTGTCACTAGTACAGTGTTGAGTTGTTCAAACTACTATAGATGCTGTATTACTACAGCAACTATAGAATTCCCACAACTGATTCATCCAAGTATTTTACTATAGTATGGTTTAAAACATTATAACATTATAGTATTTGCTATAAATTACTAAAGAGTAAAACTATAAAGTAATACAGTTCGTTTAAAATGAATGAAATAATATGCTGTAGTTTTACCTATAGTGAACTGTAAAACTGTAATAAATACTGTACAATACTTTAATACATTAAACTGTGGTGTTGTAGTAAAATATATGGTATATCCTGTAGTTGTAGAAACTTGTACATTTTGGGGTTGTTTAAATTATTGTAGATGTTGTATTACCACAGCAGCTATAGAAATTACACAACCAATATATTATTTTAATATAGTATAGAACTTTAACACTATATTATTTACTAGAAACTACAAAATAAATAAATCATGTGAGCTCTATTTGATAGCATGCAAAGTGCTAGAAATGTGCATAATAAAAAGTTAATCCTCATCTAGCACAGTATGTGTGCTTTTATTCTCAGATAAAATGATTTGGTGCTCATTTAAAATACTGCTGTTGTTGTTTTTTGTGACCTTCTGTTTTTTTGTGACCCTGTTTCTTTTTCAACTGTGCAACTAATGCCCAGTTTAGCTTTGATGTCACAGTAATACATTACAGTTTAAACATATCCAATTTTAATTCAATTTGTATGATATTTTCATGTAATTAAAGTATTTTGTTATTAATTATTTACCCTCATGTTGTTTTAAACCCCTGAGACCTTCATTCATCTTCAGAACACAAATTCTAATATTTTATATGAAATCCAAGAGCGCTCTGATCCTCCATAGACAGCAATCATCCTGACTCTTTCAAAGTGCAGAGCAATACCAAAATTATCCTCAAAACTGACTGACCATATGCCTCAGTGGTTCTATATGAATATTATCAGCTACGAAAATCCTTTTTTTGTACACTTTAAACTTTATACAACAGTTTCTTCTCCTCTGTGCCATTATCCATTTGTTAGGTCGTGACGTAAAAAATACTGTTTCCGGGTCCAAACCGCTAAAATATTAGTTTGACCACTTTTTAGTCCTTTGACATATTAAAGTTGATTTTATATAAAAGCATAATGAACACATCAGTCTCTGGACTTGCTGGATCACAGACACCAATATTTTAACAGTTTATAAAAAATGAATCACTGTCTGGCCCTCTGATATTAGGCTTGGTTTTATATATATTGTGATCATGATTTCCGAAAGTATTACATTGCTTTGTAACCATTTATTACTACCATTTGTTAAGTCTCCCCGTACAGCTTGATATAGCGATTGAACTTGGAAGCCACTTTTGCGTAACGTTACACTTAACAAGTAGATAGAGCGCATATTCATGACAGTGATGTGTTTTTGTGTGTGCCCCACTGCTAACGCATTACCTTAGATGCGTCTATGCTTTGTTTCAAACAGAGGAACTTTTGAACATGCTACCTCCCTATACTGACATTCAGGAGATGAATAAAATCATTTTTGTTGTATGTGTGCACTAAAAGATTTTTCCAATTAAACCACTGAAGGCATAGTGTCTGTTCTGAAAATGTGGTACCTTTCTAGACTTTGAATGTCTGTTGCAGACTATGGAGGATGTGGGAGCTGTCTGATTTTATCCCAAATTTGTAAATTTGTGTTTTGAAGATGAATGATTATCTCCGGAGTTTAGAATGAATGAGTAATTAATGACAGAATTTTCATTTTTAAGTGAACTAACCCTATGAGAGTTTTAATTTTGCTGTCTTGGATAACATGAAATGAATAAAAAATTAAACAAAATGAAAAATTACCCACCCTAAACCTTTGAACTGTAGGTTTTCCAAGTGAGCATTTGCGTCTGAATCTTTTATTTCACAATACCTTGTAATGTTTCATAGAATGCTTGCCAGACTATACTACAGAGACTTCAGCCTTTTAAAGAAAAGAACCCCAAAGGCTGCTGGGAAGACTGGGTCAGTATGTAGTTTTTGTAATTATATATATATTCAATATGATGTATACATTACTCAACATATTAATGATATTTGCAGGTCACAGCAGCCTACTTTGACAGAGTAAATCTGTCTGCCAATGGATTCTACAAGTATGCTACTATAAACATACTATAAACAATAAAAATAAGCATTTTCACGTTTAAAAGTGCTTATCATGGTGCTCCTCATATAAATAAGAGTTAATACACTTCTCATATTTTATAGGACTCCAGATCTTGGTTATGATTTTGACACCAACTCAGGAAGGCCTTTTAACTACTTCAGTTATGGTGTGGCCGTCTCAGAAGTGGAGATAGACTGTCTAACTGGCAGTCATAAGGTAATATCTATGTGAAATGTCTGTTTTAGTGACTAGAGTACAACTACTTACATAATACATCAGATGCCAATGGGAGTAATAAGTACACAAGTGACAAGTGGCAAAACACAAATTAAGTTTCTGCTGGTCCATAGTCTTTGTAAATCTATCCCAATAATTTCAAGGTGCTCCTGTCAAAATTCGACTTCTCATCAATTAGAAATGATCAGACAGGAGGTTTTGAATATCAGAAAATAGACTTTATTCTCCATAATAAAGCCGAGAAAGAGCAGAGCAGACCCCAGAGCATTCTGAAGTCTCTCCTGGACAATTCCTTTCTTTGGTTCTCTTTTTCTCCTACTCTTTCTAAAGTCTCTGTGTTTTTCACAATCTTTATACAGGTTATTTGACACACCCCTAGGTCTCATTTTTAACACTTGACCATTTTAAATAGATTTCTACTCTAAGTGGTCCTGCTTGGCTCTCTGCCAGCTTGCTATGGTCAGCGAGATGTCACAGGTCTATGTCATGTCAGCAACTGTTTTGAAACCAAAGTTCTCTCTTCATAGATGCAACATAATCACTTGATAATATGTTAGTCATTCTAACTTCTGACACATATAGCTTCATACAAGTATTTAACATATATAATCAGTGCTTTACATATTCAGTTATTCTACACAATCAGTCATTCTTCAGCATAGTCTTCTTCTAGTTTTGCTCCTGTGCAGGCATACTCATTTTACACAGACATATCACTGTATTTTTAACACACGCTGGCATGTTTGCTGCAAACAATCTTCTTCACTCCAAAGTTAACGCTCTCTTTCTGTCTCCGGTCAGAATCTTCATACGTCCATAGTGATGGATGTGGGCAAGAGTTTAAATCCAGCACTGGACATTGGACAGGTATTTCCTCAGAACTGAATAAAGCAGATTAACCATTGTCAATATCATCCAACTGATCAATACACAAAATGATGTTCTTAAATATTGTAATATTCTGATCACGTCTTACTAAACTTACTGTTAACTGTGCAGTAAACTATGTACAGACAAAATTAGTTAAGTTTTTTTTAACTTAAACTTTATTGTGTTTTTAATAAACATGGTTATCAACAATGGTAATAGCTGAATTCCTCCACATTGACTTGGTTCAATCTGTATAGCATGGTTGATAACAAAAAATTACAAATTATGTACATAAACAAATACACATATATGAATATATACATATATGCATACAGAAACCTGTAAGTAAATATAAGAGAAAAAAAACTATATACATAATGTCAGAGAAGTACATAAATGAAAAAAAAGTGTCTACTAAAATTATTGTCAAACATCAAACAAAAAGAAAAGATAGTTTATTGTCACCTATATCCTGAGATATCTTAATTATTTCTCCTACGTTGTAAAAATTAAATAACTTAAGTTTTAATAATGGAGATCAAATTGTCATGTATTTGGTTCCAATGAAGGATTGTTGAAATCTTTGCTCTGTTAATTAAAGCAGTGGACTGTTCTAGTTGAACAATGTCTATAAAATAGTATAACCATTGCTGAACTGACAGGAGATCATCACTGTTTTCTTTGCAGCTGTTAATCCTGAAAAAAAAGTTTGTTTTGGATTCAAAGTCAAGTGACTGAAGAATCTTCTTTCAATAGGAAAAGGCAAGAGTCAGGATTTATGGTTATTTACAAAAATTACAATAAGATGGTGGAAAGTTAACCCAAAAATTGTAGATTGGGAGACATTCAGAAAACATGAAAAAAGCTACCCATGGACTCAGTATTACATTTAACACAAACAGGTGAAGAAATAAGTTTCAATCTAAAATGTTTTAGTGGTGTATAATATATACTATGAACTACATTGTAGTTTATCAATTGGTGAGCAGGATTTTTAGATGAAACTGAAATGTTTTGCCAAATTAAATCTCAATCAAAGCTGTGATTCTGCGCTCCAATCGTGGTAATACCAAGACTTCCACATTTCCCTTTTATAAGATTGCCATAGATAAGAAAGAGCTTATTAGATCTCCCCCTAAAGGGTTCAAGCCAGTAGACCACTGGATGACAGGATAAATCTTGGGAATTTTTCACTATTTGATGGAGAGAGGACTTCATTTGTCTTTGCCATGATGACTGTACATAATATTTTACTAGACGTTATGCAAGATACAATAAGTCAAGATACTCAAGATAGGCTTAACTAGGCTAGTTATGCTAATTAGGCAGGTCATTGAACAACAGTGGTTTGTATAGCCAACAGAAACAAAATATTTCTAAAGAGGTCTTATTATTCTAATAATTTCTTATTATTCTTAATAACAGTGACCTTTTTCCTAAATGAGGGAATGTACACCTTTTGTAAAGCTGCTTTGGGAAAATAATCATTGTTGAATGAAATAGGGAGTTTGAATTGAATTTAATTGAATTGAATTGAATTGATTTACTTGTGCTACATTTGCAGGTAGAAGGTGGGTTCATGCAAGGCTTAGGTCTGTTCACGCTAGAGGAACTTCGCTACTCTCCTGACGGTTACCTATATACTCGTGGACCTGGCATGTATAAGATTCCTGCTTTTGGGGATATTCCCAGTGAATTAAAGGTTTCGCTGCTCAGAGATGCTCCAAATGACAAAGCCATCTTTTCTTCAAAGGTTAGATCCACACTAAGAGCATGGTTTGTATGTGTTGATCTCATGTACTGTACTATGGTTACACCACAGGTAGAGAGTTAACCAGTGTTTGTCAGATTTAATTCAATAGATGCCTGGTGTGTAAAAAACACACCAGGCATGGTGATAAGATAAAATTTTAACAAACAAGATTTAACAGTTAAATGGCTAATTCCCCTAATAATTCACCTAAAATTTAAAAATCTGTCATTGTTTACTCACACTTGTCACAAACAAGTTTGACTTATCTTCTTTTAGGTTCATTAAACTCATTAAGGTTTGGCTGTGTGTTTGTGTTCAGGCTGTGGGTGAACCTCCTCTCTTTCTGGCGGCCTCAGTGTTTTATGCCATTAAAGATGCCATCACAGCTGCCAGGGCTGAGTCTGGACTGACCGGACCCTTCAGATTGGACAGCCCTGCCACTCCTGAACGCATACGAAATGCCTGTGAAGATAAGTTTACCAAATTGGTATGTTGGAACTTGAAATGTTTATTGACATTTTATTAAGGTTTATTTAATTCTCACAGAGCTGTGTAAATATTAAAGATTAAAAGTTATTCAATATAATTAAACACAGACTGGTATCAAATGTAAATTAGAACTGTGCAATATTACTATATATATATATATATATATATATATATATATATATATATATATATATATATATATATATATATATATATACACAGTTGAAGTCTCTAAGTTGAATTATCAACCCCCCTGAATCATTTTTCCCCCAATTTCTGTTTAACGGAGAGGAGATTTTTTTCAACACATTTCTAAACATAATAATTATTTTACATAATAACTCATTTCTAATAACTGATTTATTTTATCTTTGTCATGATGACAGTAAATAATATTTGACTAGATATTTTTCAAGACACTTCTATACAGCTTAAAGTGACATTTAAAGGCTTAACTAGGTTAATTAGGTCAACTAGGCAGGTTAGGATAATTAGGCAGGTTATTGTATAACGATGGTTTGTTCTGTAGACTTTCAAAAAAATATATAGCTTAAACGGCTAATAATTTTGTCCCTAAAATGGTTCTTCAAAAATTAAAAACAGCTTTTATTCTAGCTGAAATAAAGCAAATAAGACTTTCTCCAGAAGAAAAAAAACAATCAGACATACTGTATAAATTTCCTTGCTCTGTTAAACACCATTTGGGAATTATTTAAAAAAGAAAGAAAAAAATTTAAAGGGCGACTAAAAGACTTCAGACTTCAACTGTGTATATATAGAAATTAATAATAGAAATTATTACATACAAATAAAGACCCTGTTTTAATCAGTACTTGCAATAATAAATAAAAAAAATTCACTTAATTTTTCTATAGAAACTATAGAACTATCAGTAACTATAGTTACTGTTGCTTAATGTAATTTTTGTAGTTCTCATAACTCAATTTTAGTTGACCCAGCATCATTTTTTGTTCACACAACTTAACATTTCTAGTTGTCCCAACTTTACTTAATTTTTTGAATCACCCCAACAATTTTTCATAACTTATTCTTTTCTAGTTAACACAACTATTTTCAACTATTTATTTAGTTAATACAACAATTTTTCTAGTTTCCAAAACTCAATTTGGTAGTTGCTCCAACTTATTTTTTCTAATTACCACAACTTTTTAGTTGTCTCAACTTCACTTTTCTAGTTGCACCAACTTATCTTTGTTTAGTTTGCACAACTTAATTGTCTAGTTGCTCCAACTTCTAATTTTCTAGTGAACTAAACTTTAATTTTTTCTAATTACCCCAACTTATTTTTTTAATGAGGTCATGTTTGTTTTGTATATAAATATCATTTTATATTTGGCTCATATAAAACATACTGTATTATTACTGTTTTAAAAATCCAGTATGGGAACATGGAGCTGGTTTCATGTGGTTTACTGTTTCATGTCACACGTATCAGATTATTCTAATTAGGCTTACTGAAGCTGACTGTATGCTGTTAACCATTACAACTATGTGTGTGTGTGTGTGTTTGTTTGTTTTAGTGTCCTCCTGCGGATCCTGGCACCTTTATTCCATGGGCAGTGCAGGTCTGAGACTCAGCAAACTCAGTTTAAAGTCAACATGAAATCAGTCACTACGTACTTTACTATTGCACATTCCTGGTCATGTGCAATGATTCATTGCTGCTTATTGTTCCAAGGAAAAAAAAATGTTTGTCTAATTAATCTCCTAATCAAAATGTTCCAGCTTACTGTTCGCCTGAAACAACTTTGTTTTCCTGCTGACACAGGCTGTTAGATAGATATCAAAAAACAAATAAGATCCAGAAGTTTGCGTTCATATCATTAAAAATAACCTGTTTCTAAATGGTCTGTCTCTCAAAGTGACGAGGACGTATCCCCCTACTGGTTGCTACCCCCACTGCAAATGACTGTTTAGCATGGAAAATTTGGTCTAGTTTCCAAGTGAATAAATTCAAGTCTTTTCTTTTCAAGCATCCCGTTTTATTGAGAAATATGATATATTACACAAGTAAAATTGTTTGCAAAAGGATATTCATGTTGACTTTAAAAGTATTAATATTGTATTCAACATGAGCATGATAAATACATTGTAATTGCGAAAGAGAGACTGAGGATTTTGTACTGAGCATTTTACTGTGAAAACATAAGCTTTTGTGCTTTTATGACCTCTCAATGAAGCTTTAATAATATGAATGTGTAATGAAGTATAAAAAAGTGCACTTAGTAATTGTTTCATCACCTATGATTATTTTGGTAACTAAAGCTTTCTGATGTTTCTCACACATTTTTGTTCATAACTATCTATTCGGAGTTTATACTTTACTATTAAGTTTTTTTCTTAATTCTGAGTTCATATATTGCAATTATTACTTCTTTTTAATTGCATCTTTATTTCTCACAATTATTCGTTTAAAGGATCTCTCAAAATTTTGTCTATATTTCTCACAAATCTGAGTTCATCTTATAATTCAGATGAGTATTCTCAGAATAACAATTCCCTCTCAATTCAGCGAAGATGCAAACTTTCAAAGGATTTAAAGTTACAACCACCTTTTTTCTCGTGACAATTAATTATTTACTCAATTATTTTCTTTTTACTTTGAAGTATTGAATATTGATTATATGATACTGACAAGTAAATAAATTATGTTTTTTTCCAATATACATAGTAAATTATATTTATGATTCACACTAGTCTACAGTGATTGTCAAATAATTGTAATTTGTTCAACATGATTCAGAAAATTGCATTGTGTATTCATATGTGCTGTAAGCAACATGTTGAATCTTGTAACAAATGACAATTATTGCTTTGAAATGTATCAAGAGTTGTTACTGGTAAAGGATTTTATAGCATATACATATTGAATGAGTCACTTCAAAACACCTCATTGTATAAAATAAAACATTTGTTCTTACATTTACACAAGACTGATACCTTATTTCTAAGTTTACAATAAAAGTGTTTGTTTGGCATCGAAAATCTCTTCATGAGTGAGTTTCTGGATGTTTTTTTTGTTCCCCTATAACCTCATTCCAGTCACTGAATGGCAGAAAAATGTGTGACGTAATGATTCAAACTGTAAATGGAGAAGATTACACTTAATTTACATCTAGGAGGATGACTGTTGGCAAAATCACAATACAAAAGCTTTTTAATGGAGTTGAATGGCCCACTTGGCTTGTTTCTTTTCTTGTTCAAACATGATAGACTGGAAACCCTTGTTTCTGGTCAAATTCTGGGCTTTCCAGTTTTTCATGAGGTTCACTGGTCTTTGTTTAAAGATGAACAATAGGTTTATCATTATCTTCTTAATTAGGAGAGATTCACTTCAGTCTGAACAGTTTTGTGTAAATAATTGAGCATAAATAATAGCTATAAAAGTGCTTTTGTTTTTTAAATGCTTACTTTTAGAAACTTTACTACACCAACCTCTGTTTCAAGGTTTGAAAGGGATTCTTCCCTGGTCAAAAATATATTATTTATCCGGTAACACAAAATGTTTTCATTTAGCATTAACTAACAATAAAAAATATTTAGCCTACACAACATATCCTAATCATATTAAATATGTTAATATAAACATTTTAGATAAACTAATTACAAAATATTAACATTTATGGACCAGTAAAATATTTTTAACAAAGATGAATAATTAACCATGGTATAAATTTAATAAAATCTAAATAAATGTAAATTAAACCTTAACTAATTGTTTTTGTTTAAAATCAGTAAAATAAGCTAAAATCACGGAAACACAAAAAATAAGCTAATTTAGAGCCTAAATGAATAAAATCACATAAAGGTGATTAGGCTGATTAACAGTAACAAGCCAATATTAATTCAAATTAACCGTGTAACCAGGCTCCTATAAGCTATCATAATTTCTCTAATATCTCATAGTTCCCAAAAACTCAAGAGTGTTTGGCAAGGAATGTGGTTCAGTTTACTAGCTGCATTACGGCTGGTTGAGTCAGGTCAGCTAATGTATGCTCACAGGTAATGCTCATAACAAACTGTCATCTGAGCATTAAACCAAAACCAAGTTTCGTCGGAGAACATTTCGCATGTTTCCCTTGCAGCTGCAAGCTTTGCTAAAAAAGCAAAAGCGGTTTAAACGAGCTGAAAATAACAGAAATATCCGGGATTTCCGGTAGGAATACACGGAAGAGAAGTGTTTTGAGCGCTACGTGGCCACCTGTGACTGCAGCAGCACGGTAGGAGCGTAAGAGCGGACTGACAGTTTGACATGATGGAGTTTGACGGAGAAGATCAAGGCAGCGACCGGCTCGAGAAAACCTCCTCCGAGAACGGCATTAACACCGAAACACACGCGCTGGACACCCAAGAAGACCATAAAACATGTCAGGATAACGAAACACCGCAGAAGTCATGGAGTTTGGACAGAAACTGGGGGTTTACTTTAGAGGAGCTCTTCAGACTTGCGCTGAAATTCTTTAAAGGTACAGAACTTTTAATGAATACAAAGTCACTTTATCTTTCTGTTTATCTAACAACCTAACACTTTTTATTACCGGTAGCAAAACAAATGGAAGTCTCTTTTGTGACTCGTTGTCTAGATACAGTTTAATAACATCTCCACCTATTGAGGAACTTGTAATATCATAATAATTGTAATTCAGAGTCTCTCCCAGATGTTGTCATTTATTTCCATGATGGTTGCTCTAAATGATGTCACTGTCTCACAACAGAGATGAATGGAAAGGCTTTCAACCCAACATATGAAGAAAACCTTCGTTTGGTTGCACTACATAAGCAAATCACTCTCGGCCCTTATAATCCAAACAGCTGTCCAGACATTGGCTTCTTTGACGTACTGGGAAATGACAGAAGGTAATGCTGTGAAAATTATGGATACAGTTAACTAAAAATGATATAGTCATTGTGTTTGTGGTTTACAGTGCCCTTTATTAAAATTCGCAACCTTGTAAATATAAGCAAGGTAGCTGTGAAAACAAATGCTTTGTTGTTCAACTTTTTGCTCAAAATATTTAAATAAAAAAATATGTTTTAGTTATTTTTTGGATAAGAATATCCTCCCAAACAATTTTTTGGTGATGCTGATGATGCCTAATTGTAGTTTTGGAAACTATCTGACCCCAAGACCCAACTAACACGTACACCAGCGGTGATTCTTAGAGATTTTTTGGCCAATAAAACCACGTTCATTGGTCCAAATGAACAAGAGACGCATGTCCAGACTGATTCATACCAATTGTTGGCTGAAGTTTTTGAAATATTTCCATGAAAATGGGAATAATCATTTTCATTTAAATTTTCTATTTTGTGGCGTTCTGGTGGCGCAGTGGGTAGCACGTTCGCCTCACAGCAAGAAGTTTGCTGGTTCGAGCCCCAGTTGGGTCAGTTGGCATTTCTGAGTACAATTTGCATTCTTCTTGTGTTGGTGTGGGTTTCCTCTGAGTGTTCCACCATGCACTATAGGTGAATTAAATAAGCTAAATTGGGCGTGAGAGTGTGTATTGGTGTTTCCCAGAGTTGGGTTACAGCTGGATGGGCATCTATTGGCGTAAAATATGTGCTGGATAAGTTGGCGGCTCATTCCGCTGTGGCGACCCCAGATTAATAAAGGGACTAAGCCGAAAAGAAAATGAATGAATGACTTTTCTATTTTGTTTAGCTACTGCTGCAAATAACACTCATGTTCTTTTTACCCATTGAGATGAAAGACTCTGAGTGTTTGTAATGGTTGAACAATTTCCTGTTTCTAATCACCTAGGTGCACTAAAATATAAAATATCAATCAGAATATCATGCTTTATATAGATATATTTTACATGTATGAATTTATAAGGGCCCCAACAATTATGGCACACACAAGTTTTTATAAGAAGAGTATATTAATGATGTTCCCAACCATAAGTTATGGATAGGGCCAGGCGAAAACTGCAATTATTATTTTTTTTGGCTATTTCTGCGCAGAACTTTGTAAAAAAATTTGTGAAATTTTGTAGAATGATTTTGGGAGCATCACAACTAAAAACCTAATACATGACATAAAATTAATATCTTTTAAACTTTTATATAATGTTTCCAATGCAAATCCAATTAGATCCACTTAACTGGTGAACAAAGCAAGTCTCTCATGTAATATATCTACTAAAAGACAGAAAATATGACTTTGCAAAATTTATTCTAAATAAATCATATGAACATTTTCATATTAGTCAATAACATTACTGAAATTAATAAAAAATGGTATAAATAGAAATGTACACACATTAATACAAGTAATTAAAAAGACTCAATGATGGGCTAAAAATCCGTGCAAATCTGGGAACTTCTGTGAGTGCAGATTTTGTCTGGGCCTAGTTATGGAGGAATGAGCCTATATAATATTTCAGTCAACAGCCAGAGTATTTAAGCAGCCTCCTACTGTACCTCTATTAGGTCTCAATACCTTTTAACTACTATAAAATCTCCTACATCCCAGGTAGGCATAGGCGGGTATAAGATTCTGACGGTTTGATAACCTTGGATAAAAATATCACGGTATTGTGATTACTGCTGTAAAATATATTCTTTTTAAATGTCTGGGTAAAAAACAAACAAACAAAAAAATCCTTTTTGAAAACAATAAATTTTATTTTGGGAACGATTTATAATAGTTTGGAACAGTAAACATGTCAAGCTAAATAATTCAAAAGATTAGTTGACTTCTGCTGTCTTCTTCTGCTTCAAAAACACAGATTTCTTTACTATTTAAAATTAGTAAAGATTTTTTTTTTTTTCTGCTGGAGTTTTTGTTGTCCAAAAAAAATAGTAAATAAAAAATCTTACACATAACAGTATTACAGAAAATTTTGGCAGTTTTAAAACTTTTCCAAACCACGGTATACTGTACTTTGAAAACGGTTAAACTCCTATACCTAATCCCAGGTACCCTGCCATTTGTATTTACCCTATGTATACATAAGAACAGGAGCTGAAGCTGTTTCATGGACCTTCTCATCAGTGGACATCAAGTCAAATAAATAAACATAATAAGTATAATAAGTAAACATAATTTCTTAAATATTAATTGTGCAAACAAACTTATTGAACAGGCATATTTACATTGTGTGCCAGTATTAGTGGAGTGCACTGTATATGTTCCATATAATATACTAGCATGATTTATATTATGGTAGGGTTGTTCACCTAAAAATAAAAACGTACTCACTACTTGCTCACACTCAAGTTTAGTTTATTCTGTTGAAAGCAAAAGATATTTTGAAGAAAGCTGAAAATCTGTAACCATTGACTTATTAGGAAAAACTAATTCTATTGAAGTCAATGGTTACAGGTTTTTTAGGATTCTTCAAAATATCTTCTCCTGTGTTGGACAGAAGAAAGAAGCTCTAAAGGTTTGGAACAAGTAAAGGGTGAGACAGAATTTTCTTTTTAGGGTGAACTACTCCTTGAATGAATGATTATGGCTTTTTATATAATTACTACCAAGGCATGTGTAATTTAAGATGTATTATACTATATTATCTGCAATAGAAACTTAGGTTTGTTCTATTTTATTCTCTTAGGAAAGAATGGCTTTCCCTGGGCAGCATGGCCAAAGAAGACGCCATGGAGGACTTTGTGAAGCTTCTGAACTCTTGTTGTAGTTTGTTTGCACCATATGTGACGTCACATAAAATTGAGAAGGAGGACCAAGAGAGGAGACAGTACGTCAATAACATCATAATGTCTGATAATGTAGCCTTGTATCCTATTAAGCCTTTCTATTCTGTATTCGTGTGTGTTTAGAAAAGAAGAGGAAGAACGTCTCAGGCTGGAGAGAGAAGAGCAGGAGAGACGACGGCTGGAAGAAGAAGAACGGCGCAGAGAAGAAGAGGAGAGAAGGGCAATAGAGGAGGAACAGAGAAGGAAAGAAGAGGCACAGAGGTTACAGATAGAACGGCAAAAGTGAGTGATCTGATATTTAGCAAGTCACTATTTTCGAAGAATGCCAAAAATAATTATAACAATTGTTGACAAAGCTGAACGTGTATTTACAGTGAAACATCACAGAAAATAAATATGTATGACTTTTGTCAAATTTAAATAATTAGTAAACAATTTTATTCAAAATAAATAAATCAGCATATAATATTGCATTAAAATGTGCCAAAACTGCATTTATTGAATCACAAATAAAACTTAAATCATTTGAAGTAACTGTTTCATTATAATAAATAACCATTTTCTATTTAGTAAATTTTAAGAGAGCGTCATGGTGGTGCAGTAGGTAGCACGATCGCCTCACGGCAGGGTTGGCATTTCTGTGTCAAGCTTGTATTTTCTCCCCCTGTTCACGTGGGTTTGTTCCGGTTACCCCCACAAGTCCAAAGACATGCGGTACAGGTGAATTGAATAAGTTCAATTGGCCGTAGTGTATGTATGTAAATGCAAGAGTGTATGGGTGTTTTACAGTGCTGGGTTGCAGCTGAAAGGGCATCCGCTGTGTAAAACATATGCTGGATAAGTTGGTGGTTCATTCCGCTGTGGCCTAAGCCAAAACTAAGCTGAAAAGAAAATGAATGAATGAATTAATTAAAAGAATGTAATTTCATCCCAAGAAGTAATCTAATCTGCCTATTTTATATTATTAGCAAACAATATTTGAAATTTAAATGATCTGTCACCCTTGTTCACTTAATGCTATAATGTCTGAAAATGTTTTTGAATGTTTTTTCTCTGTATTTATTTGATTAGAAATTATAATAAATCATAGTAATTATGTGAAATAATTTATTTTCTGTGTGCGGGGTCCTGAAAAGTCTTAATATGTCTTGAATTTATAAAACAAAATTTTAGGCCTTAAAAAGTCTTCAGTCCACTGAAATATGGTGTAGTAGGTCTTAAATCTTATTAGAACAGTCTTAATATAACTTTATTCACATAAAGCTACCCAATCAAGTCAAGACACATCCATCACAGACAATCCATTTCAATAAAACTTTTACATTTATTAACTCTATTTACCATATACAATATATATATATATATATATATATATATATATATATATATATATATTTATATTTATATAAATAAAACTAGAGTTTGTTTGTTTTGACACTTTATTTAAAATGCGTGTCTAAAAAATAACTGAATAAGATTTTTTTTAATGGGAACAAGTTAAAATCTTTTCCCCTGGTCATTAGAACCCATTCTAAGCTTTTGGCCCAGTACAAGTGTAAAATTTAATTCATAATAGACTTAAAAATGTCCTAAATATCTCAAATTGGACTTGGTAAAACCAGCAGAAATCCTGTGTGTGAATATATTTTGAAATGTAATTAATTCTTATGATTGAGCTTCATTATTCCAGTATTTAGTGTCATTTTGACAAGATGTGCTACTCTAAAGAAAATTGTAGTATTGTCAACAATGCATGTGCTGCTTAATATTTCATGCAACATTATTGCATTCATTTTTTAAGAGACTTCTTTCCACTTAATGTTTTGACCAGTATTGTCTGTATTAAAATATATGTTGCATAAAGAACAGAAAACCTGAAGTAAATCTGATGGATTAAGTGGTATTTATTTTTCTGGGAGCAGAGAAATTTCTGTTAAGCTTATATAATCATTTATTTGTGCAGACAGCAGATCATGGCTGTTCTGAATGCACAAACGGCAGTGCAGTTTCAACAGTATGCCAAACAACAGTATCCAGACAATCCAGAGCAGCAGCAGTTACTGATCAGACAACTGCAGGAACAACACTTCCAACAGTACGTCCAGCAGGCTCTCCGCTTACAGCAGGTATAAAAACCACAGCAGACACTTCAACGCTGACTACACATTATGAGGATTAGATCCAGGGAAAGGCCTTTTTGGATTTCTGATCTTTTGTCGTCTCTGTATGATTTCAGATGGCCTCACAGAAACAGCAGGAAGAATCAACTGTGATTCAGACATCAGAAGCTCTTCCTGCTCCTATTTCTAACGAAGCAGTGTCCATCTGCAACCCCAACAGCCAATCAAATTCATTAGACAATCACAAACAACAGAAAGACCAAAAAAACTCCCATTTGGTTGTAGAAGGGGAAACAGGAGGTATGTTGTAACAAATTTTTTTTTCACTTTATTTCCTAAAATGTTGATTTTGTTCTTAAGTTAATGATGAAAAAACAATTGTGCTACATAGTATTAATGTGGAAATCATCATATGCTGCTACTGCAAAGCAAGAACATTAAAATTATTGCATTGCATTATATATATATGGTGTTTACATGATGATTGTATTATTATGATTATATTATTATTAATAAATAATTAGGGTGTAACGATACGCATATTCGTATTGAGCCATTCCTTACGAGACTTTCGGTTACAGACTGAACGATTTAGACTAATATCTAAAAAGATAAAAGAGAAAAAGTACAAAATATAATGTTTATAGTGCAACAACGCTCAACAAGGCATCCCAAATGATGTGACAGGCAACATGCTGCCTTCCCCGCCCACCTCCAAACACTACTCCCGTCAGGCACACGCTGCACTAGCAAAATGGCTAGTAACGTTAATTTAATTGCGTTTGGGAGCTCTTTGGTTTCCCCGTAAGTTATGAGGGTGATGGCAAAAGAGTGGTGGAAAAAAAACAATGACATATGCTATAGCAGTAAGCTATTTTAACGGTAAAATTTGAGCTTGTCAACTCATTTACACTGACATCACGGAATCAGTAACTGGAATTAGATCAAAACTGTAAACACGCACACTACATGCAACTATTTCCGCTGCATTCAGACAGGCAATTCCTAGATTCAAACAGAACTGGGTAAAACAAATCACAGAGGCAATCGGTACATTTATAGCTGTGGATATAGACCTTAATCGGTAGTGGAAATGTCGGGTTTTAAGAAAATGTTAAATGTGATAGAGCCCCGTTACATTATTCCTTCATAAGCACATTTCAGTCAGATAATTCCTGCTTTCAGATCCACTAAAATGGCAAGCAGATCTGTGCTGTCTGAAGAAAAGGTGGACACTCATCTTTCTGAAAATAAAAAAATGCCTAAAAAACTGATTGAAACTATAATAATATATATTATTATATTATATATTATTATTAATAATATTATTATATTCAGCATTTTTCACTGGCCACATTTTTTAATTTTAAAGAAGGTAGTTTAATTATGTTATTATTAATTAATTTAATAATAACAGTAAATCAAGTTAATGTTAAAATAAAATTTAAAAATACTTAAGAAATTAAATGTAAAATGATGCAATAGTATATATTAAATACATAATAATTTTTATGAACAATTTTAAATTCAGTTTTTTTTTTTTTTTTTTTTTTTAGCTTTGGTCACTTTACGAGCTAATACACGTACCCAATATACTGACACACACATATCTTGCTCATATGTTTGCCTTAACTTAAGGCAAAACTGACTGTGGTTAAACGAATACTCGCATATTGACATACTGACACAATTTTATCTATCCAGTGCCAAAAGGATGCAGACTTTGCTAATTTAGTTTGCAAAACAGGTTCATCCATTATGCCCCTAAATATAGAGTAAAAAAGTAAAGTAAAATTAGCCCTGGGAAATTTTAATTATTTTCATATATTTATCAAAGTATTGTTTTACTGAGAAAAGATATTTTCAACACATTTTAAAAACATATAGTGTTAATAACTAACTTCTTATAACTTACTACTTTTTTTCCAATGATGGCAGTACATAATATTTTACTGGTTTAGGCCGCACTTTTAGATCCATAGACTTGCATTCATACGCATGTGAATGTGGCAGACTGGAAATGCAAGCTTGTATGGCAAGTTCTGTATGTCACTGCTTTCCAAAGATCAAGCTTGGTAAAATGCGAAATTGCATCACCCCAAATACGTGGCCTCTCTGTACAGAAATGTAAAATATGAAACAGTCGCTCATTTTACTGTCTTCTAATCATCTTGTGTTATCCCTCGCTTTTCAAAATGCCATACAACAGAATTTCACATGCTCAAGTTCTAGTGTGACCACGGCTTTATTATACAAAATACTAGTATTCGATTTGGTGATGGTGAAGCCTTTTATTTGTCACATACACTGTTACTTGTAGTGAAATCTGACCCCTCTGACCACAACACATTTAAGGGGAAGACAGGTCAGACGAGATGTAGCTTCAAAAGAGGGAGAAAATATACATTAAGGAAAAGGGAGGGGAAAAGCCCCTCTCAGACTGTCCTTAAAAGTAGGGCAGTGTGAGATCAGGGGAAAAAAAAGCCCCAACAACAAGCACATAAACACATAGTCATAGACATAACATCGTAACAGGATGGGAACAGGGGATGTAGAGAAAGTCAGATAAAGATGGCAGCCATCTGGTCCTACTGCTAGAGAGCGATGGTCACAGATCCACCTACCCACACTGATGGGTGAAATCACACAAAGGCGTTGGATGAGGGAAGAGTCAGTGATTGTCTATCGGTAGCTGAGTTTGAGTACTAACAGCTCTGCTCACCATCATTTCAATCAAACCGGCCAGCTTGGTGGGGTTTTGAGCCGCAATAACAATTTTAATAATTGTCGAGACCCCAGGGCCCTGCCTAAGGCCCTCAGCAGAAACCATGTTATCAAAGTACAGAATAAATAAATATCTTTAATATCCTCCAGGCACGCATCTGCTGCATAAAACATATGCCGGTTCATTCCGCTGTGGTGACCCCTGATTAATAAAGCGACTAGCCAAAAAGAAAATGAATAAATCCCCCAGGGACAGAGCCGCCAGGCATACGATGGAACCCTTTTTCCACCTTTCCATCATGTATCCAGCTGCAAACATTCCTGTAGGACAGTTGGGTTCCCCTGAACCCAGACTTCTCGTCGAGTAGATGGTGTGAGTTGTGTTCTAAGACCAGTTGATAAAATTCATCATTCCTTATTGCTTGGAAAGCAGGGCAAGGAGAGCCTCTGAGATAGAAAAAGACAAGAGGAGCCAGCCAGAATAGATACGGGAGGGAGAGGGAAAAATGTGACCTATATATATATATATATATATATATATATATATATATATATATATGTGTGTGTATATATATATATATATATATATATATATATGTGTGTGTATATATATATATATATATATATATATATATATATATATATATATATATATGTATATATATATGTATATTAGGGATGTAACGGTATTGAAAATACCGTCATACCGCAATAGCAATTTTTTTCGATGAATGACTCGATAAAACTATAGGTCTTCTGAAAAAAAATTTGCTCAGACGAATGAAGCGAACGGGAAGTAGCGGAAACTACAATTCCCATCAGCCCAGGCTTGGCCATCATTCTTTGCGGTCTGTTGTCGCTACAGATCCAGTAATGCGGAAATGGAGTGTGCTGCTAGTAGCGGGGATGAAAAAGAGCTGGAAATGATCGAACCTAAAGCGGGTTTTAAATCGGATGTGTGGAAGCATTTTGGTTTTCGGGGGGTTGAGCGCGCATATTCAAGAGCGGTGTTGTCGTGCGCCTACTGAAGGGCGGGACGGAAGGTGTGTCGTGTCGCGGGGGCACTTTTGATTATTTTCGAAGGGCACTTTCTATCCAAGACTAAAAAGGGCATGTGCACCGCACAGGTTGAGCCCTATGAGTGCAAGTGCCTGCAAGTTGGGGAATATGACTAATAACAGTCATGGGGACTGCAGAAACACAGCACACTGTTCAGATTGATGCAGACATTGACTTGTACCGCAAAGAGACCTCTATCTCCACTCATGGCTTGTCCTCTCAAGTGGGGGAAAGACAATGCACAATGTTACCCACTGCTGTCAACCTGGGCCAAGTCATATCTCTGTCCCAGAAACCTCAGTCCCAAATGAGAGGTTTTTTTTTCTGTTGCAGGGGACATTGTAGTGTGCCCAGAGATACCAGCTTTTACCAGATTATAGTTATATGATAATTTTCCTTTAAACGCATCTCTATCTAAGTGAGTGAGTGATTAAATGTTGAATGTGATGAGTTTTCAACAATACTAAATTGAAACTTTATTTTTTGTAAAGTTAAATAGTTTTTTGTTATTAAAATTGAAGTTCCTGTTTCAAAGCTTACAGATAGATGGCTAATTTGTATGTCATTGACGCTTTTGGCACTTTTTTGGGGTATTTTCATTAGTTTTGTTTTTCTTGTAAATGATTCAATAAATACCGTACCGTGCCATTCATACCGAGGTATTACCGTACCGTGAAATTCTGATACCGTTACGTCCCTAATATATATATATGTGTGTGTGTGTGTATGTGCATGTGTGTGTGTTTATTCTAGCCAAGCTACATGAAATGAAGACTTTCTCCTGAAAAAAAAAAAAATAATAATAATAATGGAAAAATGTTCTTGCTCTATTAAACACACTTTTGAAATATTTTAAATAATTTATTTCACAAGAGGACTAATAATTTTGCCTTTAAATGTATATTGTTAAAATAATGATATGATCAGCAAGTGGCTAATGGATGTGTTTAGTGCCACTACTGAATGCTTATTTAAACACAAAGCATCTCATCATGACTCAACCTATTCTTCTTTTCTTTCTTGAATGCAGTAGTACCTATCGTGGCTCCCTCAATGTGGACTCGGCCTCAAATAAAGGAGTTTAAGGAAAAGGTTCTGCACGATGAGGACTCTGTCATCACAGTGGGCCGAGGGGAAGTGCTGACCATCCGAGTTCCCACTCATCCTGATGGCTCATACCTGTTTTGGGAATTTGCCACCGATCACTATGATATCGGTTTTGGGCTGCACTTCGAGTGGAAGGACTTGACCGCACCGACAAGCAGCAATAATGGAGGAGAATCTACTACTGAAACCAAAGAAGGTAAGGCAGTGGATTTTTTTGACAAACAGAAACATATACTGAGTAAAATATGAATTATTAATGTCCATTGTGTCCTAATGTAAGGCACAGCACAAGCCGAAGAAGAGAAAACTGAACAAGGCAGAATTCCTCTGGTTAATGAAGTGGCTCCTGTTTCTCGTCGGGACAGCCATGAGGAAGTTTACGCAGGCAGTCATCAGTATCCCGGTGAAGGAGTTCATCTTCTCAAATTTGACAATTCCTACTCCCTCTGGAGGCCAAAGGTTGTGTATTATAGAGTTTATTACACCAGATAAACATCAGCTGGTCATGTGCCTCATACACTGCTCATGAGTTTTGATTTAACACACTACACTCAAGCTCTCAAAATAGGTTGCTTTTGTTATTTGCCAACATATTGGCATTGTGTTCTTACAAGTCTTAAAGAAACAGGATTCCTGCTTGGGTGTTAAGATCTTCGAATTCCTGTACTTTAGTAAAAAGTGACCGTGACAATGGTTTATTTACTCCAGTACCGTATACTGTATGTTTATTATAAATGAATCAACGAAGGAAGGGTTTATACTAATTCTATTTAAATGAATGTGATTGATTCAAGCACTTTAACATTTTGAAATCGTTTGTGGATGTCGAAACAGCTGATATTTTGCAATTAATAGGATTTTCTTTGGTATTGCTGTGTGTGTGGTTGAAAGGATAAAGATGTTGATGCTTTCCTTTTTATATTTAGGCTTAATCTTGTTATAAGCATAATTACTTTCCGTTTACATGTTAATTGAAACTGGAGATTAAGGATATTATTAACCTTTAAAAGCTCATTTATATTTTTGCATATTCATATGCATAAAAGCAAATCAAGAGTTAGTGCTACTGGAACTAGAACTACTAGACTACCAAATGTCCACATTTGATCCACTGTTTGACTTTCTAGTTAGGGTTCATGTTAATATACTTAATACACACACATATATATATATATATATATATATATATATATATATATATATATATATATACATTATTGAGCAGAAGTGTATTCTGCAGCTACTAAAACATATATGAAACTATGCAGATGCCACAATTTTGCACACTACAATAATTGGGACTTTTTGTTTGCAGATGAAGAGCGACTTTACTGGATTAATGGTTAAGATTGTTTTTTTTTTATCATTTAATTCTCTGAGAAATGCAAGTGGCAGCTAATGTTCAGCTAGATTTAACCATGCAACATGGGGAGGGATTTTGTCTTTTGAATTATCCTAATATTTTTATGACAATAGAATAAAATCTTATTGGTATCTGCAAGTGCTGGGGTTAGTCCCGTGGTAGGACCTGCAATGCAATCTCAACTTTTACAATGAGTAAAAACATTGTATTTTATATGAAATAAATACTTTTGTACCTTACATATGTGTGCCAGTAAACTATGAACATCTAAAATCATCTGAAGAAAATGAGCAAGTATTATTTTCAAGGGTTATTCGGGATTAAGCAATGTAAATGTATAAAGAATCATAGACATTGATAAAAAAAAGAAGATTTTATACTTTATCATTTCCTGCAAAATTGGGTTAGCAGAGTAAGTTTCAGGTTAATAAGTCCAAAGAATTATGAACTGGTTAAGATCAGGGTACTTTTTTCACAACACTTGATATAAACGTTCTGATTTGAACTGTCAATAATTGTTATTAATGGCTTCAAATTAACATTAACATATTGATATACTGTATAAATTAGCTTTAAAATATAAAGCTTTTAAAATGGCTGTCTTTTTGAGTTTTTGTGACCTACATTATTAAAATAAATGACTGATTTGCATTGATATAATAATATTAGCTTATTATATAATAATAATAAGTACTATATAATAATAAGTTGCCATCTCAATCTTTGGCTTCATGAAGCATTTATTTCAGCCTTGTACATGTTTTTAAATTTGTTATATTTTTGATAATGATATGGCTTAATGATACTGGTCTTGAATAAGTTGTACTGACTCTTTTGTGAGAACTGAAACTGACTCTTTAATGTCTTGTTTCATTGTCGACTTCACTAACTCTGGATTTAATCCCATCCGGAGTTAGCAGAAAATGTTTATATAAAGCATTGTGAAACACAACCTAATCTTAGCCAATTTGCATTTCTTTAGATTTGTCAACCTGAAACTCTCCCAGAGTTTGTTCAACCCGTTTTGTGCAACAGGCGATGAAGTTTCAGTTTATTTTGCACCAATCCTGGCTTTTAGGGAGTATGAAGGGAGCTCTGCATTCATCGCTCTTTTTTTTTGCCATGGTATCTTGTGTTACTCAAGGGCAGATTAGGTTCTGATTTAGCAATCACAATCTGAGATGAGATTCAACCAATCAGCTATGAAGTGACATCTCTGATTCAATAAAGCCACTCCTCCCATTTTTCTAGCTCCATATTAAAGATGACTATTTAGTTAAACACTTTTAAAGGTAAAATTTTTTAATTGAAATGAGGAGCGAATATATATATATATATATATATATATATATATATATATATATATATATATATATATATATGAAGTGTTCAGATGCAAAAACCTCTAAATGCCATCTGAAATGTTCTCCTAAAATAAAAATAAAAATTCTCAGCCTCCTATGTTTATGTTCAGAATCATACAGGATTCTGAGAAAAATGTTAATTTTAGAAGAAAATATCATTATCCATCAAAAAGGTGACAGTCACAAATTCTTGTTTACAAAATGTATTGTGCCCATTTGTTTTTAAACTCATAGACCCTCCCAATTAAGATTTCTATGCTATTTTAACTACTACACTAGAAAATGTCTCTAGTTTGCATCTGAGCAGTCCGTTCACCATAGAGCCCATCATGCTTTAGTTTCATTGCATAGTTTGTAGTCAACAACTACTTACTACATTTATCATTAGTAACATGTAGGGCTGTTTAATATGCCTATATGTATGTATGTATGTATGTATATATATATATATATATATATATATATATATAGTATACCTATAATGAATAGTCTGTTGTTTCATTTTATGTTCTATTGTTTAGTTTATGGTTATACTTTTTCATAATTTATATGAGCGTAATTTTACACAGCATTAAGGGAATACAGACAAACACAGAAGATGTTTGAAAAAACTGCAGAATTGAAAGAAAATTGTGATCTTGAAAGTAGCAATATTTTGTTGTTTTATATTTTAATAAAAAAACTAAATTTTTAATCTAACATTTTCCCTAAAAGTTCTAAATAAAGTGAAAAAATATAATCACATATGAATGAGTATATATTTTGAGTAAATTTCGAAGTATATATTTTAAAATGTAAAAAATAAATAGTCATTTATGCATTTTAATTAACTACATGTAAAGTATTTAAGAATTGAACTTACAGAAATGGAACTATATAATGATAAATATTATTATCATGATATGAGACATCTATTGTGATCTAAAACTGTTTTCATACTGCCTAGCACTAGTTACGTGTTATGGCAGCATTTATAGCACTGCGTAAAGCAGACAGCAGCCTGATCTTTTCCTCTTCTCTATCAGTAGCACAGATCCACTGACGCTTGGGGCTCTGCAGCTGAAATGCATTTTGAACATCTGAAAAGATTAAAAGGAGAGATTACAAGTGTGTAATATGTAAATTTATCTTTTATATATATATATATATATATATATATATATATAGTTGAAGTCAGTATTTTTAACCCCCCTGAATTATTAGCTCTCCCGTTTTTTCCCCTAATTTCTGTTCAACAGAGAGCAGATTTTTTTAATCAAATTTATAAACATAATAGTTTTAATAACTCATTTCTAATAACTGATTTATTTTATATTTGCCATGATGACTGTAAATAATATTTGACTAGATTTTTAGGACACTCGTATACAGCTTAAAGCGACATTTTAAGGCTTAATTAGGTTAACGAGGCAGGTTAGGATAATTAAGATATTGTATAACGATGGTTTGTTCTGTAGACTATCGAAAAATATCTAGCTTAAGGGGGCTAATAATTTTGACCTTAAAATGTTTTTTAAAAAATTAAAACTGCTTTTATTCTAGCTGAAGTAAAACCAGTAGGACTTTCTCCAGAAGGAAAAAAATATTATCAGACATACTGTGAAAATTTCCTTGCTCTGCTAAACATAATTTAAGAAACTATTTAAAAAAAGGAAGAAAAAAAATCTAAGGGGGATTAATAATTATGACTTCAACTGTATTTGTAAAATGATTTGTTTTCTAAAAATTCAACTGCCTTTATTTTTTTATTTCACATATGCTGCTCTCATCAAACATAAAGACATTGTTCAGATGCTTTATTTGATGTATTTATATAATACCTACACTTTGTATCTGTGATTTCTGTGAGATTTAGGCAGTGTAGAGCCACAGATGCCAGAAAGGTGTGAGTTGTGTTCACTGCCACACAAAAAGGCATGCTTGAAACACTCCTCTCGGTGAGCACTAGAGCATCATTGAACAGAAACAATCCCACGTCACTCACATGCTCATACATCCTGGGGGAAAAAATAGGAAGAAAATATATCCCAAGTCAGAACTTCAATTTTTTTTTACTTTGGAGGTCACTGTCATGTGTGAAGATACTCAAACAGGAGTAAAAGAGCAGTATTTATTTCATGAGTTGCACATATTCTGAAACAAAGTAAATATTCAGACGTGGACAAAATTGTTGGTACTGTTAATTTTTATGCAGGCCAGTTTTATTAGTGTGCCTTCTGTCGAACTACAATTCGAATACAAAATCTGATTTTAATTAGTTTATTTTCAGCCATTTTTAATTAATCGTTACTTGTTTGAGCTTCAGGTTATTTCAGTGATCACTTGGGGTTTCCTTGCTTCAATGGAAAGGTACAAAACAATTTGTTTGTGCATATGTATCGTCTATGACAGGCATATCCATACTCGGTCCTGGAGGGCCGGTGTCCTGCAAAGTTTAGTTCCAACCCCAATCAGACACACCTAAGCTAGCTAATCAAGCTCTTTCTAGAAACATCCTTGCAGGTGTGTTGAGGCAAGTTGGAGCTAAAATCTGCAGGAGACTGGCCTTCCAGGACCGAGTTTGGACACCCCTGGTCTATGACATGACAGATATACAACAAAACAAGCTAATGAGAACAATGTGATAATTAAACAATGAAGATTATAATATTTCTTTTTTAAAAATTAAGTAATAATAAACTGTTCTCTAAACTTAATTACCACTATAGATTTAGACATATTGAGAGGTAAGCAGAAAAGGTGGCCTCAAGTGTAGACAGAGCGACTCTTGTTTCCCTGTCATTTGATCTC